CCAGAGAGACCCGCTACCAGAGAGACCCACTACCAGAGACCCACTACCAGAGACCCACTACCAGAGACCCGCTACCAGAGAGACCAACTACCAGAGACCCACTACCAGAGACCCACTACCAGAGACCCACTACCAGAGAGACCCACTACCAGAGAGACCCACTACCAGAGAGACCCACTACCAGAGAGACCCACTACCAGAGAGACCCACTACCAGAGAGACCCGCTACCAGAGAGACCCACTACCAGAGAGACCCACTACCAGAGAGACCCGCTACCAGAGAGACCCGCTACCAGAGAGACCCGCTACCAGAGAGACCAACTACCAGAGAGACCCGCTACCAGAGAGACCCGCTACCAGAGAGACCAACTACCAGAGAGACCCGCTACCAGAGAGACCCGCTACCAGAGAGACCCGCTACCAGAGAGACCCGCTACCAGAGAGACCCGCTACCAGAGAGACCCGCTACCAGAGACCCACTAGCATCAGACATCCAGGCTCTGCTGCTTGTTTTTACCAATCCTCTAAAATCTGGAGACCCAAAACACAAGGACTTCGGGTCATTGTAGCATTCATGGGAAATGCGCTAATGGGTTTATTACACGAGTCACGTCTTTACCTTCAGCTTATTGCTGAACTCAGTCCAATAAAGACCTTTTGTCTTTTATGAGGCCGTCAACACGGCTCGTCAGTCAGCAGCAGAGGGGACAGTTACTGACTCACTGCAGACCGTGACCTGTTCCTGAATCCTCGTGTCAGCAGTGTGTTCAGGAAGCAGTTCATGTCCCAACCCTGTGCGGGAACAAATATGTCATTAGGTCTTTTTTATTGGCGGTTAAGCAATACGCAAACATCTTATTTTTAAACATCAGCCCGTAGATGATTGGATTAATGTATTGGTACTAAAAAGGTGCTGCCACATTATTAACGGTCGCACTGCCTTGAGAACCTCAGATAAGTTATTGAATTGAGCGTGACTAGATTGAACCTCGGCCTCTTACCGATGGTCACGCTTACAGGATGAAGCTGCTGCTATTTTATTTAAAGGCAGCTAAGCACTACAGCCTGTTTCACGTCACCTTCCATCTGCTGGCCCGCGCGGTGCTGAAAGGACAGCGGCAGCGCTGTGCTTTTGTAGAGTAAAATCAGAGTGAATGCAGCTTGCTGACCTCCAAAAAAAGAAAGTTACACATCATCACTTTTGGAAAAGTATAACTTGGTACAATTTAGCCACAAAAAGGCCGACCACATCTGCATGAAAACGTTGACCTCTTGTGGCTAAATATGGGAGAAAGAGGCATCGGGTCAGTGAATTTGCTGCTGATGTTTGAGTTGATGTCGGTGGTCGGTGACTGAGAGAAAACTTCCAAAGTGTGAAGACGCATCGGGGGGTGATATTAATAGACTGAAAGTTACCATAATAATTAGTAATCATAATTAAGACATGTCTGTGTCCTTACTTGTGGTCCTCTCATCCGCCATCCTGCATTCTCGTAGACGGCAACAGCGCGGACGAAGGAAGTTGAAAACAGATTTCACTTGATCAAGGCCGGATAGAAAATAATTAATAGACGTGTATAAAAGAAAGAAGAGTAAATGCAACACACGCAAACAAAGGTCAGGTTGAACCAACATCTAGTGTTTCATGCTGAAATGTTCCGTGTCTGCTATTGTTTCCTTAATACAACGGTTATGTTGTGTATACATATGTATTTGTTTTAGATACGTGTTCAAACAGGGAGCCACAACACGGCGTCAGTTAACTGGTCGGTGATTGGCCCGAGGACTAAACACGTCATATTACATGTGACTTGCATGTTTGCATAGCAAGCCTTCAGTTATCTCCTCCTCAGCAAACAAAACCTCATTCAATCCAATCGTGACAAAATGAGAAACACTTTGAAGACAACTGGCTTATTTTATTCCCACGAAAGCTGAAATAAACTCGCTTTATTACCTGGTACATATGCTTACTTTGCGCACCACGCTCACTATGCGTGATCTCTTCCAGGGAGAGCCCCGGGTCCACCTTTGAAGTGTATCTGGAGGTGGCCCATCCAGGCACACACAGCTCTGGTAAGTACCTGAAGGCTGGAGGTTCTACTTTTCAAAACTCACTCGCACAAATAAATGCTCCCTACAGTATTTGTAAAGCAAAATGCACAGAAGCACACAAATCCCATTGTCCTGCTCCACAAATGTGAAGAGAACTCTTTTGTGTGAGTATACGTCTTTGGACCTCAGACTAGTATTCAAGCGGAATAGATTGACGGGTCACTAACGTTATGGCGCCATAAGTAAAAAGCTAGTTTGGTGCTAGATGACGGCTTTCAAAAAATGTGACCGATTTCCTGGATGCTAGCGAGAGACGTTGTCTCTTCCTAAAGATGTCTTCCTCGTGCCTCTCACCATTTCCTGTCGACTGGTTGTGTCCACTTGTCCACGGTCATTCCATGTCTGCTCGTGTGCAACAGGGCCCGAGGTGCGGAGACAGTTCCCTGAAGACTACACTGACCAGGTTTGGCAGATGTTGTTTCCCCCCACTCTTCTTTCTTTTTGCTTGTTTTTGTATGTTAATGCTGAACTCTAATCTGTGGTCCAACAGGAGACTCTTCGGACTGTGCCCAAGTTCTGCTTCCCCTTCAACATGGACAGGTACACTATGAATAATATATGAACTGTTTACAGTATAAATAGTGTTTCCCCTCTGTAAGAAATTGAAGTAGATATATTAGTTCATTGGAATTTGGGGAATATCAATGATTTGATTTTCGATTGATGCTCATTGTGCAGGAACTAAAGATGTGTAACATCTATTGAAAAGCATTTATGTTGGATTGACGCTCCCTGTTTGTCTGGATTTATTGACGTCGTGATTGCAGCAGGTGCCACACAGAGAGCTGCATGAGGCACGAGAGCATGTCGTTTACCTGCCGTGTGACGGGATTTAATATTTCTATGTTTATTTATAAACCTCTCCCCCTCTCTGTCTGCCACCCAAACCGCTCTCCCCCTGCAGTCTGACAGTCAACCAGGTCGGCCAGAACTTCACATTTGTGTTGACCGACGTCGAGAGCAAACAGAGATTCGGCTTCTGTCGCCTCTCCTCAGGTGCACACACCTGCTACTGCATCCTCAGGTGTGTGTGTGTGTGTGTGTGTCCTTTGGCTCCAGGAGATGTTTGCATGGTCATCTAATAGCACCCAGGAGCTGAGCAACCAAATTATTCTTATATTTTACAATGTGACCATGACCTCTGTGAATACTAATCTAACCGACGTGGCGACTGGTGTTCGTCCTCTCAGCTACCTGCCCTGGTTTGAAGTCTTCTACAAGCTGCTTAATATCCTGGCTGACTACACCATCAAAGGCCAGGTAGGTCCTGAACGCCGTCTCAGCCCCTTATGGGGAGTTTCCTAGTTTGCTTAACCTCAGTATTTAGTTTTGAGCTCAATTTGAGAAAAAAAGTAAAAAGTATTTTTCATTAACATATTAATATAAGTGGGCTTTCATCATTGCCGGATTACCTTACATATTTGTATGTTTTTATTTATTATAGATCGATTACAGTTCATAACAGTGGTGTGTGGGTAATATGCCATGCCTGTGAATAAAAAAAAATGCTAATCTCACATTTTGAAATGTATTAATCTAGATTAAACGTTTTTTTCTAAAGACAAAGGGCCTTAGCGTCCACTTCAAGCGTCTTTGTTTTCAACTCTCCATTTGACCGCTGTCCCCACATTCAGCCAGGACGTTTTCAAACCACAGTCTTTTAGGGACATCGTGTCCTCTGTGGACCGTGTGCTGTGCAGGGTGACGTTGAGATGGAAGTAGCCTAGCAGCTAGTTTAGCCTAGCAGCTATCTTAGCCTAGCGGTCCTAAAGTGGTCTGTTTGACACTCGTCCCCAGGAATTCCTCTGCACGGTTTTCACATCTTCAACTAGGCCTCGGTCTCTCCTGTCTAACTGCGTTAAAATATGTTATCACATGAATTTCGGCAACAATAATCCCATAGATTAACGTGTTAACTTTGAATCTTGTGAATGTTTCAGGAGAGCCAGTGGCAGGAGTTCCTGGTGTCCCTGCACACGCTGCCTATCCCTGAGCCCGGGGTCCCCGTTCATCTCGGTGTGGTGAGTCCTGCTTCGCCGCACCGAGCTCAGGTCACGCTAAAGACTCCCTGTGTGTACCTTCAGAGTCAGTGCTAAATGTATCCGCACCAGGCTGGACATGCAGGCAGTCCTTTCATTTCTCTGCACTACAGTGGTGGATTCAATCAGTTCAAACCGGCTCCTGTTTTCCCTTTTCTCCAGCATTCCTTCTTCACTGTGCCGGACACGAGGGAACTCCCCAGCATCCCGGAGAACGTGAGTGAGGAAGTGATTTGTGTCTGTGAGCTGCTGCACGTCCTGGTTAGCTCAATGCTATCAATACTGACTACAAATCTATTGTTTGACTGGTACATTTAGCTTAAACGGCAAATATCTCGTACTTAGAAGAGAAGTTTGTTAAATATGAACTTGCAGATATTGCTAAACTGTAACGACTTGTAAGCTTCCTAATAATAAGGCGATTTAATGAATGATCAGGAAACAATTTTTACCATAATATGTCAGACATGGCGGTTTGTGCGTGACAGCAGACAGTATGACAATGGACAAGAAAACAACATAGTGCAAGAGGAATTAAATACAATATAACAATAAGCCCAAGTAGCGCACACATTTCCCACGCACTGATCACAGTGACTACGGCTGGTCTGATCCAACAAAAACAAAACGTTCTTATTGCGCAGGGCGCTTTTCTGCTGGCCGTTGGACAAGGGGGCGCAAAAGCTTCACTCATTGAAGACTATTTCAAAAGCCAGCCTCCCCAGTACCCAATCGGTCAAATTGAGAGGCGGGTCCCCGAGACAGCAACTCGTTTGTGTTTAGCAGACGCTAACCAAGCAGACCGAAGCCTCCGTACTGATGCTGAGGTTGAGCGACCGGCTGTTAGCTGGCATCCTCTTAGCCCGTCTTGTCAGACACGGGGAAGGCCAGGTGATTTTGTGGTTGCCTAGCAACAGCTAAAATGACTTAAGTTTTGACAGGGCTGGTCGCCTTGCCTGTTGCAGCCTGCAAGTACAGAAAAGGAATAAATAAGAATAGAAGATCAGACAATAATGTTTAATATGTATAGGAACGGTCAACTTTGAACTTTCAGCCTGCGACTGCCCACGTTTGAACAATGTACCTGGTTGTGTTTAGGTTGTCCTGAACAGTGTCATGACGTGAACCAAAGTTGAAAACACCACAAATAACTTTGTTTTTCTCTCTTGTTGTGTTTGACCCCCGCAGAGAAACCTAACCGAGTACTTTGTAGCAGTAGACGTCAATAACATGCTTCACCTGTACGCTAGTATGCTTTATGAACGCCGAGTCCTCATCTGCTGTAGCAAGCTAAGCACTGTAAGTAGCGTCCACCCTCTGTCCCCCTCTGATGGGCTCTGTTACGTCTCTCTCGATGTCCTCTTGGTACTTAATGAGTTGTTGCTGTTGCAGTGTGAGCTGTTCATGTTTTCCCTCACGTCGAATGTACAATACGAGTCACCCACACACTAAAAGTTGTGTTCATGATAAACAAAGTAAAGCCGATGGATCCAAAGAAAAATGAACATATGTCGTAATAGTCGAGAACAGAAATATCTCATCCCACCTTTTCTGTCCCAGAGAGGGATGAAAAAATCACCTTGTCACAGCAAATATTAATGCACGCACACAAATTAAGTTTTTCATTCTCTGATGTTAGAATGTGCAACTCGCTGTGTGTTTTACATGCAGGGTACAAATCTCTGCTTTATATATATTTTATATTGGTAAACAAAAACAATTCCCCCCCACATCCCTTGAATATCAGAGTTCTTGTTCAGGTTCAGGTGATGATCTCATTTTTAGAGCGTTGGTTTTAGAGGAATCCTACACAAGGGTCATACTTTTTACATGTTCCTCGATCCGGCCATCGAACCGTCAACCTTTCCGTTTAAAAGCGCACTTCTTTCTCTCATGAAGAAGACGTTTTTGTCACTCTTCATGGTGAACAGAGAACCCAAAAATGGTCCATTTTCCCATGAATTAATGTTTAAAAGCAGCCAAATTAAATCAAATCGTTGGCTTTATAAATCAATGTTCCGATAAAGTTTCCTTTGGGAATTCAAGGTAAAAGTAGGCTAGCGACGAATCCGCTAAGGATCCTCATGTAAGTAAAATAGATTTCTCTCTGACACAAACTGGACTCCACCATGTTTGATACCAACGGTAGGACCGTGACATCCTTAAGGTTGCATGAGATCTTCAACAATAACTTAAAATAGCATGTAGCATTATGTGAGAACATTGAATATGTTTCATGCGTCACGTAGGGTTTGACATCTGTCTCTGTCCCCAGTTAACGGCTTGTGTCCATGGGTCTACGGCCATGTTGTATCCGATGCACTGGCAACACGTTTACATTCCTGTCCTGCCTCAGCATCTGTTGGACTACTGCTGGTGAGTCTGCTGTGATGCTGCAGCTTCCATGTCTCCCTGGCCTCCTGCACCAGGTTGTCACCAACATGGAGCCCCTGGCGGCTTTAGGATTTAGAATGTTTCACTATTTCCTACATTTCCTTTCCCGGGTCTGAATATTGGTAAGTTAATTGGTAAAAGGTTTTGCGGGCATTATTATTATTATAAAAGTGCCATAGAATAGTCTTTGAGATGACACTAATATTGTGTAAATATATCATTCAACAAAAGAAGTCATGGTGACGGTCCTACACGCAGAACGTCATGGACTTCCATTTGAAGAACACTGCATGAGGAGTCGAAGCTCGACGTCGTCCCACGAGTGTCCCCGGCGGCTGTATCTGTCTCATACTGTTGGATAAAACTGTCTCTTTGTTTCAGTGCCCCCATGCCGTTCCTCATTGGAGTACATTCCAGTCTCATGGAGGTACGTGTTTATGACTTCATAACTTTAAATTGTACCGGTGACTTTGAGCCCTCAGTCGTCTCCTGCCTGTGTTGCTTGTAGAAGGTCCGAGGGATGGCGCTGGATGACGTGGTGGTCCTGAACGTGGACACCAACACGCTGGAAACCCCCTACGATGACCTCCAAAGCCTGCCCAACGATGTGGTGAGGAGCTACTGCACACGGCACGCCCTCCACGCCTCAAACTGCGTCCTAACAAAGCTGCGTCGCGTTCCGCAGGTCTCGTCTCTGAGAGTCGGTTGAGGAAGGTTTCAACAACGACCGGGGACGGCGTGGCCCGAGCCTTCCTCAGGACGCAGGCGGCTCTGTTCGGCAGCTACAGAAACGCCCTGCAGATTGAGTTGGTGAGTTCAGACCGCCGTTGATCCCACCGGTGGGTCCGCGTCGGTCCTCAGCGGCATCGGTGGCTCGGCAAAGTGTGCTGGCTGAAGAAGGTGCCGTCTTTCACTGAGCAACAGAACCGCGACCGCCTGTCAAACCCCGAGTTACACTTTACAGCAGCCTGCATGTAGACAGTCACAGGACCAGTAGCCCGTTGGTGTGACCGGAGACCGGAGACCAGGGCCCATGTTTCTCTGTCCGCCAAATTGGTCAACTATCGAGTGGACGAAGTGGACACAGTTGCCACCCTTTAATTTGTGGACTGTGTCTTGAAACCTCGGGCTCTACCAATGAACAGGCTCATTTTTATCCATTTCCAGGGTGAAAGTACATAAATATTCATTTAGAAACTTGCACCCTGAGCTGCCTGTGTCCTTCTTATATGCCTGTTCCGCTGGAACCATTTTCGGGGCTGAGCGCTGAGAAAGCTCCGCACCCTGCGGGTCTGCTGCACGCGGCGTGCACGATGTTCATTGTGACGGACGGGTACAACACTGTGGCCGCGTGTTTCTCTGCCTCTTCAGGGAGAGCCCATAACGTTTAATGAGGAAACCTTTGTGACTCATCGCTCCAGTGCCATGAGGCACTTCCTCCAGAACGCCATCCAGCTGCAGCTCTTCAAACAGGTGTGCACGCACACACACACACACACACACACACACACACACACACTTCTCTACCTCACCCCCCCTCCTCCTCCCCTCTGAACACGGGTTGGGTTTCTGCTTGCAGTTCATTGACGGCAGGTTGGACCTGTTGAACTCTGGAGAGGGTTTCAGTGACATCTTTGAGGAGGAGATCAACATGGGCGAATACGCAGGTGAATCAGACGTAGTGTGTTAGTGTGTCGCCACTGACGTGGAAGCAAGAGTCCATTTAAAGGAGGATCACTGAGCTGTTGCATCAAACTTATTGGCGAGGACAAATTAAGAAATGGAATTATTCTGTATGAAAGTGAACCTATGAATGTTGAAGAAAGGGTTGGAGGTTGCTGCTGAAAGCAAATCAATGTAACCACAAGAGGGCAACAATGGGAGCCGTAATACCTCTGAGGTAAACAAGGGTACAAGTATAAGGCGGGCTAACGCTAACATAAAACAACACTTTAATAATGATTAAAAGTGCTTCCATGCTCAACACAACCATCGGGCTCGTCATATTTGTCACACAATAAATGCGGCGGGCAGCTCACCAACTTTCCTAAAAGTGGCACTCATTATTTACTACTACTGTTTTTTATTTTGCATTTATCGTCTCATATGAGAGGAGGATTTTTCTTTTTGGAAATCAAGTGAAATGACTCGTATATCAGAATCCGCTAAAGCCCATCAAATAATTTGCCTATGAATAAATATCTGTTAGAATATAACTAATTAATGAATACTATTCTGTATTTCATGGCTTATTTGACATGTTTGGAATCCCGCTGCGATGGAATTCCTTTTGGGATGTTTGTCACCATAGCAACGGTCGAAGCTTTACAGCATCCTGGTCAGCCGTACTTATTTCTGAGAGTGTAGGTTTCCTTGACCTCCTTAGCAGCTACCCAGCACGCCTACGACCTGTTGACCTTTCTATTGTTCTATTGATCCACCGCAGGCAGTGACAAGACCTACCATCAGTGGCTGTTCACTGTGAAGGTGAGTCTGTCTCCTTGCTTCTCAACTTGGTCCACTCTGGTCTCTGCTTTTTGCTGGGGGACAAATGAATGAAGAAATCCATTAAGCAGATTTTAAAGTTACTCGTAATGGGGTCGTATTAATTTTTTTAACATGCAACAATTTGTGTTTTCTAGGCAACTTTGGAAGTAATAGATAAGACCATAGTCAGGCCTGTGTTGGGTCTCTACAGCCTTATCTATTTAGTAACCGCAAGGTCAGCGTCAGTCAATATCTCACTTTTCTAGCTCTGCTTCTGGGAAGACTCTCAGAATTGATTTCATTCCATGAAACGTGTTGCTTTGCGCTTTTTAAAGCACAGATGCGTAGTCCAGTAATGTGACCGTCACTCACAGATGTTGTGTGGATGCTCTCTGACAGAAAGGAGGAGGAGCCATCTTCAACACCGTGAAGACCAGAGCGAACCCAGCCATGAAGACCGCTTACAAGTTTGTAAGCACGTCGCCGGCTTCTGTCCTAGATTAGAACGCGAACTGTTGTAAACCAGAAGGGAAATGACTCTGCGTTGTTTGTGCGACAGGCGAAGGACCATGCAAAAATGCGCATCAAGGAAGTCAAGAGCCGGCTCAAGCAGAAGGTATGTCGCCCCTCGCTGCTGACGCAGCGCTCTGGATCGTTGTCCTCTGTGAATTTGAGTAACCAAGCGTAACCTGTTAAGAACAGGCGTGTCGCCATGTATTTATGAATTACCGCGTTTCATGTCTTTGTACTTTGGTAACGAGAGAAGTTCTTGATAAATAGATATATGAAATAATTGCGTATTTCCCACCTGTGATACCACTGCGACCCAGTAGGGGGCCACGCCCCACGGTTTGAGAACAACCCCCCCCGCATTCCCTCCTCTCCTTTCTCATATGTCACGTCCTCCCGCCTGCAGGAGCAGGCAGAAAACGGCTTCTCCTCAGCCGGCTCCGCGGTGATGGATGATGAGTTCCCCTCCTCCACCCGGGCAGTCAGGAGGGAGGGGCCACTGAGAACCTCGGACGACAAGTCAATCACCGTGCACTTTGGACAGGTGGGCAGCGATGTGGGTACTGCTGTGTGTCCATATCCCTCTTTATTTACACACATGAGGAAACTTTACAAAACTTTGCTAAAGACTTCAAAACGCTTCGCAGATCACTTTTCGAGGCATCTCAGCGGGTAACGAGGGGCGGCCTCCATCTTTGCTCACGACTATTAATATTAAAGTTACATTTTGACAATACTGGATATTAGACTGCTGATTTTTGATGGACTTGATTTTTGTTGTCCATTCTTTGCCTTCCCTCAAATCCAAGTATTTGCAACGTTGTTGCCGTAGATATAATCCACGTTCTCCGTGGTGAGGACCATCCTGTTGTTTTACGTCCACAGGCTCGGCCCCCAGTGCTGCTGAAGAGACCAGGCAGCAATGTGAGTCTGGAGAGCACCGCTGACCAGTAAGCCTACCTCCATTTCACCCAGTACCTCACGCGGCCCACGGTGCGATCAAACACGCCTGAATATCTCTACAGCTACGCAAGCAGCTCGAGACGGAGGGCTGGAGAAACACTACGAGCCCACGCGGACCTTCTTAACGCAATGGCTCACCAGTTATCTTCACTGCAGAGTTTGCTCTTCTCGCCCAATTAGTCACATGCGACGTAAGATAGCTGTTAATGTGAGCAATGCCTGACAGCTCCACTTCACCACATCCTAACGTGGTTTAATCAAATGGAAAACTGTAAACGCAGCTCTGTTTTGAGATAACGGTATTACACATAACGGTTTTCTGTCTTTGGTTTAATGCGGGAAAACGGCTCCAGGTGTTCAGCTGTTGAGGGACAGTTACTGTCAATAAACCCTCCTGACAGCTGAGTCATTTAGTGAATAAAGTCAATTGGGAAGTAGCAAACATGCTAATCTATGAGTGAGAGTAAAGTCGTCCACACTTTGGGGGATTTCCTTCTGTTTCCCGTCGAGGTCTAATTTCTTTTAGACTCAGTCGTGTGTGATGAACCGCAACGTGCTGCTCTTAATTCACCCGGAGCTTTCCTTTCCCCTGGTGTTCCTCCCGCCGATCCTTTTTGACTGCTTTCCACTAACCTACATGTAACCAGCTGTTATTCCCTGTTGTCTTCTTCTCCTCGCCGTAGCTCTGTCCGTCCTACTCGCCACTACACCGTCTTTCTCTCCGAGGACTCGTCGGGAGACGAGCTGCAGTACGACGACGACGCCATCGCTGGCTTCCCTGACAGCTTTCTCTTCTCCGTCCCTTTCGAGTGGTCGCCTCTGTACGCATATCTCTCCTTGGCTCTGCACTCATTAATAAGCTTTTCTTTACTCCTCTTTTTTGCCTTCTAATGAAATGTGTGTCCGTGCGTCCCGTGTCTGGGTTCTAAGACACTGTGGCTGGAGTTCATCGTGCATCTGTGTTGGTTTGGATCAGACCACTTGTGCTATGATGAAGATTAGTCCCACGGACATTTCTATACCATCTTCCCCCTTTAAGGTCCCTGGTCGTATTCAGCCTCAATCTAAGGCCCATTTATTGGAGGATGTTTCCTGATTCATGCCCACCATTCCCTCTTTACTCAGACGTTTCACAACGGCGTCTCTAGGGTTACTAAAGTTGGCTGCTGTGAGAACGTGTCTCCACAGGGTCGTTTAAAAACAGTTTTTCTACACTTACTGTCAACTAATGAAACAAGGAGACCGACAGTCACTCGTACAGACTACAGACCCACGCTATGCGTACAGGTCACACCGATATACTCGTAGCTAAAACTCAAACAGAACTAGTGCTGCATTGTTTGTGGACTATTGTCATCTATGCTTTGATGCATATTTTGTCTGCCAGTTATTGGGCTCCAAACTAACCTCCGCTCACCATAGTGGGAGACGATGTGTTGACAGTCGATAAGCATGAGGGTGGCTGGGATACGCACATGGACTCTGGTGTGGGTGCATCTTTATTTGGGGTAAAGGCTGAACGGTCTTTTTTACGGGTTGGGTGGGTGGAGCCATGAAAAGAACAGAAGTGAATACCGATACCCGCCCCTGCAGGCCGCAGCCGTACCGCTCCCTGAAGGAGGTGGAGCTGATAGAGGGCGTCGATCCTGCTTTTGGGGCGGAGAGTCACACGGCCCCTCCCAGCCCGGTAAACGAGAAGTTTTCCAACATCAACTTGCTGGGCGACGTCTTCGGCTGCCAGGACGAACCGGAGAGCCAAGCCATCACGTTGGCCAAAAGCCTCGAGGACCTGAGGACCCCCAAAGACGCCGAGGAGCGACAAGCCAAGTTCACCTACCAGGTCAGAGGGTCTTTGGATGCTCTTCTAGTGTGGCTCTCACTTCCACTTAAACCGCAGTGTTTGGGTTCAAAGCAACAAACGCATTGTGTTGAGGATGATTTCTAATGACTGTTGACCATCCGACCACGTGACCTTTGATCCCATGAATTCGGAACTGTTTGTTGGAGCTGGGTTGACGTTCTAAAAGTCTGGATCTTGTTGTGTTTGCAGCGGATGGACCTGAGTGTTGGTGAACACTCGCGAACGCTTCCAGGCCTCAGGCTCCCAAACCCCTACAACAAGCTGTGGAGCGCAGGGCCCGCCGCCGCCGCCAACGCCGCGCCTCTCGCCTGCGGCAGGCCTCCGTCGGCCCAGCCCCCCCTGCCGATCGATGCTCCCTCTCCGAGCCGCGAGGGCGCCGGCCCGGGCCCCGACGCCTTGGACCCTTCCGCTCACGGCTACATCACCATCCCACGCCCCCACGGGAGGAAGACGCCCGAGCTGGGCTCCGTGCTCGCACCCCCGGCCGCCCAGCTGCGCCCTAAGCCGGCGGGAGCCGGCGAGGGAGGGACCACGTCGGGGGGGCAAGAGTTTAGACAAGCGCTGAGCATGAGCACAGATGGAGACCTGCTGAAGCCCAGCAGGACCACGGAGGACAGCATGGATCTGATGAGTCTGGACCCTCTGAGCAGCTCGGTGAGCGAAGCGGCGGACGCCGGCACGACGGCATCGTCCGGTAAACCAACGCTCCCACCCAGGCTCTACCCGCAGGGCTTGCCCCCTTTCCCACTGCAACCTCACGCGCCGCTCAACCCCTTCGCCCGTCCCCTGCGGCACGCCGCCCCTCACATGCGCTTCTCCACCCCTGCGGGTGCCAATCCCTTCGGTGCGGCCTACGGGCCTCCACCCGGCTGTTACTCGCACGCCGCCCAGCCGCAGTCCTTTTCCGCGCTGCCGGGACTCTACGGACGGCAGTCGCCCGGCAGCTCGGGTCTGCCGCTCGGCTACGGAGCCCAGTACGCCCAGTACGCCCCCTCCGTCACCTCCCTGTCGCGCTTCTCCGCCGGCAATCCCGCCCCGCCCGGCCTCACGGACTGCTCGCCGGTCCCCAGCGCAGCGGCAAAGCCGCTCCGCGCCGAGGGAGACGGCCGGAAGACGCTGGATCTTTTTGGGGATCTGCTGACTATGGCCAAGCCGGCTACACCCCCCAAAAAGAAGGTGGAGGACCTTCGAAGAAAGTGGGAAACATTTGACTAAAACCTGTGATGTGTCCTTCCCGTCACCACCCGAACTCACCTCACGACCGACGGGACCTTTTCTTCTGTTTGACGCCACATAGCTGGACCTCATGCTGCTCTGCATATGCAACCCCCCCTCGAATACAAGCTTAACCTTAAAATGAGTTAATAGACAACAGCTTATAGGGCTCCGTTATTATTATTATTCCTCATGCACACTCAAGTTAACCAGGAACCTGGTGGTGAAAGGGTCAACGTAACACTGACCCCTCCATAAGGAAACAATGCCATCAGCGTGAAGATGAGCGATATCTAAATAGTTAATGCCTTAATGTCACCGGGTGCGATTCCTCACCACATCAGCGTACGCAGCTTCACATGCTGCCAAAGGACAGCTGGTGGTCGGGAGGACTCCGATTCCCCAACAGGACATGGGGCAGGAGGTCCGGGGGGGGGCGGGGATGCAGAATCCGGGACGGGCCCCCTGCTGGTGGGAAGGGAGACGCTCCCTAAAAGGAGGGAGTCTTATAGTTGCCGCTCGTGGAAACACACGGCGGGTTTATTGAACCAGCAATGAGCCTCTCTGCTCGCGGTCTGTCAGCCTGTGCTGTTAGCTGCTGATGGTATCGGCCGAGCCCACTGGTCCCCAGCACCACCAGCGGCCCAACCAGTTTGTGAGGCTGCGTTCATGTCTCATCCCACCCCAGCGTTGCGCATGTGGAGTAGAGCCGGTGTGTCATCCGCTGAGACAGAAGGTCCTGGTCCAGTATGTATGAATGTTCATGCATCTCACACACACGCGACCGCCCGGCCCCCCGTGATCGGCCGTGCTGCTGAACGGCCCACAACACTACAAACCGCCCGGATGGTTTTCCTTGTCTGATCGTTTCTTTGCGCCGTCCTACCCCAGGGAGCAGCAGCCGAACGCCAGCTATGCTTTGAGATGTTCAGGTGCCAACAGTCCAGCGCCGCTCGTGCACGAGTCGCTCTTTCATTCATCGAGCGCTGTAGGTTTGTGACTTTAAAAGTAGCGTGCAGTCGTTTCCTGATAGAGGACGAGTGTCTTGAGGTGGACACTTCTAGAAGTAGCTGTAGCTCCAGATGAAGTAGGTCCTCCTGGTATCAGCAGAGGGTGGTGCCTCCGTCATGCAGTCAGTTCACCTGTTGATGTTTCTGGTAGATCCACGCACACTTTCTCTGTTCTGTTCGGCCTTCCTGAGGAACCCCCGTGAACATGCGTTGCCTCCTACCGTTCGTTTTATTATGAAATCTTAACATGCAAGCTCGTGGTTTCTTTGTGTGTAATAACACTGCATTATGTAACCAAACAAAATGTTTTACTTCACTGTGACAAACTCTCATTTTGTAATGATCTGCTGCATTTGTAATAAACAGCTTGACTATAATGTTACATACTTTTCCCCGCACAAGAAATGGTTGTAATGTTCTTTTTTCAGAATGTGTGGTTTGCACATCTCTTTTCCAATAGAATATAATACAACACATGTTATTTCTTCATTTGGATAATCAGATAATCATCTGAATTATATCTTTTATAATGCACTTATATTTATTTGTTTGGCACAAAGACGTCCATGATGCAGGTGTTACATTTGTATCCCGTCAGGCTGATTACATCATATATATAAATGTGTAATAAATATACATAGCATTTTGTTTAGGTATTACATAAGGTGTTGTTATAGGTCCTAACATTTGAAACATGTATACTGCATATATTAAATATATAAATGTGGACTGTTGTTGTTTTGAAGGGGTTCTTTAGATGAACAGATGAGTTCCTCGTTGCTTTCTGCCTTTGGCTTTGATGACTCCCAGTCAACTGGGCTCCCAGTTTGGAGACTGGTTTCTGTCCCCTCCCACTACAGGAAGTGCGAGCGCGTCGCTCCTCGTCAGTCTCCCCAGGTGACCTGTTTGGAGGATGCTGTCCATGTCTACATGTGTGTGTGTGTGTGATTGTGTACAGATGACACTTTATTTGTTTGTAGCCTCGTCTCCTATTGCTGAATACAAATGTTTCCTCTTTTACGTCCGCGTCACTTGATTGGCGTTGGACCAGCTGAGGATCGTCCTCTTGTCCCATCTGAGCCGCGTCCATTTTTGCATCTGTCTGTTGGTCAGATATCTCGTCCGCCGCTTCATATTCAAAGGACGTTTAATATAGAAATGTAGGTCAATCCCCAATAACTCCTGATTATTTGTGCTCGTGAAGACATCATCGGTTGACACTTAGTCCGGAACACAATACATGATAAATATGGTCTTTTAGGGACTGAATGTGTGGCTTTTCTCTACTCAAATCACACCAGAACATACTAAAGAAACATGAAAAAGCAAAGCACTGTTCTTTTTTTGTTTGGGTGTTATGAACCAGGACCACCTGACTGAACACGTGCTTCTCACAGATGCACTTTTATTGCATGTTTGTAACACATTATACGCATTCCAGATTTTGTACATTAAAAAACGAAGTGTGCAACCAGCATCTAAATATCTACTCAATGACGTGTTTGTTTTAACAACTATTACTTTCCATCACATTACAGTGCGCTGCAGAACGCTCCATCTTTTAGTACTTCCTCCTTTCCTTACTTATTTAAACTTGATGTTCTGAGAACGTGACTCCATCACACGCGGGTCCAATAGATTCTGCATTGATTCTAGACCAGCGTTGCCTGTGATACACGAGCAGTCACAGTGTCAACATGGAGAATCAATATAAATATACAAACTGTACACAAAGAGGGAGGGTCCCTCATTGGGGAGTAAACTGGACCTTCAAATGTAGAATCACATTGTTTTTTTGTGTGAATCTCTTCCCACTCTGCTCCTCGGTGTTTAACGGACCACTTCTATCCTGCGGGAACGTTTAGCATATTTAAAATGTTGAACTGTCAAACATTTGTTTGAGAAACATAGAAAAGTAAATGGGGACAGTTTTAAAAACAGCAAAACCATATCAAGACAGAAATGTACAGACCCGTGCCGTGTCATCCAAGTCTCATGCTAAAACATTTACAACACAAGCTGCTTCTGGTTCTCGTGGAACTCAGCACCTTATTATGTTGATTGATTTATCACCGGCTGTCATGACTGAGCGTGTATGACCCTCCACGCCGTGCAGAGCCAGGCCTCGTTGTCAAAAGAGGGGGGGTCTCAGTGTGACGGCAGTCCTCCGCTGTGATGCAGTCCGTGGGGTTTCATGGGATGAGCTTAGGTAATCTAGTGAACATCTATGCCAGCTGGTTTTGTTGGAAGGGGAAGCGGTACGTTTAGGTTGGCTTGAGCTACGTGAATATCGGCATCACAGAGATGAACTGCTGGAGGCTTCGCTTCTGCAGTTGGAGCCATTCATCCATTGCAGCAGAAAACGCTACAAAATGATGTTAGAATTATATATTTTTTGCAAATTCAAATTTGTGGGACAAATAAAGGATTTAGCTATGAGTCAAAGCTCTGACAAAAAGAAACACAGGTCACCACATTGCAAGTAAAACAGGAGAGATGAATTATGTTTCTTTGTTCTATAAAAAAGGTTCTTTTTCACTCTGTTTTTCTTCCATCCAGCGCCTAGTGGCCGAGAGAGGAACTGCAGCTTCTGAGCCCTGCGTCTTGGCTGCAGGTCCCGAACATCATCATTTGTTTGAGAGAACTTGCCTCTATGCACTAGGTAGGACCACCAGGCCGGACTACTAGGTAGGACTACTAGGTAGGACCACCAGGCCGGACTACTAGGTAGGACCACTACGTAGGATTACTAGGTAGGACCACCAGGCCGGACTACTAGGTAGGACCACTAGGTAGGACCACCAGGCCAGACTACTAGGTAGGACTACTAGGTAGGACCACCAGGCCGGACTACTAGGTAGGACCACTACGTAGGACCACCAGGCCGGACTACTAGGTAGGACCACTACGTAGGACTACTAGGTAGGACCACTAGGTAGGACCACCAGGCCGGACTACTAGGTAGGACCACTAGGTAGGAGCACCGGACTACTAGGTAGGACCACTAGGTAAGACCACTAGGTAAGACCACCAGGCCAGACTACTAGGTAGGACTACCAGGCCGGACTACTAGGTAGGACCAGTAGGTAGGACTACTAGGTAGGGCCACTAGGTGGGACCACTACGTAAGACCAGTAGATAGGCCACTAGGTAGGACCACTAGGTAGGCCACAAGGTAGGACTACTAGGTAGGACCACCAGGCCCGGGCACTAAGTAGGACTACTAGGTAGGATCACTGGGTAGGACCACTAGGTAGGCCACTAGGTAGGACCACTAGGTAGGACCACTAGGTAGGACTACTAGGGCCCTGCTGTGGACAAACTACATTGGGTAGCACCTAGAAACAAAATGCATTCTCTTTCCGTGGTGTCGCACAACACAGGTCACCACCACCAGCAGGGGGGGGCGGGGGTAGGGGGGGGGGGCTGTGTCCCCACAACAACTGCCCCTTGGTTCAGCCCAGATTGTGTTCCACAGCGAGTCCAGAGCAACCTGCCCGCAGCGCCCGGACCCCCTCATACCCTTCATCCCAGGCTGTCAGATGAGCCTCTCCTCCGGTGGGACTTTGAGCATGCTGTCCATCTCTAGCCGGGCCCCGGCCACCTCCTGGGTGCTGGGGCTGTACGCGCCCTCCGACTGGCGCTTCTTCCGCGCCGTGAGCGCCACGAAGGTCAAGCCGATGATGACGATCAACACGCAGAAGCAGAGCAGCGGGATGGCCACCACCAACCAGGGGACCCCTTGTTTGTGGGCTTGTTTCTGTGACAGGATCAGAGGGGCAGAGGGTGAGGAGAGGTCACGTCTTCAGGTACTTGACAACAGAAACCACACGGATGTTGAAAGGGCACACGGGGCATCCGGGTGCAGGTCCAACGTGTGCAGGACCCGTCCGACCGCCTTTGTCTAAAGGTTAACGAGGGGCGCTGATACCCAAGCGAGAGGTTTATAGAAAACTAAAGAAGAAAAGAAGATTCTAACAGACATACGTTAGTGTCACAGGTTGGACCGCTGTAGCCAGGCGGGCATTCACACACAAACATGTTGAATCGATCCAAACAGGAGCCGCCGTGTCGACAGGGGTTCGACGCACACTCGTCGATCTCCGACTCACACCTGGGACACAGAGGACACACACAGAAACCGGCTTTACCCACATTGTAGCCCACCGAGGACACTTCCAAAGGTACGCATGTACCGGGTCTACTGAAGCCATTTGGACTTGGAGTCATGCTAGAAGTTTTTGTTGTCCTTCTCATATCATTTAGTAAATAAACTGGAGGCACTACAAATGAATAGCCCCAATTGATTCCATTGTTTAAATTGTAAACAGAATGTTTAAATCTGTGAGTGAGCCTTGACCAATCTTTGAATTGGGTAAAGTCAGGTTCAAAACTCTGGTTTAATTTTGTTGATGTATAAACCTGTTGACCAGGTTATTAAAGATCCCAAGTGAAAAGGTCCTCTGTGGAAGCTCTTTACACTGTATTGTATTGTATGTACCAACGTCACCATGCAGAGGTCGGTGTGTTTCTTCAGTCATCACACCTGGTACAGTACACAGGGCCTGTATTCTAGCGTACAGTGTGACTGGAGAGGGTGATGCTCCTAGATTCCTATTCTACATTCTTATCAATTAAGTGAGCCCCAAGAAAAAAAGATATTCCTTCATTTATGAACTCGTGTCAATGTTTCTCCAACTAAAAATACGGTCTGTAAATATGTTTTGTGCTGACGCCTTTTTGCCAATTTATGGAAAAAAATATTTGTGTATCTTGGATTTTGGCAGTAGAACACAAAGCTTCTGAGGTATCCAAAGGAGGGCTCACCTGCTGCCTGTAAAACCGGGCATGCATGTACAGTTGGCTCCCCACAGCCCATCACGGCAGACCCCATCGTTCTCACAGCGGACATCTTTACCACACTGTATGGGAGGGTAGTCCCACCTGAAGGAAGAGGAGGGTCACTTTGCTTCAATGAACGGTACATAACAGATACACAGATGGATCTCATCACATCACACAGTCCGGGCTTCTCTCTTCACAATGGGTTTAAAGTTTTTACTCATGTCTGGATCTGTCCCATAAATATGTGGACCCAATCACAACGTCCCCCCCTTAATGCCTCAAACTAAGTTTATTAGTTTACTTCCTCTATGTATACTGGTAACCCCAGTTGAATGTCTCATTGCTATGAATCATGGGTCATTTTCTTGAACACCGTCTGCAGAAAGGCAGACTTATGGTAGCATTTCATAACGGGCTCAAAGGGTCTGTGGGACAGACCCTGGAGACAGCTCCATGATGTGACAGTGGGACAGAACCAAGCGCTCTCAGTAAGAGTCTGTGTCCGTCCAACGTTCCTGAGCCTCACATCCTCAGTAGGAGCCCTTCTGGCTTTCACTCCTTGTCTTTGGACCTGCCTGAACCAGGAAGCTCTTTTGAATGGTAAGTAGACCTGTTTATCTCTTTTCCAGGCGGGAAGTGCTTCCGATCCCGATCCCGACCTTTCATGTTGTGATGTCTTGCTCATCAACACTAACTGACATGCATATTCATATTCAACATACACACACCTCGGGCACAGCTGGTATTTCATATCTGAGTATCACTTGGTGTTATTACTTCATCTGCTGTGCTGTGGTATCAGGGTACCTCAGGGTACCTCTTACCACGTCCGTTTAAAGCGCTATATGAATATTATCGTACCACTTCCTGCTCCAGCCAATCAATAGGAGGCAGTACTCACTGGCAGCGAGGGCCGCTGTAGCCCTTGGGGCATGTACAGGTGTACATGTTGGGTCCATCGTGACAGGTGCCTCCATGCTCACAGGCGTGGCGCTGACACTCGTCCACATCCTCCTCGCAGAGCTCGCCGGCGTATCCCGGGTGGCATCGGCACTCGAACCCAGCCAAGTAGTCCTTACAGCTCCCGTGGACGCAGGGCTGAGACGCACAGTCATCGACGTCCGTCTCGCACAGCTCGCCCCCCCAGCCCGAAGAACAGACGCAGACCCGTTTGTTGAAGAGGTCTTCACAAGTGGCCCCATTTGCACAGGGGTCGGGCTCGCAGACGGGGGCGCCGGTGCAACCCAAACGGATCTTTGGTTTTCCAGCTAAGTGGAACTGAGACGGCTGCGGGGCTTTGTAGTCGTCCAGGAAAGGGAGGTGGACTCCACCGACCCTGACCGCCCCCAGGCAGCCGGTGAAGCTCTCCGCGAGGGCCAGCGTGGCCGACTTGTCGCTGAGGAAGCGGACGCCTCCCGCGCGCTGCGGCGCGCTGCTGGCGTCCGTGATCCCGTCCACGGTGATCACCCAGGGGGAGGCTTTGCGTCCCTTCTGGGCCATTGAGATGTTCACGCGGTGCCAGCCCCCATCGGCCACGCGGCGAACCCCCGTGAAGGCCAGAGCCTCGACGCTGTTGCCGATGTGGATCTCCACCCGGACCGACGAATCCAGCAGACCCACCATCAGCAGGTCGGGGCCCCGGGAGGCCCTCAGGAGCACAGCGTTCCCCGAACGGGTCCGCAGCTCCACGTATATGCTGGAGACGGGTTCAGCCAGGGAGCCGCCGGCGCTGTAGTGCACAGGGCTGTTCTCAAACGTGGCGTTGGTAACACCTGAAGGTCAATGGGGAGAAGGGATTGTTTTTGTAAAACATCCTTTACATTTTGATTTCATCAATCTGACAATTTGGATTAGCTTCCCTGAACTGGTCAACACAATAAACATGCAAAATACACCTTCAGATTTGATTTGAGATCAAGTTGTTTGTGTATCTGAACCTGAACAAAGAAGCCTTTCCAAAGTTTTAGATTTGGTACAAAGCAACAAAGAACATCTCGGAGAAGGAAGTCATGCTAAACTGGGTAAAATGTAAATTTTTGCTCACAGTCAAGTTCTATAGAGTAGAATTAAGTTCTACTCTGTAGAACCCATTAGGAAGCCTGACTTGCGTGAGATGCAGTGAACTAGAGAAGCTGACACTGGTAAGAAGAACCCGATGGTTGGCATCATTATCGTCCGGCACTCTTAAGAAGGATTGGTGGTCTTATACGAGATTGCAAAGTCACAGGACCACATTTACAATAATCCTTATTTGCACGTTACTTGTATGTTAAAAATAAAAAATCTCTTTGAGTTCAGTCGGAGTCAAAGCAGCTAATTGGATGGAATCTATTGCAGGTGCTCTGGTTTGGCTCAGAGAGGTACAAGTACAATGATTCTGATGCTCTTACAGTCAAATCCATCGGGGAGGTCCACGCAGTAGCCGCCATGGCCGCACGGACGGCCCACACACCACACGCGTGTCTCGCAGGTCTTTCCGGTGTATTCGGCCGGACACGAACACAGGAAATCGTTGAACGTGACGGTGCATTCTCCTCCATTTAGACAGGGCTTCACCTGAAGACAGAAACATTGAGACTATTTAGAGCAGGGTTGGAAGTGTGAAAGCTTAAACCGGTTAGCGATGGGATGTGAATTCTGTGAGCCTGAGAGCCTCGATACGACGGCGTAAGAGCTCTAAACTGGGAGGAGGTGCATGTTTGACATGGACGATAGTGTCAAGTCAGTTCAAACACTCATCCCAACTGAGTGTACACTGACGTTCAAAGGTTTGGGGTCACCCAGACAATTTATTTTCCCATGAAAACTCACACTTTTATTTAGTTGCAAAATGAATAGAAAATATAGTCATTGACAAGGTTAGAAATAATGTTTTTTTTTATTTAAATATTAATTTTGTCCTTCAAACTTTGCTTTCGTCAAAGACTCCTCTGCAGCAATAGACCTTTCGTATTTGTTACCAGAAATACACAGGTAAACAAATGCAAGCAACGAGCAACGAGTTATTGTGGCGTGTTCCTGTTATTCCCCAAAGCAGCCGCATCAGTCGTTTCATTCCTTCCTTTCGATGGTGATGTCCAGGCTGTCCGGCGGGATGAAGGACCTAACTAGCATTACAAAGGGGAGCACTTATGTCTGCAGCAGACACTTTACCTCAAACGACCACGTTTTCGGGATCGCTGTTCGCCGCTTGAAGCCAGAGGCCAGAGGCGTCTGAAGCCAGAGGCCAGAGAGCTATGATTCATGTGTGCGTAACACTTTTTCCAGTCTTCCTCTGTCCAATGTCAGTGTTCTTTTGTGGACATGAATCTCTTCTTTGCGTGTATCAGATGTTGCATCCCGGAGTCGCCTCTTCGCTGTAGACGTTGGCGTTTGCCGGTTCCATTTAAAGAAGCTGCCAGTTGACGACCCGTGAGGCGTCTACTCGTCCTGCGTTGTGCACCGGGGCCTCACACTACAACAACGGAGTAGTTCACCCCGCCGTAGGACACTTTCAGTGTCTTCACAATTTCTCGCATGGAATAGCCTTCATTTCTAACAAGAACAGGCTGGCAAAGTGAAAGTTCTCTTTAGAGAGCATAATCAAAGCTACAAATGAAATGCTCCAGTTACTCAACGAGCCCAAAGGCCAGTTTCATAGCTTCTTTCACCAGAACAACTGTTCCAGCTGTGCTAACATAATGGCACAAGGGTTTTATAATCATCCATTAGTCTTCTCAGGCGATTAGCAAACACAACGTCCCATTAGAACACTGGAGTGATAGTTATCTTCATTGAAAAAAACTGTGCTTTTCTTTGAAAAATAAGGACATCTAAGTGACCCCAAACTTTTGAACGCTAGTCTATATCAGACCATCATAATAGTAAGGCGGAACTGAAGTAAAGGAAAGCTTGTAGCTCGTTCATGCAGCTCTACTGTGAAGAAAAGAGTATCTCCTACCTTGCACGTGTCGTCGCTGACGCAGGCCGTCTCCACATTCCCAGCATCACTCGGTAGATACGCTCCCTCCCCGTCCGAGCTGTTCCAGGCGTCCACATCTAGATGCACAGAGTCCAAGCGAAGGTCCTGCAGGCAGCCTTTGTAATGCCCCCCCCACGCGTTGGAGTCCCAGTCTCCCGGGAGTCCCCCAACGTACGCCCGATCCCCGATGCCGAGGGTGACCGCGGGGATCTCTCCGATCCCGTAGCGAAGGCCCGCGTGCTCAAAGATCACCTGTCGGTGGCGCACTTCCACCTGCAGGAGTTGCTTCTCGCCGGTGGTCACAAATATGGGAGCTGTTAGGGGGGCGCTGTTGGGCAGAGAGCTGACGAAGACCCTCCCCATCCCCAGGTAGACGGAGAAGTATACCTCCCCGCCCTCCTCCTCCTCCTCCGTGGGTCTCCTCAGCTGGAACAGCAGCCCGTCGGGCTTCAGCGACCTCAGGAAGAAGGACACACTGAAGTTGCTCTCGTGTCTCCTCCCGACATCATAGACGCTGAAGCTCTCTGTGTCCTCATGGCCGTATGTCCATGACGGGAACTCTGACAGGGGAGAATTGGAAGTTTGCATTAATTAATCAGCTCACGTGTCGGCACAAAGTTAAAATAAAGTAAAATCAACCCCGTTTCTTCAAATGGGAGATCATGTGGATCATCGGCATTGTGCTAAAACACCTACAACTTAAACAAGAGCTGTCACGGCTCACAAAGGGACGGACTTTTTCTGTTTGAAACACATACAAAAAGAAAAGCAACTGCTTATCAGAGTAAAGGTCACGTTGCAGCCATAAGGGATTTCCCTCTGCCACAATCCCTCACCGGCTTCCCACCCTGAACCCTCTTTGCTGTATCTTGGCTTCAATTGTCAAAGATGAGGTTTCCTGTTACTGCAACAAATACTCTACGTCATAGAGTTTGTACAACGGTGGAACATCACTCAACAGATTGAGTCAAGCTGGAAACATCAGTAGATTGTCTCTCCCTGCAAGTTATTTCCTAAAAACGAGGACACTGACTGCTTGAGTTGGTACTTGTAGGGGACGATACAGAAAAATATCATACAAACACGGAACGTATGGTTCGACAAACAATATATACATCACCCCTTTACAAAATATCCTGCTAATGAAACTAGCGAGCAGTGTAATAACTGACTATTCACATTATGATGCTCCTGCCTCATTGACGAGGTCCGTGCTCTATATGCACCTTCACTTCTGATACCCGAAGGCCCAGAGCGCCTTCCACCCTTTGTCTCATGACTGAGGCAATCTCTTTATTTGATGTTTTGGGCTGTACAAAATAAATTGAGTTTACACCTATTAGGACTAGTTTGACAAGATTTGTCTGGAGATTTAGATTTTGTGGTAGACGGTACCGTCAGTGCAGCGCTGGCTGTGGAAGGGACGGTAGCAGGCGCACTGATAGCTGGTCCACAGGTCCACGCAGCGTCCATGTCCATGGCACGGGTCGGGCTTACACCAATCGGTCTTACTGCATCCCAGCTCGTGGCCTCGGCCCTTCGGAAGCGTTTGCGGTAGGACGGGCTTAGAGTCGATCATCAGGTCTTCCATGCAGCCGATGAAGCCCGCGCCGCTCGCGGAGAACTCTAAAAGCTCCTCTGGTGCTCCGCCCACGTACACGTGAGTGAAGGCCTCGGAGGGCAGGTAGGGTGGTTCATCCGCGCCGCCGTCCGTGACTCTGCATCCATCCCTGTCGCAGCCACGGCCTTTCAGGATCAGCACCAGGCCCTTGCTATCCACAAAGACGTGGGCGTCCCGCCAGTCTCCATCGCTGACCAGTCCAGGAAACGTCGCATCCAGTTCGGCTTCCTCGGAAAAAGCTTTCGCTCGAAGACCTCCCTCCACGATCTCCAAGACGAGGTGATTGTCCGCATCCCCCCTGAAGAAGAGCACCACGTCGGGCAGAGTCGTCCGGAAGCGCAGCTGCACCCCGTGCCCGCGGTGGACGGGGTGCTCGACCTCCCTCCGGGTCCTCCCCTCGGACGCAACCTGGATGTGAACGTAGCGGGCCGTGGAGAAGGAGAAGGTCGTCGGCGTGGAGCACCGCTCGTCGTAGAAGCCGTGAGGGCACAGGCACGTGTGACCCTGTTCCCCGTCCGCCAGCCACGGGTGGCACGTGGCTCCGTTCTGGCACGCGTGGCCCACGCAGCCGCGCAGCTTCACGCCGCAGTGACGGCCCCCCCAGGGGAGCTCGCCGGCCTCCGCCTCGGGACAGTGGCAGCTGTAGGAGGCCCTGCCGTCCTCGCACCAGGCGCCGTTCTGGCAGGGCTGGCTCTGGCACTCGTCAACGTTCACCTCACACAGATCGCCTGCAGGGGGACGACAACTGGGGGTTATTTTCTACTACTTCATGACTCCCCTTTCCATGTTGGTGGCTCTCGCAACTGATTCAAAAGATGTCAAACGACCAGAATTCTTTCTAGAAAGCTCTGTGATTTCTCATCAAGCGTCACTCACATTCGGGACGGTGGAAAGTTAGTACACCTTCTTTGTTTTTTAAAACATATCAAACGGGATGTACCTGACCTCATGTTAGACGGCAGAAGGTGTGTGAAAGGTACCTGCCTGGGCTCCAGCTGTCGGACACTCACCTAGGAACCCTGCAGAGCAGGTGCAGGCGTAGCCGTTGACCGCGTCCTCACACGCGCCTCCGTTCTGGCAGGGTTCTGACTCACATTCGTCTATGTTGACGGAGCAGTTCTCGCCTGTGGTGCGAAACGAAACGAGGATGAATAAAACGCTGAAATGATATATGGCTGTTTTTGTTGTTGTTGTTATGTTGCGGACCTGCGAAGCCCGGCTGACACTGGCAGATGTACCCCGCTGCATCCTCAGACCGGAGCTCCCAGTCCAGCACCCAGTGAGACGGATCTGAGCGCTCAAAACACTCCCCGCCATTCTCGCAGGGCAGCTCGGAACACTCGTCTATATCAATCTCGCAGTTTGGTCCCGTGTAACCTGCAGAAAACACAACGTTTTATTCACACGTAACAAGCTTCCACACACACACGACCCCACGAAGAACCGGGGTCACGCCCGTGTTCGCGAGAGTTTACACGGCAGCAAACATGTTTAATCGGGTATTATTTGGGTTTTGAACTAATATTCTGTAGGTGGTTTTGTTGTTAGCTGGTTGACTCCTTGAAAGCCCCTCAGGACGTTTCATTTGTTAACAGGCGGCTACGTTTGTACATTGACACAAAACAAAAGAAGAAAACGATATAATAATACAAGCTTTCTTAAAATAAGTGCATTTGTTGTAGTGTAAATGTCCAGTGTTTAGGATTAAGTTACTGAAATGAATTGAAAACAGGACCATGGCAGCGATAGACTCCTCCACCCCAAACGTGGACGGCTTAGAAACAAAAAACAAACGTCATCTAGAAGAATTTTCCAGTCCATATCTCAGTGGGAAGCCGGTGTATCCGATTGTGGTTCAGTATAAATCCACAGTGCTCACAGCTCAGGTTCTAATGACAGTGAGCTTGTGTGTCCTCGTGAGGGTACGGCGATGTGCGACATGTACTCGGTACCTGGCCAGCAGGAGCAAGTGTATTTGTTGACTCCCTCTAAGCATGAGGAAGCATGCTGACAGGGATCAGAGGCACACTCTGGGATGTCCACGTCACAGTGGTCACCCTGGAATCCTGTATCGCTGCAGTCACATTCATAGCTGCAGGAGACACAAATGAGCAGAAAGAAATGGTCAATGAGGAACAGGCAATTTCTCGCAGCAGTCTTCTCTTATGTCGGCTTTAGCGGTTACAGTACATTCACTAACTGAAAAGCGTGCGGTATTGAAGAAGACGTCATTCTAGAGATGCAGTGTGTTCACAGTGTTTACTGAGGACGACCAGAGAAGTCAGATAACTTTCTTATAGACTTCTACAGAACCAACATTTCTATTGGTCAAAGAGCTGTTGTTGGAGTTGTATTTCTTGATCTCAAGAGGGAACACATTCTTTTGTCAAAGTTGCACAATTTCTCCTCAGGTACACTTAAACGGATCAAATCGTATTTGCTAAATAGATCACAGTATGTCCAAATACAGGACTGTCAATCTACTGCCCCCTACTTGTCCACAGGTGTGCCCCAAGGATCTGTTCTGGGTCCACTGCTGTTCTCTTTATACATCAATAATCTGCCATCGACATCCAAATCTATGCAGATGACACTGTAAATTATTTGGTAGCAAAATCGGACAAGTGGCAAATTGTCTGACTAACTCCACGGTTCATGTAGCCGCATAGTTAAACAATGCTGTTTACAACTAAATGTATCAATGTACCAAATGTATGTTTATACCACAACAAACAGGTAGTGTTTGTATCTGGGGAGAGGCTACGGGCTGTACCTTAAATTATCATTCAAAGCTCAGGTGAAAAAGGTCCGTAACCGGGTCAAATACAGATTTCACACACAACTACATGGCAATAGATGCAGCTAAGACGCACATGCTTTCTATGGTTGTTTCGCACATCGCCTTCTGTTTAACAAACTGGTCACAGGCGCGCACCACTGCGCTGAAACCACCGCAGTCATTGTACAAACAAACACGCAAAATCCTCGATAAAAAATCCATTCTTTCATCCTTCCTTTTTTTTGCATTGTGTGTGTTCATTTTGAGAGCCTCAGTGTTGCATCTTGTTGGTACTTTTACAGTGTTTAGTGGTTTTATTCTCACTTTTGTCATTGTTTGTGCATGCATTGTAAAGCCTTAATATTATTCTTATTATTATTAAGTTTTATTTTATGACAACCCTAACTCGCCCCGATGTCCTTGACCATCTTGATATAACAAGTAGAGCCAACCTTTAAACAGCATTAAATACATCTTTAACAACCTAAATAAATAACATAAACAGTTGAATATAATTAAATCTATGGTATTCTGCCACCTACTGGTCCCTGTGGTCACTGAAACACAACGCGTGGGACGAGTGTGGGACCACAAACCACTAAACTATATTATTACCTACATTATATTCCATCAAATAGTGAACGGATGAGTATCGTTGTGTACATGGATGAATGAAAATACATCTGCGTGTAGTCAGCTACTGTCGCTAACACACATGAGCTTGTCTTTGAATGTTGCCCTGGTAACCGCAGGCATCACCGACGGATTTCTAGCATATAAACAATCTATTGCGTTGATGCTTACTGTGAAAATCGACACACTTCCGCTTTAGCGCCTACGCTTCGTTTTTTTCGTTTTATAGGCAAAACCAAAAAGGGATTAACGAAAAAGCTGTTCGTCTTGTGTTTTGCATCTAAACGAAAAACGAGAAAACGGGCGCCCACTTCGGTTTTACCGTTTTTGATTTGAAACCAAAAACCGGTATTTCTGTATTTTCGTTTTATGGTTTTTACGGTAAAAGGAACTTGTCTTTCTCCTATTTGTGGGGAATTAAATTATATTATTATTAAAACATTGGGTTGTATTACACGTAAATGGACAATAATATTCTGGCATATACCGTGAAAAACAGTGATCCTACGGTAACATACCAGAAAAAAACGGATTGTTATTGACGCCCCTGATGACAATAAGTTACCATTAATTTACGGTGACATTGTCGGGACTGCCCACCTGTTCACCATGTCGTGGCAGACGGCCCTGTTCTGGCAGGGGTCGCTGGCGCACTCGTCCACGTCGACTTGGCAGTCCACCCCATCGAACCCGGGCGAACACTCGCAGGAATACGCGGCGATCAAGTCGCGGCAGGTGGCCCCGTTGTGGCAGGGCCCGGACGCGCACTCGTCGATCTCCATTTCGCAGTTGACTCCTGTGGAGGGAGGGAGGGGGAGGTAGAGGAGGGAGGGAGGGTGTGATGATGATGATTGTGGTGAATGGATGGAATGAAGCTGTGGTTGCTGCTGTTCACAGTCAAACGATGTGTCACATTGTTTTGTCTACAAGCATCAGTGTCTGGGTCGATCTGTCTGTTCAGATACCCAGATGCCCCCTGTGATACGAAGCCGCTTTACAGCCTCCAAACAGTGACGGCGTGACAGCCGACTGCCCTCAGATAACACGGAGGTCCTCTGACACACAACACGCCCGTAGAGAAAAAGCAAGACGGGAGAGTCTCCTCTCACACGGAGACGTTATCTGAGTCCGGGTTATCTGGCAAGGCGACTGCCCACTTAGAATACTCGCCATGCCCGCTTTATCAGGAACGAACCAAACGCTGGAAACAACGGATGGTGGCGAGGAACAAGGAGAAGAAAAACAAGTAAGCCGCCGTCCGCGAGCAGGAAGAAGTGAGATGAATGTTGATGGCGTGATAGTTTACAGTGATGCACATTGTCACATTATTGAAAACAAACGGGCACTTGTAGCACCTCTCCCAAACAGACCTACCTGCGAAGCCCTCCAGGCACTCACACTCGTAGTGGTCCTTCTCATTGATGCAGGTGCCGTTGTTCTCGCAGGGCCGCGAGGCGCACTCGTTGATGTCGATCTCGCACGTGTGACCCTGGAAACCGGGCACGCAGAAGCAGCGGAAACTCCGCTTCGCCGTCCACGCAGATGGCCCCGGTCCGAGCAGGGCTACGAGGAGCACTCGTCCACGTCGCGCTCGCAGGCCTCCCCTTCGAACCCCGGCGCGCAGAGGCACCCGAAGCCCTCCGGGCGCAGCACGCAGGTCCCGTTGCTCCCGCAGGGCCCGTCGACGCAGTCCGTCACGCGCGTCCCGCAGCCCCGCCCGCCGTAGCCAGCGGGACACCTGCAGAAGTACCCGTTGGGCTGGTCCACGCACAGGGAGCGGGGCCCGGAGCAAGGGTTGCTCTGGCACTCGTCCACCTCCTCGGTGCAGTTCTCGCCCGAGAGTCCGTCGGGGCAGACGCAGCGGTACCCCGCGGTGCCGGGCGTGCTGGCGCAATCCTCGCAGGGCGCGAAGGCGCAGGCGTCGTACAGCTGGTCGCAGTGCTTGCCCATGTGTCGGACCCCGTCTTGGGCACAGATGCAGGCGTAGTCGTCCATGGAGTCCACGCAGGTGGCTCCGTTGTGGCAGGGCGCGGACAGACACCTGTCCGACGTGGCATTGCAGAGGATTCCTAAAGAGAATGCGATGTTACTTCATGTGTGTTAAGGGCGTACTGTGGGTACTTGAGAGCGGCAAGGGGGTCTCAGACGAATCAGACACTGTCAGTCCACACGTGCATGCAAGTCCATTCTGATGCACACGCTGCTCCTCTAAAGCTGACCAGATACACTGGAGGTGATAAGAAGCCTGGTGCATCAACGAGGATCTTCTCGTCAAAGACCTTGATTGGACCTGGAAAGGCAACGGCTTCTGCTATAGATCCCAAAAACAAGTACCAACCACTGTAAACTTAATTATAATACGGGGTGATAAAAACAAGCGTCATACGACCGTCAGTGGTCATTCACAGCTTGACGTTGATGTTTGGGGGCAGTGACTTTGAGCGGCGGGTAACGGCTACGCGTTGGGCCTCACGGCTTAAACCAAGCGGTGTGTTGTCATAGGAATAATCTGTCATGTTCACACTGAAGTGTCACCAAGTGATTACGTGAAGATGAACAGAAAGTCCGGTGAGACGTCGTTTCACGTGGACCCGCGTAAAGAGCCACGTGCTGCTGGGACGGGAAGCAGCTTAAACACGGGAACCAACACAGTGGGGACGCAACAGGACACCCGAGAACGTCCACTCTTATTCGTCTGGACGTCTCCACACCTCTCGACCTCTAATCTGCTTTCACTTCTTCTCCTGAGGCAGACGTGTTAAATCCAACATGTGCAGACGTCCCACACGTGTCCCGCTGTCTGCTTCCGTTCGGTTTGTATTCTGACGGGATTACGGACAAACTATTGACCCCATATGTGTGTGTGTGTGGGGGGGGGAGGGAGGGCTCACACACACACACACACGCATATGCAAATGAACTTATATATTATACAAATTATCACAATTATCACAAAGAGATGTTTTAATGGATATTCATTTTCACATATGTCCAACAATGTCCACATTCTACAAGGATATTTCATAGTTTAGAAAAAATGAGGCCCTATCGGCCTGCAGGACGGAGTTGCAGCAGAGTTTTAATGGGTTTGAAGGTTTCGTGAGCTATAATTGTGCTTTGTGCTCTATGAATAGCCACTCCTCCCCCTGTCCTCCCCCTGTCCCCCCCCTGTCCCCTCCTGTCCTCCCCCTGTCCTGCCCCTGTCCTCCCCCTGGTCCCACAGTTGATGTGAACAGCAGCTCGAGTGAGGAGTCACAATACAAACGCTGTCTCCCCTCAGCGGCCAGCGGCACGAGGTCTCTGGGGAATTAGTCCACATTCCTTTTGTGAGGACAATCCCAACACTCCCCCATCCAGCACTCCCAACGTCCCGCTCCACCACTTTGATCACTGCTCTGTTTCCACAGTACCACTGAAGTGGAAGATATTAACAGTGAAGGGAGTTATGGGGGTGAGGAATGGGGGCAGAGAGAGAGAGAGGGAGAGAGAGAGAGGGAGGGAGGGAGGGAGGGAGTATTTAATGAGATGAGTCACTTTGTAAAGAATTGCACAGGAACAATATATGATAAAATGTGACTGTTTTTGTTGCCACTGAACAGTGTGTGTGTGTGTGTGTGTGTGTGTGTGTGACACCACCAAGCGCTCCGCCAGCAGGAACAGGAACAGATTACACCGTCACGCCTCTAATCTCCCCTCATTAGAAGAGAGTGGTCAGGACTATCAGCGGGTAATTACAACCAAGAACCGTCATTTCTGGACACGTTGTTATTTATTTGTGTGATTGAAATGAACCCTTTTGTGTTAAGTTATTAAGAGAAAACTAATGATGAGGGATTTCTCGTTATAACCTGAAATAAAAAGTGTCTGCAGCATATGGCGCTGATGGACGAGCATGCACCTCAGACATTGGTTTAGTTAAAGTAAAAATCCATAATCCACAACTCCAAACTGCCCGGATTATGACAGAAGCAGATTAGACAGCGAGTTCGTTACTGCAAGCTGCAAGTATAAAGATGATTGCAGTTTGAAAACAACATGCAGATTCTACAAATCCAAAATGAAAAATAAAAAAGCCACAGGCACCGCATCAGCAGTCCAACCAACACCTCATAGCTCATAACCAACACCTCATAGTCCATAAGCAACACCTCATAGTCCATAACCAACACCTCATTGTCCATAACCAACACCTCATTGTCCATAACCAACACCTCATAGTCCATAAGCAACACCTCATAGTCCATAAGCAACACCTCATAGTCCATAAGCAACACCTCATAGTCCATAAGCAACACCTCATAGTCCATAAGCAACACCTCATAGTCCATAAGCAACACCTCATAGTCCATAACCAACACCTCATAGTCCATAACCAACACCTCATAGTCCATAACCAACACCTCATAGTCCATAACCAACACCTCATAGTCCATAACCAACACCTCATAGTCCATAAGCAACACCTCATAGTCCATAAGCAACACCTCATAGTCCATAACCAACACCACATAGTCCATAACCAACACCACATAGTCCATAAGCAACACCTCATAGTCCATAAGCGACACCTCATTGTCCATAAGCAACACCTTATAGTCCATAAGCAACACCTCATAGTCCATAACCCCCATGATGGCTCAGGTTTGATATAATTAAGGTGTATTCTGACCACAAGCAGAAGGCTGCTGTCATTTCCAATCGAGGTTCATCTTCCTGTCGGCCTAAGCGGTGTGTGGAGGTTACGGATTACGGGGGGGGGAGATGGGGGCATTAAAGTGGGACCAGTCCAGGTGGCGGACGGGTGTTGGGAGATTAGGATCAAGTCTCCTTGATGTGCGAAGGCGACCGGGACAAACAGCTCAGTTGATTGAAGTGATCCCTCGCTTGAGAAACTTAACGGGAGTGCTGTTATCCAAACGCGGTGAGGGGAGGAACGTTTTCAGGCCTCTTTTCCCTCCGTGAACTAATTAGATTTGAACCGTCTCAATCTTTAATCACATGCATTTATATGCATCTGCCTCTGTGATTTTCACTTAACTGTAATTCATTTAACTATGGTTATTAAACCTTGGATTACTTTATTTTTGGTGGTGGTTTGAATATTACGCTGTTGTTTTGGTCCACTCTGCGCGCCTTTCACCTCCTTTCTGATTCCCGGATCCTCCACCTTCTCCTCCTCCCGCCCAACCCCCCACTGCTAATCTCCATCCTGCCTTTTCCCCATAGCAGGCTTGATGGCCCCCTGACCTCTAGAGCCTTTGCATGTTGTAATCCCTCTGGTCTCTTTGGGTCAATCTCTGTGCTCCTCTAATCTCTGAGTAGCAGGATACCTGCAGATTACCAGCTCCAACCGCTCCGTCACCACGTCGCCGCTCACATGCTCTTCGTCCTCTCACTCATCCTCAGCCGTGGAGTAACCAGATCATGTTCTGGACTGCGTTTATTTCAACATTCTTTTTCATGTTCGTTGACAAAACTGTGCGCAGAATAACATCCGTCACATGCAACTGACGTGTGGAGCGTCAGCGTTCACCTCCCGCCACTTCAATGCTCAAGTCACCATCTGATCTGATGTGCGTTCTATTCTCTCTGGAACAGAGATTACTTATGCTAAGCTAGGCTAATCACTTCCTGACACCAACCCCGCACTTGACACAAGGCGGATCTTCACATCTCACTCACATTGAACCGTTGCTTATAGACGTCAACTCTGTATAAAATGATGTCTATGGCAATGGGACTTTTTTTTAACTAGTGGGCGGGGCCAGGTGCATGAATCCAGCAGGTATTCATTCACCTGTGATCACACAGCTCATCCCCACTTGCTCAGCAGTTCTTTGCAGTGTTTCTTTGGTCATGAAACCTCCCGGTTGATTCATTTCTGAACTTTGCTGAAATGCTGATCTCGGTGAAAAGGATCAATGAAATACTTTATCCATAAACTGTGAGACGACGGGGCCACAAGGGCCCTCAAGCGTTCTCTCACAATGAGCACAACTAAGTATTGTTGTTTTGTTATGTTTTTTTAGCTTTCTGCACGTTGAAGACATCTCTGTGTTCCTGGAGGAGTCAAATTAGTTTGAGAAACACGTTTTAGTACATATACTAGTATATATCAAATACACCTGCATGTCCTGTAGTCTGCTTTGTCGAGTTTGGACTGTTGTGGTGAAGGTTTCAGGACAGAGGAGGTCGTATGTGTACAGACTGTAAAACCCTCTGAGGCGAATTGCGATTTTGGGCTCTACAAAATAAAATAAAATGAATGAATTGAATTGAATCCCATAAACGCTCACTGACACACACACACACACACACACACACACACCCTCTCTTGACGAGTCTAGGGAAGCGGCTGCGCACTTTGTCATCTTATCCACGGATCGGTTCCATTGGACTTAAATACATGCTGCAAACGTATTGTAATCTTACAGAATATGCAAACGCTATTCCTTCTTACAGTTGAGCATTTACCTTCTCGTCCCATCAAAGACGACCCGAAATTAAAGCCCATATGTCAGATATAAGTGAGCTGACTTTTTGCCGCCTGAGCTTCTATTTGGAATCAAAAACGCAAACTCTCCGGCGCCTGTGCGACCTCATTCTGCGCCTCCATTCATGCGCAGACGGATGTGAGAGGAGGACGCGGAGCTTCTGATTCTCAACCAGTCGTGTGTCAAATCTGATAAAAGAGCCAGTTCAAACGTCGAAGCCTTTCTCTCGCGTGACGATGCATCTAACAAACCACCTCTGCGATAATCATCCTCACTGACTCCAGGTCTGTCAGTCCGGTGGAAGCGCACTGTGCACCGGCCGGACCTCTCCTCACTGTTGTAACAACCCCCCCAACGTCTATGCGAGGCCCACTTGTGCCCCGTCCTGAGAGCAGCAGCTCTCAGAGACACATTCCTGAACGCTGCCCAACCAAAGAGCAGCAAAGACAAAATGCATTTTGTGACGCTGTTTAAATCCCTGTGACAACCTGCTGCTTCGGCAGCAAAGAGGATTAAACAGTAACTTCACACTGAATCTCCGTTGGGATTCACAGTGGGATCTCCATCAAGTCCTCGCAGCGTTCAACTCCAGGTACGAGGACCACTTCAAACTGGCCCCCCCGAACTCTCCACTCACCCCATTTAAACATCATCGTGGTCAGCAGCAGCGTCTTCAGGTTGGGGTGAACCTTCCCCGGCTCCATGGTGAGAAGCTGGACGGCGGCGCGGTGGGAGAAGACGAGTCCTCGAGCGGTTACATCCTGCTGCTCCTCACCGAGCTGCTGTCGCTGCCCAGACGCCGGCGCGACTGAGCGACCGGAGCTCCGGCGGACGAGGCCTCCTCCCCCGTTCCGAGCGCAATCAGCCGCGAGGGCAGAGAGGCGACGGCAAAACGTGAGCTGGATCAACGCCTGCTGCTGGCGAGGCTCCTCCTCGTCCTGCTTCATCCTCGTCCTATTTAAGGAGTCATTTGTGCATCAAGACTGTATCCCATTAAAGTATTGGTATTGGTAGAATGACACAAATCACAGCTACATTTGAACTTCCAGTGTCGTGCACATAGAAAAGAACAGTCGAGTGAAATAAAAGGCACCTTTTGAATTCGTCTCTTTGTGTGGACAGGAGCCGTCTGTGAAACTGATAAAACAGGCAAACTAAGCTGATACGGACAGTCTGTGTCTCACAGCACAGGACATCGCTTCCTTTGGCGATGTTTCTCCTGCAAACCATCGCTGACAAGTCTAAAAATGTGCAAAGAGTAATACTAATGCGATGTGAATCTAATGCGATGCAATATTCAGCTGTCAGAAGTACGACTTCTCCAGTAAACAATAACGCTGTGAGAAGCTGCTGTGACCTTTGGGAGCTCCTCATGTGGTCTACAAATAATAATATACATACATGTGATCATTGTGTTCACTCAACTCAACTCGACCATGTGACCTCTGTTTAGTTATTGTTCTGTTATTAATCGTGGTGTGCACATTGTTGTTATTATCTCCAAACTGCATGACATTTTGAGCACATGCATGACTGATTACACGCTCAACTTGCTTTGTCTTTGTCTTTTACCCGGCGAGCTCGTGTGAACCAATCAGGCTCTGGTGCTTCGTTGACCGGCGCAGTCCAGCCGATCCAGGTCGGGTTTTAGTGTCTTCAGCAGCTTCGGTGGTTCCTTTGTAGCGTGGAGCTTAGCAGTCAGGCATCCATCACTTGGCCTGTTGGCGACTCGTTGCCCCCCCTGACCCGCCCCCCACATCCCTCCCTGAACACCAGCTGGGCCTGACACCCCACAGCCCAACAGGCAGATTTGCACCCATGAACTTTGTGTCACCCATAGTCACTCATAGTTGTGCGTGTGGATAACGGTGTTAGTGCCCCGTAGACGGCCTTCACCCAGAACGTCTAATTGGGAAGCTGTTTGGACAACGAAATGCTTCCCAGCAGTTGAGACTGGATCTTGAACCCTGGAGAGTCGTCAGCACTCATGAGGCAAACCGTGTTAAAATCATCTGCCAGGAAGGTGTCACTTCGATTTGGCCAAACGTGCTCCAGGACTTTAAAGCCGTGACTGTTTCCATCTTTCCGCCTGCGGACATTCTGTTTTTTTTCAAGGTGGCCCGCACCTTGTGATTGAGTTTAAGGTATCAATCTGTGGAATGGAGATTTTCTCATGTATCCGATCAGTGGCGGCGCCCCCTGGTGGTCAGTAGTGAGGATGCAGGTTTGCATTGGCTTCAGTCTTTGGAACCGGATGTTTGATACGTTATTTAAACCCATTCGCGATCAAGTATTTATCGTGAGTCTTATCAGAACTGGAACTCTTTGTGGTGGCGATGAAGCATTAAAGTTTTGGACATTTTGGACTTTTCCAACGTGAAAAGGTGTACATTGCTTCCTACAGTAAAACTATAGACGCAAACCAGCATACCATCAGTTATTTTGTTGCATACAAAAACGTAAAATCTAACCGGATCTACATTGGAAGTTCATTTTGGAAAACGATCTCTGCAGCAAAGCTGTTTCATACCAACAACTGTTCGTTTCCTGTGAAGTCGGAAGACACTGTGTCAGATTTCTAAAACTCACCCTAGAGGGGAATCTAGAGGTGGAAAGGTTCGAAGCGCAGGCCACTGAGCACAGGTTGGTGCTGAAGGCCGTGAGAACCCGTGCATCCCTGCTGCTCTGTCGCTGAACTGAACCTGCAGTCGAGAGGGAAAACGTACTGAGACACGGGCACCAAGTCCGTGCTCTGGATGTTCTCTGAGTACGTGAAGCCACACGAATGCCAGCTGTGCAGAAACACAACGCTGCACCGCTGAACGCAGCGGAGGGAAAACGCCGCCGCAGCAGATCTGCTGATCTTCTGTCCTTGGGAGGTTCCTCCCTAATCGGCGACAGATACGGGTGCAGCGGTGAACCGCTCTCGAGTGAGTGAGCAACAAGTTAAGACCGTCCATTAGTCACCCGTCACGTCGACTGAAAGACAACGTCCAGCCTCGCTGGGCTCAGCAGCGGTTTGGACCGGATCAGTCTGCCTTTTCTGGGAGTCAGCAGCACGCTGAGCTCAGCAGGACACGACACCGCGTGCTGTGAGATGTCTCTCCTCACTTTGTTCCTGCTGGAGTGGACAAGCTGTCAGCAGCACCTTCAGCATGAACGTGTCCCCTCATGAAGGACCCACAGGGAGCAGATGCTGACGGCCACCGCCTGAGCGTCTGAACACCACGTGGGCTGTGAAGCTGTTATTGATGCGGCACCTGGTACAGAACACATGCAGTACAACACCAGCCCAGAGTTATGAACTGATCGGGTAAATTAAAGAATACATAATCGGTCCCAGCGTTGGCTGAAATGATGTACTGCATGACAAAGCATCTAGTTTTCAGAATAAGTCCTCTCAAAGCTTCCATTCATTTTGTGTACAATATGGTTATTGAATGGTAATGTGTTCTTGTATTTCAAGGTGAGGAGATTTGGAAAACAGGTCCAATTTTGTCGACACACAATCACACAGTTTTGGGCCCTTTGAGAAATGGAACACTTCATTTAAAACATGAACTAATTACACACATGGTTCCAGTGTCCTACACAATCTAGAATACAAATATGTGTTTATTGTACACAAACTAAACTAAATAATAATGTGCAAGATAAATAAATAAATGATATCTTATTTCTTTGGTATTTCTTTCCCATTTGGATTTGGAATGATGATTGTTGGTTGTACATGTTAATGTAGCATTGTGGGAGAGTTCTTGAAGCTTGAGGTCAGGATACTTTAGGATATATTGTTATACATCATGATGAATCATTTAAATTTAAATAAAGTACACCTATTTTCAATTGAATACGGGCAACATTTGAACCCATAATATGTCATGATGTAATACAGTATCCAACAAACCAACACATTGAGAAAGACCACGTTGACCCGTCATGTATTAATAAACCTAAACTTACATAACAGCAGACTAACAACCTCTTACTTTTATACGTTACAGTGACTAAGCAGCAACAGGGAATGCATAAAACAGGAATGGAATAACAAATAGAACAATTTTACAGAAAATAAATTGTATATAAGTATAGTGATTCCAAAATGAGGTCCATGATTGTGATGGGATTCACCTTCCTGGCGTCTAATGCTTGTTCCGTCGGTCACGTGTTCGCCCTCTGGTGGTGATGGTTGGACACCACAGTCCAGCGAGCCGCTTTACGCGTGACACCTTCTTATCTCGCGCGCTTTAACGTGTCCCAACCGAGTGGTCCGTAACGTGCACAGCGGCACTCTGAGATATTTAAGTTCCACCAAGTCCGAGATGAGCCCTGGTGTCCAAAGACTACATATCTGCTGTGGGACCAGCGGGAGAGAACAAACTGGTCCCAGTCACATATTTCTCACAGTTCCACATTGTTCGTGACACCGGAAGCGGGTTTACCTGCTCGAGCCGGAGCTAAAAGCCCGCAGCGTTGTCTTACAGACGAGTTAGGCCTTATGAATAGAAATAATACCCAGGCAGCTACTGTCTGTAACGCTCCGTTGTAATACAGATTTTATTGTCAGAGAAGTATAAGGAAGGAAGGTAGTATTCCTGTTCTGATTATGTCCGTTTGTTTTTGTAGAAGATTTAAATGTTGCTGGTCCCTCTCCTGTAAGACAGTGCGGAGGGCGTAATGGCGCCGGGCTCGGATAGCGTTTCCATTATCTTTCGGGCTTCATGCTGTCAGAACAGAGCCGCTATCCGTCCGCACTACTACGCAAACACACCCTGCACGGACATGAAAACTGAATAAATGAAGACCGCCGCTATCATATTGGGGATACTATGTAATTCACAACCAACAGACTCAAGCGCTCTCATCCTGGCGGTTAGCTAGCGTTAGCTACGAAGCTAGGTCACTTGGACAATCCTTTCAACTTGCCCGCTGACAGGTTAGCTTACGGCAGCTAGCTGCGCTATGTGAGCTCAGCGAGCCGACAGAAACGACCTGCAACTCTCTGGTTGGTGGACATTTCGACTTTACACGTTTACGTGCGACTTTACTTACTAGCAGTAGCGCGTAGTGTTCATCGCTTGTTACTAGTCGCAGCTAATTTCCCATTAAATGACGTTACTTGCTAACGTTTGCAATAAAAGTTGCTAACTAGCCAGGTAACGTTAGCCAACTTAGACTTAATGTATAAACAGATGGATACACTCGTAAAGTAATTAGCTGATGTCATTGACAGCACTTTAATATAGTCAGGTTATGTAAGTAGTGTGTAAGTAAATGTGTCTATTATCCAACACTTCTTCAAAATAGGGAAATAATTTTTAAAAAGACACAAGCACTGCAGAATGTAACCGGTGGACGGGAGATAAACATGACGTCATGCATCTGTTACCTGCTGATGTTTGGAATTTGACTTGACGGATGGTTTGAATAATAACACAAGATTACTATGCAAATATAAGAAACATTAATCATGATTAAACTGGGTCACTGCACAGTGCAATTTAATAGAAAAATACTGTGATTTCATTTATCAATGGAAAATTCCCAAAGCCGCAGTTGTCCTGCTGAGGTAAAGCTTGATGATCTACAGTCAGAAGATAACTACTCACTTAACATTGTGCATCTGTCCATTTTAATGTCCCAACATTCACAGTTAAAACACGTATTTGCAAACTTGGACAAAAATTGTTATATAAACCAACTCTGATCATGTTACAGCGTGTCAAAGATGAGACATTCTTATTCATCATATAACAAAACATCATATTCAAATTCCTCAATTTATTGCTGAACTCCAGATTCCAGCTGCAGATGCTTGTGTTGTGTTGCTGCAGGTGTTGCAGGTCGCTCCCATGTGCCCATGGAGAAGGCAGCCTTTGAGGGGTGGCTGGAGTCAGTCTCTGCCGCTTTCCTTACTCTGAACGACCAGCAGCGCAACCGTTCTCTGGACCACCTGATCTCCCTCAGCGGCGCCGTGCAGCTCCGTCATCTGTCCAACGGACTGGAGACTCTGCTAAAGCGCGACTTCCTGCGCCTCCTTCCCCTGGAGCTGGCCTTCTACCTGATCCACTGGCTGGACCCGGAGACCTTGCTCATCTGCTGCCGGGTCTGCAAACAGTGGAATAAGGTGAATTTGGTGGGGGCGTCGTTGACAATGAATCCGCTGCGTTGTTCCCCTGCTTGGTCCACAAAACCTGGTTTCAGACCGTGAACGTCCCAACGTGTGTGAAAGTAGCTGAGCAGTCGAAACATTAAGGGGGGGAAGCCAAGTAGCTTGAATCCGACTTCCAGAGCGGTGACTGATGATGCCGGCGTACAAAGGGAGGGAGAAGACGTGTCAGTCGCTCAGAGCGCACACTTGTGTCACGCTGCTTTAAGGCGCTCTGTGGTTGGTCCTACGACCCCCATTTGACAACCGTGACTTCTTGTTTTAAATGAAGGTTTTCTGCTTATTCACTTCAGTAAAATCCTTTGGCATTTGTATGTAAACCCAGGAGTTGTCCCTGGTAGCACAGAGTTACAGGACGTCCTTTGTGCCAGTTGTAACTTGGTGTCACTTCTCCTCAGGTCTTGTAGTTGACGTTTGGGCTGCGCGGTCTAGAAGTTCTGACCACGTTAAGGTTTTGTGCAGTGAAGATTTCTATTGTGATGCTTATCAAACTGGTAAAATATTACAGGCAAAGCCAGAATATAAAGATTAAATATACAAACGAATGCAAAGAAACAGCCTTTCTAGTTCCGAGGGAACGTGTCACTCATCCATAAAGGGTTGAAATGCTCCAACGAGCGCTTGTCTCCTGGCAGTTGATCAACTCGTGCACGGAGGTGTGGCAGGGCGTGTGTCGGGAGCTGGGCTGGAGGATCGATGAGTCCATCCCGGACGCGCCGCACTGGAAGGCCGTCTACCTGAAGGCCAAACTGCGCATGGTGCAGCTGCAGGACCAGGAGGCCTTCGAGACGTCGTCCCTCATTGGCCACAGCGCTCGAGTGTACGCCCTCTACTACAAGGACGGCCTCCTCTGCACAGGTACGGCACGCCGGGGACTCTCATCACGTTGATCTGCTTCATCCACTCTCACATAAACGCTCCAGGCCAAATAAACGTCTCATCCCTGAGGTCGCCTCAGTGGACGAGGAGGGACAGACGCTCCACAGACGTTGATCTTCTGCTTCCTGGTCTTATGTTGTGATAAACGGCGGCTGTTCCTCTCTCACTTTGAGGGTTTGATGAGAGACGACTCACGTCGCCCCCACTGAGCCAGACACTACGTGACCAGGACATGATTCTTTGCCTCATTGCCTCATGAGTCTGTGCGGGCAGCCGGGCAGCACACGAGGTGCTAGCGGGTCGGCTGCGTTCGTGTCCCTTTCTGCCCCCTCGTCATGTTAGCAAACCGCCTGTTTGTTGTGCAGAACGTCTCCGCGTTTGTCAAAGAGCCAAACGCTGCTTGTTTTTCAGGCTCCGACGACCTCTCTGCCAAGTTATGGGACGTGCGCACTGGTCAGTGCATTTACGGCATTCAGACGCACACCTGCGCCGCGGTGAAGTTCGACGAACAGAAGCTGGTGACCGGGTCCTTTGACAACACCATTGCATCGTGGGAGTGGAGCACAGGAGCTAAAATCCAGCAGTTCCGTGGCCACACGGGAGCAGGTCGGTTCAGACTCAACAAACACGAAGCTTGTGTAAAGAAACCTACGGATAAAAAATATAAATCAGATTGAGTTTGTAATTATATTATATTTAATTATGTATTCATCTTTAAATAAACCATCAAATAGTTCGGAATCGTAGCAGAAACATCTTTCAGAAACCTTAAAAAATGATTAAAATAACGATATACAGAAAGTTGCCTTGACTTGATGCTCTGAGGGTCCAGCTTACGCTGCAGGACACAACCGAGGGACAACAGGGATTCTGTGTCCCGCCTCTTAAACCTTATTGAAAGTGGGAAGCATCTAACAGAGAAAAGAACTTCTCACCATTAGCAGTCGAGCTAACTCTCCCCGAGCGCTTCACGTGTGTGTCCAAATGGGTCGCATGTAGAAGGCGTGTGGACGGCGGCCCGTGTGGCCTGTTGGTAACTGTCCCGTGTGCTCAGTCTTCAGCGTGGACTACAACGACGAGCTGGACGTGCTGGTCAGCGGCTCGGCGGACTTCATGGTGAAGGGGGGGGCTTTTTCGCCCGGCCCCGCCCTCAACCCCCGGCCCGCCCCCCGGGAGGGGGTCCCCAGGGCAGCCCCCCCCCCCCCCCCCCCCCCGCCTCATCTCACGTGACTCTACGCGTTTACTGCGTGAAAGTTGATCTAATCAGAAATCAAACCTTTTAGATTAAGAAGGGTGACGACGATACGTGACATCATCAAACACCTCAGTAGAAGCATGAAGCTGTTCTCCTCTCCGTCAGGTGCTGCTCCAGAAGAGTGAGGTGGAGTCGGTGGTGCACAGTCCTGGTGACCACATCCTCCTGAGTGCTGATAAGTATGAGATAAAGGTAACGCCCTCTGAGAGTAAAGCGCCGGCCGTCGTTGCTGTTGTCTGAGCCTGATCGGAGCCCCCCTGTGCCCCCCCTGTGCCCCCCCGTGCCCCCTGCAGGTGTGGCCCCTGGGCAGAGAAATCAATTGCAAGTGTCTGAAGACGCTGTCGGTGTCGGAGGACCGCAGCATCGGCCTCCAGCCCCGCCTGCAGTTCGATGGGCGCCACATCGTCTGCAGCTCCGACCTCGGCGTGTACCAGTGGGACTTTGCCAGCTTTGAGATCCTCAGGTAAACGTAGTAGAAGGAGCACATCGGGTTTCATGAATGTGTCCTTGTATTCATGGAGATGACTGGCTGCTAAACACACAAGAACTCCTCCACTGCTTTTATCATCTTGGTCTCACTCGTATTTAGTGACGTGTGAAGAAACAAGGACCCTTCAGATGGATGAGTGGTGATATTTCCTCTGTTGTCCCGTCCTGCAGGGTGATAAAGACCCAGGACCCCGGCAACCTGTCCCTGCTCAGCTTCGGCGAGGTGTTCGCGCTCCTTTTCGACAACCACTTCCTGTACGTGATGGACTTGAGGACGGAGGCCATCTCGGGCCGCTGGCCTCTGCCGGCCTACAGGAAGTCCAAACGGGGGTCCAGCTTCCTGGCCGGCGTGACGTCCTGGCTCAACGGCCTGGACGGGGACAATGACTCGGGACTGGTGTTTGCCACCAGCATGCCCGACCATAGCATTCACTTGGTACTGTGGAAGGAGAACGGGTAGCCGCCAACGGGGAACATGGACCGCCACAGCCCACGTGGGTCACGCACGGACCAAAGCGCCTGGATTTCATCCGTTCTGTCCTCCACCACACGAGCAGCCGACATCCTCACAGGGCCCGTCTGGAGAGACCGGCCAGCCTCCACTTGGTCTCCGGCGGGGAAGCCAAGAAACTCCCAACGACAACGTGACAAAAGCTTCTGCAATAAACACGGCCCTGGTTTGGTCGTGGGGACGGAGCAACATCCCCACCTGACCTGGAAGCCACCTTTGACCCACCAGCAGCGCGGGCTGGTCGCCGGGGGCGATACGGCGGTTCCCCTTGTGTCGCCCCGGCGACCAGCTGAAGAAAGTCAGCCGCTGTGAGCGACTGCTTGAACCTTCACGTGAACGACTGGACGCGCTTGAGAAATGCGATGTGCCTTTTCAGTTGAGTGGATGTGACCCACCAGGCGCTGCAGATCTTTCCCTCCTATTTATCGCCCCTCGTTTCATAGCTGCGTTTACGCATCTCCGACCGCGTGGAAGCATTGAGTTTATTTTTGTACGGCATCGCACAGCCGAGGGACTTTCAGCCAATCGGATGTGTAGACTTCAGATTGGAGGATTTTCCCTCGCGAGGTCGCCAGTTCAACGCCACGTCTCAGTTCTTCGTTAAGTGCTTTTGTTGCCTGACTTTTGCATTGACGGGCGGTTCCTTTGTCTCGTGTACAGACTAACGATGTTTCTCACTCACCATACGGAACACGGCGGATGTACAGACTGTGTGTGCGCGTTTAGGTTTTTTCAAATCTAATTAAAACACCAATAAATTGTATTTTGTACTGTTGTCTGGCCGATGCACCACATGACTCAAACACAGTGATGTTATATTACTTTTTCTCCTGTCTAATAATTGCTATTTATATTTTGATAAATGGCAGATCGATCCATCAGGATTTGCTATAAAAGCATCATTTACTAAACTGTCTGTGTAGAGACACGAGGTACTTTATGAGTCCATTCATGTGTCAGAGGGACAATAAGCGTCTTCCCTGTTAACGTGTGATGAACGCCACGCGTGTCCTACATCCTTTAGGACACGCGTGGGCGCTTACAGGTTCGGTCATCGACGTCAGCGGGTCTCGTTGCTGTTGTGTGGCTCCGGTGTCGCCCTCGTCTCCCATCCGAACCCCCCCCAGCTCAGAGTCCAATGGACGGCAGACTTCCTGCCAGCAGGGCGGCAGGTAGGGGCTGGGGAAGCGTTTCAAGTCTTTTCAGCATGACCCAAAGATTTTAAATAGAGTAAATGAGACCTCATGGCCTATCATGAGGTCTCGTTGGTATACGGAGCCTGACTGCATTAGAACTGTGACTAGTGACTTTGTCTCAGAAGACGTGTCCTTTAAAAGTCTCGGCCTCCAGCGGGACCTTAAGTTACTGCCTGTATGTCCCAGTTAGTTCTTAAATGCTGTTGATCTGAACATGTACCATTACCGTCCCTCGCGTGTAGACATTATGTCCAGCAGTCACTCAGTCCCATCACGTTCCCCGTGTTTGTCAGTGTGTTACCACACAGAAACCATCCGTGCCTTCAGATTGCATAGAACATTCAGAACATGACATTGGTACAGATTTTACATCAGATATATTTAAAAATTCAACATGTTCAATTGTTTATTTCATTCTACATATTTACTGCATTTACCCTTCAGATAGCATGAAGCAAAGTTAAGTATTCTGTACAGACGTTTCCACTCTTCAAAAATGTGATGCGACAGTAAACAGAATCACAGGCTCAGTCATTCACAGGCGGGTGTAGAGGACCCGGGACGTCCCGTTCCCTAGTGGGTCACTGGCACGATGAGCAGAAGCCGCTCTGCGCTTTAATAAAGAGCGTCAGCAGCGTTAGTGACTTAATACTGAAGAAATAGTCCAACTGATGAAAGATCTGAAAAGCGACACGGAACATCCAACTGAAGAGACTAATATTCACCTTCATGTCGTGGTTGATAATGTTACAGATGGAGAGTTACTGTGATTTACAACAGGAAACGTTTGACATGGCGTCCATTAGTAAATGTTTAACTTAATTGACGTATTTTTTAGTTCTATTGAGGGATAATTGGATCTTTATTCATGGCTTTGTTCTGTGAACATCAGATCAAATCATCGTCACCATTTTGGGGACAAAGCAACAGATATTTGGTCTGAAAAGTGAAGCCAGTGCAGAAGTTTCTTCAGCTTTTCTTTCTAATGTCCCCTAACAAGTCCTCCGTGTGCGGAAAGACGTCCGAGAGACAACAAACCTTCTTGACTTATTACCGCCGCAAAGAGGACTTCAGATCTTCTTGTAAACAGCAATGTTTATTTTGTGTTTTAAGGTCCCATTTAGAGTCCTATAGACCGCTTTGGGATGGACCCATTGCTACACAGGCACCTTCGCCCTTTGACCTTTGATCTGACAGTTAAACGACTCTTGTAATCTGCTCAGGTTGAGCTTCTGGTCGCCAGAAACAAAGATGGTGACGGAGAGAAAAAGGCCGCGGTGGGAAGTCTGATAACGCGAGTCACAGCCGCTTCGTGGCCCGGACAGGAAGTCAGCGGTCTGCATGTGATGCTTACAAAGGTGCCGTATAATCCAGACCAATCCAGATCATCTCGAGCTCCAACCTTCGTCCTTCTGCTTCCTCTTAACCTCAATTATGAGACTTTTTTTCACAGAATATTTCACTTGATGTAATTAAGTAAGTAATTACCCTGAACATCATTATTAATACTTGGAATGATGCCAAATAGTCAATTCAAGCAAACATTTGGCTTTTGAAGCAGGTCACCATACGGACTCCGTCAGCTTTGGCTCTAACGTCCTGCAGCTGACGCGGTCGTTTTAGGGTGATTCCCACCAACTGATGAACATCGTACCGTTTCCCTTTGATGGCCAACTGTCAAAAAATAAACTCTTTTACAAATAAATACAGTATTTACATACAGGTGATTGACACTTGGTACTTCATTGTAAATCCAGCAGCCTGCGGCCGCCTGATGTGCACAGCTGGCTCTCTTCTGCACTCCCATTGGTTCATTTGTTCATTTCCATGGTGAGGATTTGTTCTGTAGAAAATAGCAATTTGGCTTTTTTGTAACGCTTGTCATGTGCATCAGCAAACATCAAGAGGACCTTCTGAGGCTGCTTCTTCACTTCTTCACCGGCACGTCCTGGTTCCACGGTGGCTCCACTACGAATTCTTACATGACGACGTCCTGCTGCTCATCCTTCCCAAACGCGTTGTTACTGCTCTCCACGTTTCCGGTAGGATGTCGGAATACAGAAAACGTTGCAGTAGCACTTTCACAAGTGCAACACGTAACAGCCAAATAACACTGGTGTCCACAGGTGGTTCCACCCAAACAGCAACCCAACGTGGGCCGGAAGAACCAAGAATGACAGACGTCAAGTGATGAAACGGACTCTTACACATTATATCAAGTCCTGGAGCTGAAGTGTCACTCGTCCAGCATCCAAGAGCTTCTTCTGCATTGTCAGATGCTTCTCGCCTCTTCCACCATTAAATCCCACTGTACCTCGTGGCCTTTATTTGGTGCCGCTGGGTGACGTCCGCTCTCATTCAAACGACATGAGGTTCGCTGGGATCTGTTGAAACAACGGTACAGATTTGAGTCAGCGCGCAGACAGCAGAGGCTAGTCCACGTTAGCATCCCGGCCAAGGTGATACCTTTGATTAAATTAGAACAGGAGACATACATGCACACATGCACCCTGGTGCAAAGAAAAAACCCTCTCATCCATCTGACAGCCACACTTACCAGGCAGCTTTGAGAGGATCTGTCTCTGAACCTTGACCTCTCACCCCTGGACTGTCTCTGTCCCCGCCTCTTCTGCCTGAACACCAACTACCTCGGCTCTGTCTCCCACCACAGATACGCTGAGGACACCCAGCTGATCCCGTCTCCTCCCCAATCTGAGACACGAGTAGAACCACAAATCTCTGCCCGTTTGACAGACGTCCCAGCGGGGGGGCGAACACACCTGAAGATCTACATCGACCAGACTAAAGGTCTAAAGACTCTCCGGCCAAGGACCTGACTAACGTCCTGCTACTGAATGTCAACTTTCCCTCCCTGCCGCTACAACAGCTCCCTGTAGAAACATGCTGACCGGCACCAGGAGACGTCACTCAGAAGCTCCAAGCTGTGGTCACCTCACGCCGCCAGCGCCATCCGGCCTGCGGCTCATCCAGCAGCTCCACTGGTCTTTGACCAGAGTTCACCCACAATCCTCCGCTCCGGTCACTGGTAACCAGTTGATGCCCGCCTCCATTTAAAAACACATCGTACTGTCAGGTCCAGTCGACATCCAGAACACGGTCGTCCCTGAACGCTCGCTCTGCTCCCCAGAGAGCAACACTCAACATCCCGACTGCTTGCAGGAAGCCTCTACAGACACACCTGGACCAGTTAGCACGTTATTAGCACTCGTGATAGCATCCACATGGACCGTTGAGCCATCTTCTAGAAGATGAGATTACTAGACGAGAAACTAGATTTAACCCGCCGCTGTTTTCCCATTCAAGTCAGAATCATTTGATACTAAATCTACAAGTCATTCTCTGAAGGTGTTGAGACATCCTGTTCAAAAGAATGGACAGGATGGACGGAGACGATGTGTCCCCACTGCTGGACCCGAGCTGAACACACCTGAGGTCTGCTGCTCCTGCACGCCTCCTCCAGGTTCTTGTGCCAGATGATGGCTGAAAACCGGGAGCCGGTCTGGAACTTGTAAACGTTGCCTGTGAGGTGACACAAACGTCTGCGTGTGATGACGTGGATTTAAAGAAGAGACAAACGGCGGGCGCCGTGTGGGCGGGGCTGACCTTTGTCTGGGTCGTTCAGATGGAAGATGTTGGGTCTGGCTGGGTCATCTGGCAGCACCACCATCCATCCGGTCACACACACCTTCTTACAGGGGCTGGACTTGTACTGTGTACGGTCACAGCATTGACGTTAAACTGGACTTGTTCCATTAAGCAGCTCACTCGTCCCTGTAACGTCTCGTTGGACGTGTGACCACAGCAGGTTGATACTCACGTGTTTCCTTTCAGAGGCCCTCAGTGCTTTGGCCCCAAAGAACGTCAGCGTTGATCCAGACAGAACGATCCAGAACCTGGTCCACGACGACAACTGCGACGAGGAAAGAGAAAAGCTCAGGCTGGAAGCTCTCGGCACATCTGTGGTGTCGTGGCCGGCGTTCAGCAGACAGAGCAACGCACCTTGGGCTTCCGTCCCTCCTTCAGCATCGTTTTCCTCCGCAGGGGGCCTTCAACAGTCACGCTGCTGGCCTCGCTGCAGCCACGCAGAGGAGAAGACCGGAGTAAGAGACTCAAACCAACGTGATGATCTGACAGTGAGGTCACTCGTTATACGAGATGAACTAGTCTATTTCTGCACCACTCAGTTGGTGTATGTATCTTCTCTGTGTGAATGACATGATGTCCTGTGCAGCAACTATAGTTCCAATCATCTGTGTACACGTCACTTGTTGGGCTCCTTGCTGTCACTTAAATGCAACACAGAATACGTACGTTTTGCTTGTGCAGGCAGTGAAGGGACGAGGCCCGATAATCCACAGTCAGAGTGGAGGGACTCAGACTGTCCTACTGTACCCGAACGCGCACCCGAACGCGCACCCGAACACGTAGCTGAACACGTACCTGAACACGTAGCTGAACGTGTACCTGAAGGCGCAGCTGAACGCGTACCTGAACACGTAGCTGAACACGTACCTGAACACGTAGCTGAACACGTACCTGAACACGTAGCTGCGGCTCCAGGCAGAGTTGCGAAGCGGGACCCTCCAGTTGGGGCCCAGCGTTGCGTACATACGGCCCCTGTTTGTCACACGTAGTCACAGTCAGTCACAGATTTTACTTCTACTTTTCAATGCATCTCACCAGAAGTAAAGCTAATTAAAAGCCTCTCATGGATCTATAGGAAATATTCATTCTATGTTCTTGCTGGAACCAACATAAATATACAGTATGACTGAGCTGACATTCAAAGACATTGATATTATGCGGCATGGGGGCAGATTAAAAGTGATTCGTTATTTTTATTAGCTAACAGGCCTCAAATGTCTAAATATGAATTTGAGAATACGAGATGTTGCCTCTCACCTCTCCATGCCGGGTGACAGTTCCTCCCCAAAGGAGCTTTCACTGCTGCCTGTCAAAGCACAGCGCGCTTATGAGTAAAGCCCATCAGGCGTATTTCATCACACCAAAAATATCATTTTATAGTAGATTTCCGCGTCTTCCTGTCTGATTTACTCGCTGCGTGATAAATAAAAGTGGGTCGTCGTGGCGCAGGGGTTAGAGAAGGTGTGCTGTGAAGCACAAGGTTGTTGGTTCGATTCCAGGCTGCCCCATGTTCCATGTCGAAGTGTCCCTGAGCAAGACACCTGACCCCTAATTGCTCCCCGGGCAAAAATGTGAAAAGCCATGGGTTTAAAATGTAATGTAAGTCGCTTTGGATAAAAGCTAAATGAACTGTACTGTACTGTAAAACAGACCAGACGCCCCAAATTGTCGCCAAAGTGACGATGGGATCTTATGAAGCCACACGAGGACCAGTGTGTGAAGTGTGTTGTGGTTCTGGGTTCAAATGTGTAAGTTTAATTACTACACAACTACAAAACTCACCCATGTGGAATACAAGAGTTCAGGTAAAATAAGTCAAAGGGATCCCGTGTGTCTGCGCCACCACCCCCCAGGACCTACGGCCACTCGGCTGCCATCAAGTCACTGACTTTGTTAGCGGCTCATCATGTCGAGGCTCGCGTACAAACTACGATGCGCACACATGAAAACATTGTCAGTGTGTGAAGGAGGCCGTGTTGTGGCGATACCTAAGGACAGGCCGTTGGACACGGACGTGCTGTGCGGCTCGGTCCTCACGGGACTCTGGGACTCCAGGAAGCTGTCGTCCAGCAGGTGTCGTGCTTTCTCGGTGGGAAAGGTGGCGCTGCGGCTGTGTGACATGCCGTACTGGCACATCATGCTGCAGACACACGGGCCTCCGGTTACAGGTCACGCCATCCCCTCTGCATGCGAACGGGTACCACTTTCCTCACATCAGACTTATTCAACAAATCATCAGTATCACGAGTGTTTTACTGCTGTCTGTTGCTTGCATGGCTACGTGTGTGTGTGTGTGTGTGTGTGTGGTACTTACTGCTGCTGTATTACCACCATTATTGCTATATTTAGTACTATTGGTTATTATTAATATCATTCTCCATAACAATAGTCATAACATCAAAAACAATACTAATAACGATACGTGTATGTAGCATAATTATAATGATGAATAATTTTTGCTTCACAAAAAAAAAAACCTACAAATAAAAGAAAGCAGGTGATCAGATCAAATAAGAACTATTTACTGGATAGTTATTACAAAAAAGACAAGCAGTCAAATTCTATAGTATTTGTTTCCTGTGACATCAGGGTTCTGTACCCGTGTGTCCCACCTCATCAGAGTGTTGAACACCTCAGGTACCATCCTGAGCAGTAAAGCAGTGGGAGGTTTATTTCACACCCCGAGGTGTGTGTGTGTGTGTGTGTGTGTGCGTGTGCGCGTGTCGGTTAGACGTTTACACGCCTACAGAGGGTCGGGGCTGTACGTGCTGCAGGAAAAGGCCTCTCATACTCACTTGTTTCCCAGACTGTGGCTCTTCCTGTGGTGAGAGGGCGGGGGGGTGGGAACACCAACCCCCACGGAGGCGTCGGGGCACGTAGGGCGCCGGTTATACCTCAGAGGGGCAGATACCTCAGACAGTCCTGGAAAACAGGTCAGTAATCATCACTGCCACAGTACTACAAGTACTAGTACCATCATCAGAGACCAGGTTCTCGTGTTCTACTCGGTGAGTAAATCATCACAATCACCGTTGTATCAGTGGACCTTAAAACCAAGTGAAACTGCATTGGAAGTTTTTCAACAAGCAGAAACTAACGACACAATTTGTATTTTGATCCGTGCAAAACACACCGACCAAGCCGCTGTGACGCGTTCGGTTTAGTTTAACTGAAGTCACCGTGTTTAGTGACGTAGAGATGCTCTGCACAGGCCTGGTAGAGAGCTGTCAATCACAGTAAGCCCGCCCTAAAGCATCCCCCCCCTTTATGGTGTGTGTGAATGAGCATCATGCTGTTTTGAAAAAGACTGGAGATTGAGACCATAAACTCATTTTACAATGTTTACTGGTGGAACACATCAGGAGAGGACTCAGTCCAGGTCTACCAAGGCTGCATCCTTGGTAGACCTGGACTGGTCCTCCAACAACTGCGTGGGCTGAACCGAGCGGTCTCTGAAGCGGGACGGTCTGTCCTACGGGGGACTTCCTGTTTGCGTCATCAGCTTTTCCTCCGCTGCTCCTGTTGCCTAGCAACCTGCTGCGTATTTTCTGTTTGATTTCATTTGAATTTTAAATAGTTACGTAATTTTAAATAAAAAGTATTATACATTAAGGCAGAGGAGATTCCATCAATGTTGTCAATAAAAACAAGGACTTGTTATTTATCTATTGCAGAGGAAAGAAGCTATTTTAACCGTAAGATATTACAGAATGTGTCCAAACTACAGCAGCTGAATGTCACCACACACATCGTTCTCCTCCTGCTCCATAAAACACGACTAAATGTAAACTTTAGAATCACACAACAAAAGGAGCAAAGCCAGTTCAGTTTCTTGTGTATTTATTCTGTAACATTACTGACGTAGAAAATGATATTTCAGGTTCAGAACTCGTCTCCCTGAGCTCACTTTCATCCATTTCTGTTCCTGGTATGAAGTATAAACTATATATAATGTTAGTCGGCCTCTAAAGTGCCTTTTGACTAATAAGTACAGGCGAGCTGCCGTTAGCAGCACAGTAAACGTGTGCTGCTACATTGATGCCCATAGGGACAGAGCGTGGACACCGGGGGGCTCAGGGGCTGTACGGGGGGAGTGAACCTCAAGAGCCGTTCGTTTGAGCGTCTAGTTTCAAAAACACGATCGGTTACCAACGTCATCAACTAAGTGAATTCTATTACTTAACGTTACATTTAAACGTGAACTCTTCTCCGCTGTCGGATCAGCTGACTGCGTCCTGAATGGGACGCGCAGGGACGCAGATCACCCGGCCGGCGCTCCCTGTGCCGCGTCGGTGAACTGACTCAGGTGGAACCTCTGAGTCACTCAGTGGAAACCCACCGGGCCGCTCGGGCCGCCGGAGGCAGCGCGCAGGGTGCCAAGCGCCCCGCGGCCCATCCCGCGCCAGACGCCTGTTGGTGGCGTTCCATGAAGTTTGCGCCGCCGTGCCGTCGGGGTGCTTGACGGGGGAACCGATGATGTTCTGTGGAACTCGTTCAAATTAAAATCTTTCGGCCGAACAGAGGAAAGCGTTGTAATGGGCGAACGTATGTGGCAACGTAGGAAGTAGGTGACTACATGTAAGGTGGCGGCACGAAGCGGCCCCTCAATGACGCCCTCGGCTCGTAAACACGTGCGCTGGTTTGGGTTGCGGCGGCGGGCTTTCTGCACACCCGGCACGCCGTGATGTATGAACATCTGTCCGGCCGCCTGACAAATGTGAGACATGTTTCTTCTGAATGAGCAAACAGAACCAGAACACGCTTTTCCTGCCAGTTCGCGATCACATGACCAGCGAGGGTTGTGAGGGTATTATGGTTCTGTAAGCAATGAGTCCAGTGATGAGCACCTCATGAAGATGGATCATCTCACCAGTGGGGGAAACACGGCTGCCAACCGTCACACACATGGGCGGCCTGTGAGACACGGACCCACGTGTCCGGTCCCTGAGGACCCGGCTCACGCGGCGCTGGATCACAGGCCCTCTTCCATCCAACGATAGAGGCGTAAATGAAGCGGATTATTAGCGACATATGAGTGAACCCACAGCGTGTTCTTTTACTACGTATTCAAACAGAACTGATGGAATCACTGACTCACAGAGCACATCGTTAAACACTCAGTGACGTTTCCACAGAATCCAATCATCTATACTCAGCGTTCAGCGTTTCATGGTCCCATCAGGATCAGGGTTAAAATAAATACGCTTGTTAAAGAAAGTACACATGTTGCGTAACATTTGCATACTGTGCTAGAAGTATGCAAGTTTCTTTAACAAAAGGGTGAACTCGCTCAATGGAAAGTCTGATCCGTCTCCCCCCCTTTGTTGCTCTGAGGTGGAGACACATCGGTTAGTTCTAAGCCAGATGTGGCCCACACAGACACAACAGTATCTGACCACCTTCGTGTACTGCAAGTACCAAGACGTTTCATCACCTGCTCTGTGTTGTAACCCTCTCAGAACGCTCCTTTCTCTTTGCACCCTCTGAGGATGTGTATTTCATCCCATAGTCAGACGGGGGCCGTCCTCTCCGTCTACCCGTTTACCTCCGACTTCAGGTAAAACGGAGTCATGACACCTGTCAGTTGGTCATCAGGGGACAACCAGAGGGAGTGCAGAGGCCCCCACATTGTGGGACGCCCTCGCTCCCCGCTGGGAGGAGGACGCAGGAGTTTGATAGAGCAAAATGCAATGGGTTAAAAATGTAAGTCGCTTTGGATAAAAGCGTCGGCTAAATGACCTGTAACGTGATATTGGTGTTGGTGGGTCCTGGAATGTTGTTGTTCTTTGAATCAAAAAACTAAATAAGAAATATGATTAAACTCCTGGTAAACAATAAGAGTCAAACTCCTGGAGGAGCTTTCCATGAGAGAAGCTCTACCAGGAGTGCGTCTTACCTGCCAGGTCCTCCTTAGAAGAAGCGATGCGAGGGGAGCTGTTGCCAGGTTCAATCTTCAGAGACAGTCTGCAACACAAACGGTTTCCATCACCAGCCGCCACAGACACACACACGTCCAGCGTCCTCAACCAGCCGCTCTGCTGCTTTCAGGAGACGTACCGGTATGAAGACAGTTTGTGTTGCACCATTTACTGATATAATATATCACTATAAGTTCACCCGATAGGTCTCATATGGTCTCTGTGGCCAGAGGGGAACGACGGGACCAAAGCTGTTGTGTGCGGTGAAACTCTAAAGACTGCTTCCTCTATGTTACAGCATGGTCATACATGGTGTATATACACCAGACATGGTCATCTCAGATGTTTGGACCCTTTGTCCAGTAGATCCGCTGGATGACTGTAAAAAGGGTAAAAATGACAAAGACATGAATTGCATTTCTATGAAAGTAGCTGCTCTTCCTAAGAAGTCCACTGGGGGGACGCACTGAGTGAGCACACGCGTCACACCAGGACGACAGCGTCCCCCAGACAGCAGCGCCGCCTCGAGAATGACCGCGTGAAAACCCCCGTCAACCAGACCACCCGGACTGGTCATAGTGGGACAACAGAGAGGACTGGTCATAGTGGGACAACAGAGAGGACTGGTCATAGTGGGACAACAGAGAGGACTGGTCATAGTGGGACAACAGAGAGGACTGGTCATAGTGGGACAACAGAGAGGACTGCTCATAGTGGGACAGAGAGGACTGCTCATAGTGGGACAGAGAGGACTGCTCATAGTGGGACAACAGAGAGGACTGCTCATAGTGGGACAACAGAGAGGACTGCTCATAGTGGGACAACAAAGAGGACTGCTCATAGTGGGCTAACAAAGAGGACTGGTCATAGTGGGACAGAGAGGACTGGTCATAGTGGGACAACAGAGAGGACTGGTCATAGTGGCACAACAGAGAGGAATGGTCATAGTTGGAAGCAGAAAGGACTGGTTATTAGGCGACCACCAAGAAGACTGGTCCATTGTGGGACAAAAGAGGGGACTGGTTCATAGTGGGACAACAGAGAGGACTGCTCATCGTGGGACAGAGAGGACTGGTCATAGTGGGACAGAGAGGACTGGTCATAGTGGGACAGAGAGGACTGGTCATCGTGGGACAGAGAGGACTGCTCATAGTGGGACAGAGACCGAGTGGACCAACGAGCTCCCTGTGGGGACGCATTAAACCAGCTGCCTGTGGTTTCTCCAGTCCAGCTTCCTGTGCTCGGACTCAATTTCGCGGCCGATTCCATGAACCAGGCTGCGTGGCACCGAGGTTGGACAGAGTGTCCACAGACGAGGGTTCATCCTCTGGGGAACAAGAGAGAACTCACTTGAAGTTGTCGTCCTCCACAAACTTCTGCAGCTCCTCTATGTAGCGGACGGACAGCAGATACTTCTGGACATGTGGCAGCGTGACCAAGTGATCTGGAGGAACAAAAGGGAGGACGTAAGTACAACGAGAGGGACGCAGGACGAATCGGCGCCTCACACCCGCTCAGCGGGTTCTTTACCGTAGTTACAGGACATCTGCAGGTCGGAGATGAGCCTCAGAAGGTTGTTCATCTGATTGGTCCGCTGCTCCGTCTCTAGGATGCTGTCCGATGCAGGGTAGGCCGAGTCGATGTAGATCATGTCCAAGAGGTAGATCCCTGCAGGAGACAGCACAGGGACCCCTCAGCACCCACTCCGGAGCACTAGTGGGGCCCCCGATCCCGGGATGCCCCCGATCCTGGGATGCCCCCGATCCTGGGATGCCCCCGGCAGCTCAAAGTAACCCGATGATTGAAGTCAGGCTCTCGGCTGCTCAAAGGCCGGCCCGACCTCAAACAATCGATTTTCTGAACCCTAACGAGCCTCTTGGTTCACGTATGAGGAATTACAGAACCGCGGCGTCTAACGTCTAAAGGTCTAACGACAAGAAAAGCATCGCAGTCAGAAGTGAAACGGAGCCACTTGTGTTCCTCTGGGGAATGAAAGGCTTCCACCTGATGGGGGAAACACAACTAACGGTTTAACACTTTTCCACCAGTCACAGCAAGAGAATCCCTATTAAACGGTTTAAGGTTTGACATTACAGTGAATGATTGGCTTATTAAAAGCATTTAAATGGACTCAATGCTGTGTCCATGTGTGAAGAACCCACTCAATTAAAATGTAACAAACACAACAAGTGGAAACACTTGAATATGAACACAGCAAAGATTCTACTGTATCATTTCATGAATATACATCGGAACCTTTGATTAATGGTTTGGATTTTAACTTTGGGCGCTTGGATCTGCCAAGGAATCTCTTTCAGGGTTCAAAGGGAATGAAGTGGAACAACTGGTCATTGAAGGGCAGTCGGATTCTGGCGTCTTTTAACGGAGGAAAAAGCAGAGCGCGCATGTCGGGAGTCACCTGGAAAACATCTGCCGAGTCAACGACTTTCCTACAATTTGTCTTAATTACCCTGTAACGGTTACTAAATACCAGACTGGAAACTCGGCGGCGGTGAGGAGGGCGGCTTGGGGGGGGAGCGGCGGGACGCTGTGACCCGGGTGACGTGGAGCGTGTTTCAGTAAGCAGGTTGTGCCCACGCTGCTGTTCTCTTTACGGCACCACGCTGCACGATGTGTTTATGGGAAACGAATCCTGCCTGCGATGTTAACGACATCAATTTGTTCCCCTGAATCCAGAGCTGGAAAACACCCGTAAAAAAACAGGGCCGACGACTAACTGCTCATTTGTGTTACTGCAGGACTTTAACAACCACTTATGATCATTTGTGCAGCTGCATTCGGTCTGAATAGCAGCGTTCATGGTGGCCGAAGGATAAACAGACGGATATAAACACTGCATTGAGATGTGACCAGTGAACCGGGTCCTCAGAGGGCAGCGTGTGGTCCGTCCCAAACCTCAAACCCGGTCCCAGGATGAGAAAAAGACCTTGCTGAGGTCGCATGAGCCCATCCGTCCATCAGCAGTAAGCAACCGGCTCACGGCGAGCAGATGAAGGCGCCGGGGGGACCAACAGTAGCCGTGAGCGGATCCCACGTGTGTGTCGGGGACGCCAGCGTCACCTGGAGTTGGTTAAGAGGCGGTACGTCCCGGCAGACACTAAAGGGCTGCGTGAGCAGCAGGGTGTGACAGGCTGGTTCACATCATTTCAACGGTTAATTAAGGACAGAAGCATCGTGTACATTTTAGCTGAGGTTTTGCTCTCGTGCTGCTCATCTTGTGGTCCATGGCAATCTCCTCTGGCTGTGCAGTGGGACCAACGGAGCCCACGTGGAGGCTCGCTCTCGTCTGTGAGGGATTCGGGTCGTGGAGCTTCTCTGGTCAAATCCCCGTGACATCATTTCTTCCTGTGGGGGTTTGTTGATCTGTCATGGACCCACTAGATACGCCTCCAACGCGCTGATATCAGGCCAAGATGATGAAAGCAATGCATCTAACCGGCTTAAAGAGCTTCATTTGTTGTTTGGCTTGAAATAGTTAAAGTGAACAGCGGTGTCACGTTTCCCCACTGGGTGCTGGACCCATCCACCTCCACCCTCTACTCCATGTATGGAGCCTTTCCGCTCGGCACCAGAAACCAACCTGAACCCCCACATGTGTGAAGGGAAATGACGTGGAGTTGACAACACGATGGGAGAGTTGCAGGAGCACGATGGCTCCCCAGCAGGAAAGATTCCACCCAGTGAATCAGCCGTCACTCTGATAAGTTAATCCTGCAACCACATAAACCTCAAATCCTCCCGTTAAGAGTCGGGGGGCCAACAGACCGTCGTCATGGAGCCACTTTGAGCCTCCATCCTGAAAAGGGCTTCAAGATGTTTGAGCCTGCTTCCCCCTCCAGACCCGAGGGGGCAGACAGGAACACGCGGGGGTTCAAGTGATCTGCAGACCCGGGACCAGAATACGCCCACAGTGACTCGATGGGACGTGCATGGAGATGGGGCTTTGGAAAAGGCCAGAGGGGACAAGTGGACATGCAGGGGGACGTGTTCATTTTCCCAATAAATTAGGAGATTAAGAAACGCTAACATTTGGTATCCAACTATACATGTGCTCATGAACAGATAGTTCTTATATCGTTGAATACTTACACATCTAGACCATCATAATGCATGTCGATATCACACTAACTTTCAGCATTTCTCACTCGAATGAGACAGTCGGGCCAAACCTTTGACTGGTATTTATAGCACAACGACAAAATGCCCAAATGAAAATCAAACAAATTAAAGTAATTTAATTACTGAGGTACAAACTTTGATCTCAAACGTTGTGCCTACCACAAATTTAGATTTAGATTTCATTTCCATTTTGGCAAACAGTATATTCTTTCAAACTTTTTACAAATTGAATAAGCTTTGTTGAAGTGAATCAGATGTAGAATGTTTCGTTGTGCGTGTTGGTCACATGACGATAGATACTGAAGGTTGTGATGCGCTGCAGCGCTCAAAAGGCCGTCCTGGTGCAGCCGGCTGCTCTCTGCATCGGGCAACAAGCACGTGTGTGTGTGTGTGTGTGTGTGTGTGTGTGTGTGTGTGTGTGCGTGTGTGTGTGTGCGTGTGTGTGTGTGCAGGTGCGTCATGTGGGGTCTGCTATTAATCTAAAATTCCATAGCCTTCCCAGACAGACATACATGACGACATCACCGCTGTTCTTAATGATGCAGCACGTTGTTTGCGTGCGACCACCAGCTCAACAAGCCGCCATGTAGTCTCGTTCTTTTCAAATGGTCAACAAATCCCACGAAACCAAATATTGGGTTGTGATGACCACGTAGAATGTGATGCATATTGTATCTGTCGACAAGAAGGGAAACCGGGAGGGAATAAAAACACACACAGGAAGATTATGAAAATGAGTTCAGAGGAGCAAGTAAATATTCAAAGTGTTTTAGTCGATGTCTGATTAAGTCTGATGAGTTACTTACACATGTAAACAAAGCATTGTTGACCTTTGCTTCCACATTGGACACGTGTCTCCTGGGTCCTGTTCTTCATCTACACATCACCTGACTTTGTCAATTTAACATCTGGGGCAGATCCAATAGTTTACCTGCAGCAAGCCAACGCTTCATGAAATGCTTCTTATTTGTTAGTAATAACCCCCCCGCTGTAGATATAGAACATTATAGATCTGCTGGTCCAGAACCAAGGACAGCACTGCAGACCAACTAGAACTGTGGTCACTCACATATTCTAAACACCCCCCCCGGCTCGTCGTTTCACCAACGCACCCGCGGATACCTCGTATGGTGAGCCGCAGGAATGACACTCGGCCAAGCCTGGGTCGGGCAGCGGAGGTCAAAGGGCAGGGCGCGGGGGTCAGGGGACTAGCTACCAGCACAGAGCGCGTCAGGCAGCACGGCCAGGTGTACAGGACGTGGAGGAGCTCCACTGATGAGGGCAGGAAGAGATGGAAAGCATCAGGCAGTGATGAGAAACTTCACTTCAGGCCCACCAGCCAGCCGGCATGTCGCTGACACGGCAACATGACTCCCTATGAAGGAGAATCAACTGACACGCTGCGGTTTAAAAGAAGAAAACGTCCAGGAATGACAAACCTAATTCCAATGGGCTGAATCGCGTCCTCAGCCGGCTGCCTGCTCCTCCACGCTACACCCAAAATCACACTGCTGTCCGTGAGGTCAGCTGCGCTGGCAGCTCGGACCCAAACATTACATCTGCATAACACAACACCAGTGCCTGTGCACAATGCTGCCGATGAGGTCACCCTGGTAATGCGTTGCAGCTGTGCAGCTTCCCGTGTCCTCGGCGCTCCGACTCCAGCCAGAGCGCTCAATAAGCTCGCCGACCACAAGGTTATGATACGCATCTTAACAACAGTCACATGACCACTACATGGGGACTAGTGTTCCAGTAACTTCACGTATATTTACTGTATTACTTTCATGCACAGCAACTGTAACTAGAGGTCATAATCAGGCCCATCGGAGCAGACTGGGGGACTTGAATGGAGGAGACGTCACGGGCTGGGACACGTCCTCCTTTCAACACGGGACACAAAAGGTCCCGGGTCCCTTTGTCGGGACACACACTCGGACGAAGGAAGGAACCCGTCGCGCTCTGCTGCATCTGGATGTGCTCCGCTTCCGCGCTGCGTGACCGCACTTAAATGGACGTCATCGGGTTTCCGTTCCGGATTCTAATCTGCCGCCGTCGAGCCTCTTGGGTTCCTTTTGTCAAACTCAATGTTGACTTTTGAAAAGACGAAAATGTGTAAACAATCTTCTGAAGACAAATGAAAAGTGACGGCGCAGGTCGACATGAGCACCGCCGCCCCCAGAGGAGGGAGTCACCACGACGGAGACGCATCGGCTTGTTTTTAATCCGGGGATGAAAGCCGATCACACAACACGCAAGCAAACACAAAGCCTGTGGATGTTCGCTGAGAAGGGTTGGTCAGCTTTTATGTAACCAGTCAAATCACTATGACAACATAACAAACTCCAGCCAAAGCCTGAACAGAAACACAGAGTATCCACGTACAGCGGGAATCACTCCCCACCTTCAGCCTGCAGCCCTGAGAGTGGGTGGAGGAGCGGTGGAAGCTCCGGCTGTGGGCCCGTCCGGTAGCGAGACACGGAACCGCACATGCGTCGTAAAGCACCCGTCCCGCTATCAAGTGGCTGCTGACCTCACTCGTCTTCACACAAGCACAGATACCATTATCCAACAGTAGAAAAACCACATCCACAAGCGCCGCGACGCCCCGGGGGACGTTTGTTGGAGAACGCTCGCATTATGTGCAAGCTGAAGCAACATTTGTTCAGACCGGTAATGTGAGAACCGCGTTGTCAAGTTCAGGAGAGGGCTCAGAAACGCTGCCGGCCAAATGTAAATTACATCAACCACCACAAGTTCTTTCCTCGACACCACGGACGCGTTGGTGCCGTAGAAGACGCAGAGTAACCACCTCTGTCCCCAGTGGCGTCCCTCAGAGAGCAGCGTCCAACCCGTGACCTCGCTGCGCCGGTCAGACCTCATCGTGTGGGAGGAGGAGGGCTTAGATATGCAGGTGGGGTGGGGGGGGTTTCCCTGCAGGGGGAGGGGAGGGGCAAAAGGGGCGTCGCCACGGCTTACTGCTCAATTACTTTGAGAAAAAGAGACCTCACTTGTGATGGCAAGGAGACGGAGGGAGGACGAGTCGGCGGGAGGACGAGACGCAGGGAGACAAATGCTCTGCAGCAGATGAGCCGTTGATTGGACACGGGGAGACGGAGTAAAGGCGCCATCACAGCCTTATGCTCCTCGGAGAATCCATTGTGCGAGCAGGTAACGGGAACATTATGAGGACGTTCCTCTGACAGAACAACGCACGAAGCCGGAGGAAATGAGGAGAGACCGAGCAGGGAGGAAGCGTAAGGAAACAGACAAGTGGAGGTGAGTGGAGCCATTATGGGACTTCATTAAATGCAACACACTGAAGACTGTCGTACCAGCAAGCCTCCATCTGACCGCATGCTTTATATGTGGGGAACTAGAAAGACTTGTGTGCATATTATTATTCACAGTTTTAAGCTCGGCACATATGATAAGAAAAGGATTTGCTGCACAGTGTGACTTTGTTCTGACTGCAGGTTGTTCTGTGAAAGTACGTCAGGTCTCCGTAATCACCGAGAACTCGTTTGCAATCAACTTATCTGGTTAAATGAAAGGTTCCATCAAAAATAAAGTAAGGAAAACTTCCCTCAAAGTGACTTGCTCGGGTCCATTATTACCGCACTAGTAGATTTCCCAGCATGCATGTGCAATTGCTCCGTGTTTAGTGACATGAACATTTTGACTGCACCTCCACACGCGGCTCGCAGACGAGCGACTCGCCCTGCAGACGGCTCGGGGCCAGCAGAGCTACCGGTGCCACTACGGTGCCACTACTTTCGGGCGAAGTCGCGTCAAACGCCCAAACGCAGCAAATGCAAAAGTTGAAATATTGCATCTTTGGCGACTAAACGCCGTGACGCTGCGGCGCAATAGCCTATCAGCGCCGAGATGCTCCCAGTCGTCACTGACGACCTGCAGACAGCAGCATCCCGAGCTGTACGATACATCCTCGGACCTTTATTGCGAGTCACGTCTTTGTGTGTGGAAGTAGTTGGTTGCTTTATTTATTGATCATAGACTTTATTGCCCCGTGCATCCACACTGCTGCTTTTCATCAAGGACACATTTGTCCCGTATTTTCCTCCTCGACTTTGTTCCCCTCGTTGGTGGAGATCTCCCTCCATGAATCAGAGGCCATCCGGCGTCCTCATAGTCCGCCAATGACGGCTTGTACAAGCGCTCATATTTAAAAGCTCTTCAATCTGATCCGTTCTCCCGTAAACGTTCTTCCTTTTAATAACGGCCGTATTGTGCTGTGAAAACGGAGACGTGAGACTCTGTAAAAGACGTAGTCAGCGGACCAATCACAGCCTGGTGCTGCAGGAGGCTGCGTCGCTTTACACGCTAGTCGAGAAAAATGGGTCGACGCACGCAAGGAGGTGTGAAAAGACACTCGAGGGACACGCAAGGGACACGTAAGGGACTCCTTGAATCTCTCTGAAAACGCAGAAGCATGAGCAAGTGTTTCAGGGGGGTAAACCACGCCCTCTCAGTCGCGAATAGGCGATGCACGTGAAGGGACCACAAATGTACCCTGAGAGTCATGCGGAGCTTATGTAGAGTTTTTGATTAGACGCGTTCGCGTCACGTTGGGTGCGAACGTAGCATTACGCTAAAAAAAACCCTGTGCTGGTTCATCTCCAACCATCTGACCCGATTCGCTGCACGAAGCGTAACTTACACCCCGTCGGCTGTAGCTTCACCCGACAACACCTCCCTTCCTCCTCCCTCCAGCTCACAACAACATTACACCCAAGAGCGCGTAATACTGGCATCCATGTCCAAGCGTGCTACAACAAGGTTGTTAACGCCGCTAACGAGAGGTCTTGCTAGCGGCTAAACTTAGCGAAACCTGTTCGCTTACTTTGTTTATGACAAACCAGCAAGTCAACAGTTTTCCAAACGCAGTCAAACATCAAGTGCAACACACTCTTGTACCCGGACATTTCCTCTTTTCCAGACCTAAAAAATGCACCCGGGTAAAAGAGGACGTCTGGTCACCCGGGCCAAACCAGGCTAAGCTACTCGTGTTGGGCTGCACGTGGGACAGCTTGGGGGTGTTCATGTTTATATCACATTTGCTAACCTGTCGTTCTTTGAGCTCTCTGATAAGTTCGGGGCGTCTGAAAGGTGCTTGGTCATATTTAAGGGTTCCCGCCCTTCGCCTGGTGGATCTGAAGCAGGCTTTACAGACGGGCCTGTGCATCGCAGTCGGCTGCATGAGGACACGTCTCCCCTGATTACTCGCTGTGAGTGACGGCTGCCAGTTGACCGCTGCGTGAGGACGGATTGAATAACGGTGAACTATTGGCAACGGACACACGAGTTGCAGGCGGACCTCCGAGTGCGAGACAAACTAAACAGACACGTTTTACAAAAAAACTACACACCTTTCATCTTCATTGAGGATGCTTCCTTTGTTGTATACAAAGCTGCAGGGAGGACACCTCTGCTCCACTCATGACGGATACTTCTACTGAAGACACTAATGGAAGGACTCAGACCATTTACGTACTTTAAGTTGTTCATTTAGCGAGTTCAATCGAGTGTGTGTGTGTGTGTGTGTCCCCCATGCCGGTCATGGCCTTATGTCCGGCAACCAACATGCGTCACCGTGGCAACTGTTCCTACTGGGTGTGCATGTGTGTGTGAAGGACGGGGTGCCAGAAACCGACATGGTGACAAAGAGACGGAGAGTTGCAGCAGAGGGCTGCGTTAGTCCTCCGTGTGGTGGTGGCAGATGGCGGTGTGAGAGGCGACAGGTGCCCCGACACATTGTAGCCACGGACAGACCTCCCCGTCTCTGCACACCTGCCTTGGTAATGCATCTGGGGAGCTTTGGTCCAGCACGATGGACACAAATTACCGGTTGTTTTTCCAATCGTTTCGGGTCCCGGTTCATGTGGACACGAATGAGATGCAGCCATGTGGACAGAGACAGAGTCTCGGCCTTCAGCCACGAGGCCGTTGCTGAAACAGTAAAACTAGATAAGCAGGATGTTTTTAGTTTACGGTAATTAACCCACATTTGAAGTTAACGTTCAGCTTTGTGGCCTGATCCGAACTGTATAATGAGTCCCAACCTGATCTTTATTCGAGACTCAGTGGTTTTGTTTTTATTTTTAATATAACGTTGCTCTGAAGAGGCTCATTCGACGCAACACGATACGGACAATCAGAGTCGCTGTACACAGAAGCAACAGATTCTAGAGCGCGTTGTGCGAGTCATCGCTCAGCGTTAATAAGCGACACCGCACCCCGAGGAGAAGCTAAGCGACACAAAGAAGCTTCCCGCTCCGGGATGGATTACGTTGTGTCATGTTCAGGAAATGAACAATTCATCTCAGAAACGTCCCTGCAGCACGAACCACGCAGGAGACCGATCACATGACAATCTGCCAACGAGGACAAGCAGATCATAACGCTCTGTGTGAGTGAACGAGTGCAGAGAGCAGGACTGTGCAGCATCTCAGGCTTTAGAAGAGGTCGACCATTCTGCACAGTTAACTGTGGGATGTGTAATATTGTTATGTGACATTTACAGGACGTCAGGGCCGAGAAATGAAATGGAAAAAATGGCTTATCCACAGATTCTCCCACAGCTGGCACATCCATCATCACCACCGCGTGCATTAACATTACGGGCTGGAAACAGACTCGCACTATTAAAATGCACACTGAACCCCATTATTTCTTTAGGCTCGTCAGCCGCGTCCATCCACTTTCCATGTTCACAGCTTCACGCCGGACGTGTCACACACGTTGGATTCGTTAAATCCAAAGTAGGTGCCTATGATGTCAAAGTCTTAAGCGAATGCTGGTGTTTCCTTGGAGGAGCGACGCAGTCCACATAGCGACAGAGAACCACAGAGAACGCATAGGATGGCTGCTGTCATTTTCATTTGCCACACAGACACTAAAAACTGAAATATTCAGAAAGTTGGGTTCAGCAGGTATTTGATGAATTGATCAGTCAATCTAAATGTAAACAAAAAGAAATGACAACTTCCCAGAGTAAGTGGGAACTTTTCAATGTCTTGTTGTGTCAAACCAGAATACATTTGGTGTATGACAGAGACAATGCGTCATATTTAAAGACACGGTTTTATTATTTATGTAATTGATATGTATATTGAATGATGCCTGATCATTCGGGTTAAGTGAGTCATCTCTAGCTCAGAGCCCCACGTTAATGAGCATATAAGTCAACGGCAACACAGAGAAAGTCCTGAGACGGAAATCACACAGACGGCATATTACACGAGTTTGGCTACAGAATGGAAACGAGGAAGCCTGAGCAATTCATCGCAGTGTGATCGTTTAGACCGGCGCAGTGCTACAAATGATGGACATCAGTATTGGAGTTGATTGATTTGATTAGTTCAGAGATATCACGGAGACCAAATACTGATCATCGTCATCGAGAAGCGGCAAACTTAACGGGGTAAAACACCACCACACAACAGCTGGTGACACACACTATTTGTAGGACTAATAATTGTACATTTATAAAAATGACCCCGCCAAACTGCATGCTGGGTACAGCTCACTACGGAAAAGAGCGAATAATCATCCAGCGCAGATATCGGGTGAAACGCAGTATTACTCCAGTGAATGATGTCATGACGATGGGAGGAGACAACTAATGATAATCCTTCGCCCACTCTTGGCTGCAGCAGGACTATGATGGTCCCCGTCGCGGTTCTGCTGGTGCTCCTGCTGCTCTCTGGACCCGCGTCGTCTCTCCAGGGAGACGCTCAGGAAATCGGGAACAGCGACGAGATCTTTGAAAGAGAGTTCATCTACGCGGCCAAGCGGCAGAAGCGGGCCGTGGTTGACCAAGGAGCCGCCCAGACGGACAAATGCTCCTACACCTTCATCGTCCCTCAGCAGAAAAGCCACGGGGCCATCTGCGTGAACTCCAAGGAGCCCGAGGCTCTGCTGGAGAACCGGGTCAGCAAGCAGCAGCTGGAGCTGCTCAACGGCGAGCTGCAGAAGCAGCGGCAGCAGATCGAAGCGCTGCAGCAGATGGTGGAGGTGGACGGGGGGGTGGTCAACGAAGTCAAGCTCCTGCGCAAGGAGAGCCGCAACATGAACTCCAGAGTGACGCAGCTCTACATGCAGCTGCTGCACGAGATCATCCGCAAGAGAGACACGGCGCTGGAGGCCTCGCAGCTGGAGACGCGCACGCTCAACCACACGCACGAGATGGCGAGGCTGGCCTCGCGCTACCGCGACCTGGAACACAAGTACCAGCACCTGTCGGCGCTCGCAAACAACCAGAGCGCTCTGCTGGTGCAGCTGGAGGAGCAGTGTCAGCGGGGGGGACAAAAGCAGCCCGTGGTGCAGGACAGGACGCGGCCCGCCCGCCCGCGGCCCGCCGCCATCCCTCAGCCTGCCGTACAGATGCCGCCGCTGTCCCCCGGAGGCTACAGGCCCTACCACCCGCCCACCTTCACCCGCCACACCAACAACCCCATGACCAACGAGATACAGAACGACCAGAACACCAAGGCGCTGCCCCCCCCGCTGGCCACGGTGCCCAGCGCGACGTACGGCTTCACCAGCGAGCCGTCCGGTAAGTCCGTGCCGTCACAGACACGTCCATGTGGTCCTCGCAGCTCACTGCAGCGGACTCTAGCCACACATGGTCCTCGTTTTTACTAAACTGTGGGAAAATAACGGCAGAACTATTCATACCCGCAGAGATGCAATTAGCAACAGTTCATTTTAACTTTAGCCTCTGTGTTAAATATATAACCATATTGACACCTGGATTTGAACTGTACCAGATAGTCGCGGCTAGTATTTGGCATGCAGTACGTCTTTGGACTGTGGGAGGAAGCGTAATCCGGAGAATCAGGAATCAAACTCACGACTGTGCAGAACCTCTCCTCACAGCCCAAAAATACACAAACTGAATTAGCAGCGAGCTTACAGACGTTTACAGTTGAAGAGAGAAAAAACAGTTAGATATGATATGAACCCCGTGTGGTATGAAGTGTGGACCCGTCCATACCCTGATGTGCGTTTACAGTTTTTCAGTAAGCGGACAGATGACACCAGGAACTACTGGACTCAAAGGCATAATGAGACATGACCATTTAAATGTGCCGGTTACATGTCCTCTGTGGTTAGGAAGACGTTTTGCTCACTGTAATATTTACTGCTTCCAGTAACACAAATACTGGAAAGCATTTGTCATATTTGGCACATGTTACACTGGATCCCTTTGCCATCTGGGGGGAATAAATGCCAGTCATGAAAGCAGTACACGGCTTTGTTAGCGAGCATTTCATCTCTCCCGCAGGTCCTTTCAAAGACTGTCTAGAGGCTCTGGAGTCCGGATACACCACCAGCGGCATGTACCTCCTAAAACCAGACAATGGCAACCGACTCATGCAGGTTTGGTGTGACCAGGGACATGACCCCGGCGGCTGGAGTGTCATTCTGAGACGTCAGGACGGCTCAGTAAACTTCTTTAGAAACTGGGAGACCTACAAGGTAATGAAGCTCTCAGCTGAGATCATAAGGTTCCATATGGCTTCTACCCAGCAGAAGGGTTTCATGTTTTAGCATTTTCATCTCAGGCTCACAATGAATTCTCTATACCACACACACTCGTTCTGTGCACTTGTGAAAATTTCCATATGGTAGTTTCGTCTCATATTGAAAGTGACATTACTGGAAATTACAATGTTCTTTTTGGCAATTGCAACCAGACTACATTAACGTTTGCAGAGATTGTTGCCAGCCAACATGGTCGCTGACTTCACGGCTGAGACGGATTTATAATATTATGACCGTTTCACACGAGATGGAAGGTACCATCTCTGCCAGTTAGGTGGTTCCTCCCTTTCCACTACGTAGTTATGATGGTGAGGGCGACCAGTGGTCAACCTAACTTTCTACTACTACTAGGGCCAAAGTATATCACTGATATGCTTCCACTACATAAGCCTTCAAGATCACTAAGATCTTCTGACACAATCTGTTAGTGATTCCCAGAGTAAATACACATCATGGGAAAGCATCATTTAGTTACTACGCAACAACTCTGCCCAACCCCAACTCTGACCACGTTTAAAACAAGACTGAAAACTTATGTTCAGCTTCGCCTTCTGCTAAATTTTACCTACATTGGACTTTTAACCTCTGCCTTTAATTAAACAATTTAGATAAAATTAAAATCTTATTTGCTGTTTTTCACTTTATTGTATGAAATGATGTGAAGCACTTTGAGCCTGCCTTGCGTATGAAAAGCGCTATACAAATAAAATTGCCTTGCCTACTACTGCTACTACTGCGCACCAGCGAGGTTCTGCGTTTTGTAGACTTCTCGTGCATCGACATGATGCTGATCTGTTTGAGTGGGTTAGCATGCTAATGTACAAATCACAGCGGCGGCTGATGGGATTGTTATTCTGCTAATGTTTCTTCAGACTCTCGTGTTGCTCCAAAGACTCATCCCCTAAAAACTATAAAGTTACTCCCCGTAGTCGCATATCTATCGAGTCTGAACTAAACAAAACCCAATGCATGGGATGAAATGCTCATATTGTTTTGCAGTGATCAGACTTCATGCTGTGTTTCCCAACAAACGATCCATAAACACTGGTGCACGGGGTGAGACATTTAGTTTCCATCTTGTTGCCTTAAGTGAGGACATCTAAATATGGATACTCTTTCTCAATACTTTTGATTCTAGACCAAAGCAGGGAGGAATACTGCCAAGCTGTCCTCAGACCCAATCAGTCCCCAACCTAACCTTAATGCACAAAACAATGCACTTAAAGCCAATTACAGACTCGAGTTTGGCAGAGCCGAGGACTCCCTCCTGATTGCACCCATGTGTGGTGTAATGGAAACCAGTGATTGAGATACACCGAGCGGGAGGAGCTTAAACGTGACCTGCCATTATGGCATTGCTCTCGGCTTCTCCCTTCGACATGACAGGCCTTTCCAGATGCTTGCAAAACACGGGCGGTTTGTTGTTGGAAGGTCCCGGCTGTCTCCAAGGGGAGGAGAAATTGCTGCTTTCTTGGAAAACGTTGAATCATGGGTTAGGAACAGTAGGAATGGATTACTCCCAACTAATTCCACTTCTTTCCCCCTTCACAGCAAGGGTTTGGAAACATTGATGGCGAATACTGGTTGGGCCTGGAGAACATCTACTGGCTGACCAACCAGGGCACCTACAAACTGCTGGTGACCTTGGAGGACTGGAGCGGACGCAAGACCTTTGCCGAGTACGCCAGCTTCCGCGTGGAGTCGGAGTTAGACTTCTACAGGCTGAGAGTGGGCCGATACCACGGCAGTGCCGGGGACTCGCTCACCTGGCACAACGGCAAGCAGTTCACTACACTGGACCGGGACCACGACGTGTACGCGGGTGAGTACGATGCGGCGCCAGAGAGCAGAGGCCTTCTTAACCGCTGCTGGGATGTCACCTGCTGAACGCTGCATACAACGCCGCTCCTGCCGTTGATACACTTGGTGGTAAAGCCTGCCATGGGCCTGGGGACTTTCAGTCCTCTGCGATACGGATCTTTTCCAGTGTCTGCATTCCGTGCTCAGCCACGCAAGATGCTTGTAATTTCTGGCTATGCAAGAACAAGTAAAACATAACCGTTTCCATGGTTGCGTTAATACCCACAATGAGGAGTTAAAACAAAACTTACCGCGGTTGCTTTTTTTTTTTTTTTTCTTCTCTCAAGTGTAGATTTATTTCTTTATCTGACACATGTGGAACACCGACGGATCACACATGGGAAAGAGCACGACAGGAGCAAGCGTTTACGCATCCATTGACACACACATGGGTTGCCAACTGTTGCACGCGGGGAGAAAACAGCCGGGTGGTCCTTTGTTGGGCTCAATGATTTATGGTCACTCACTGCCCAAAGGCCCGGCCCAGGAGAGAGCGAATCCAGTTGGTCTGATTTGATTCCTTGTGCCTCCAGGTAACTGTGCCCACTACCAGAAGGGAGGGTGGTGGTACAACGCCTGCGCCCACTCCAACCTGAGCGGCGTGTGGTACCGCGGTGGGCACTACCGCAGCCGCTACCAGGACGGCGTCTACTGGGCCGAGTTCAGAGGAGGAGCTTATTCTCTGAAGAAAGTGACCATGATGATAAGACCCAATGCAAACACCTTCCATTAAAACCTGTGGTTGCCCCACACCTTTGGACAGATTTGAGACTTGGCTACAAAGCGCACTCAGTTTGAAAATACTCCAAATACCGTCCACATGCTGGGATGACTTACAAGGTATCTCCATGTATTACAGCGCAGGGATACCATGTAAGCGCTTTTTATATAGGAGAATCTGAAATTTTAAAATGTTTTTCTGTGTGCCATCTCCATTTATTCTTAACCAGTAACATATATACAGATATTTACACATCAGATCCCACTCGTGCGTTTTCCTTCATCCCGACAGCAAAAAATGTCCCGACAGACCTTGTAGTTGCAGAGAATGAGCATTTTTAGTATGTTCACGCCATTTTTGCAGCAGAGGCCCAAAAAGAGGCTAAAGTCCAACGCTTCAAGTCATGGAAAGTCATTCCAAAGGGAATTGGTTTTATCAGAGGGTTTCTACATCACAAAAAGCACAGAAACACATCATTTTGACCTTTAGTTTTTGCTTCTTTTTTTCTTTTTTCTTTTTTACAGTTGCCTTACATTTACAATATAGCTTCAAAAAAATATTAAGATTTGGTAAGTAAATTTGGAATGGCCAATAGTAAACAATTGGTCTTCTGATCACTTAATTTAAGAACATCAACAAGCATAAAATCCTAATGGACACTAAAGTCATTATTAGCCAAGCTAGCTCCACATAAAGGCTGGACTGACTGAAAAAACACCTCAGATTAACTCGACCTAGTCATTTTTCTAACTAGCTGTTTCACATGATGTGCATACTTTAGGCCAGGGAGCCCAATAGGCCAAAGGAAGTACCAGTCGATTGCCTGCCATTTAGAAAATAAAATATCCTGTCACGCAGGATTGGTGGACTGCAGGAGCTAAACCGGGCAGATCTCCATGAAAGGTCCTTTAGGTTAACCACGGCCTCACGACCCCCTGTAACTGAATGAGGAGCAGATTTACAAATACAATTTCACAGCGGTTTTAGCAAGTGAACTACAGTACATTTAGTCACCCGACGTTATGCGAGTAAAGGTTATTCCCTCTACCCACCAACGCGCCCTGGTCTGTTGGAAATGTCGTCACTGCATCAATGTGCAGAATCAGTATGTACCAGGTATTCTGTGTATATATATGCAGTCTCATTCAAATTATTTTTTATAGTCTATGTTATTAACCTCGCAATAAATATGTAGAACTCTGCGCGTCTTGTTGATCTCATTCTAATCGGTTCCCATCACAACTTCATAACTGCAACAACTTGAAAACAGCCGATCATCTTCTTTTGGCGGCTCATCAGTTATTGGATAAAGTGTGAAAAGGAGTTTTTTCTCAAGAGACCATGATGCCTCCTGCACTTAATCACCATCTAGTCAAGAATATTATTATAAGGACTTATTGATAACACTACCATTCAGAGTAGTAATAAAGTGCACTCAGTGGAGCCGCTGCCCCCAAACAAAAGACCTGAATCTAATTCAACGTGGACAGAAAAGGTTCAAACGTTTTCTGGAAAGCTCAGAATCCGATGAAGTCTGTGAGTTGTGTGTTTTCCACACGTCATACACACGTTTCATGAGAAACAGAAAAGAAAAAAAGATTCTCTCATGAAGTTCTTCTGGTGTTCAAGCCCTGTCTGGACCCACATCATGGACCATGCAGCCAAACACGTGAAGGTACACAACTCCACATGTTAAGAGCTTCTGTGGAAACGCACAATGTATTCTACCCTCTAAAGTTAAACAACAAGGCATATAGTCAGGCCTGAGACAGACAACATGAAGCAAGGACCACGGACGGAGGACTTACCCAGGTATGGGATACGGGGCACCATCTTCAGCGAGCGGATGTATTCTCTCATGCGGGTGTAGTTCTCCTCCTTGGATGTCAGATAGTTGAGCTTCTCGAATGTGGCCTTGTCTTTCCGACTGATCAGCTACAGCAAAGAAGAAGCATCACACACACACACACACACACACACACACACACACACACACACACACACACACACACACACATTTGATTGCAGCTACTCAGTGCGAAGCACAGACGTCACATCTGACCCAGTCTGTGGCACCACCTGCAGCCTTTGTAGCTGCTACCTCTCTGCCTCTCGCCAGATGTTCCCGTTTGGTCGGATTTTGGCCCAGTTCATGGACAGTGATTTAGAGCAGTGATTCTCAACTGGTGGGTCTAATAGCTTTTTAATGGGTCTTTGCCTTTGCCTGGGAAAATAAAAATTAGTAAAAAAAAAAAAAAAAAAAAGCTCTAGCATCGCTACCAGCTGGCCGTTTTGTTTTTTCATGAAACTTGTTTTGGTGTTGGAATACGTATTCTGTCTCCATACTGTCTCTATCTTGTCATTAAGGGGTGATGGTGGGTCCTGGATCCAGACCAGTTGAGAACCACTGATTTAGAGGAGCTCGTCCGGAGCAACTTGCACTCATCTGGCAAAACCAGTTTTATTCTTTTCTGCCAATATGTGAGCCAATACTTTGGCTCGGGCACTAAGTGGTGTTGGTTTCCATCAGCTGTACTAAAGAAAAACTCGAAGAGACCCGGCCGCTGAATCACACCAGAAAGAAAAACTCACATTCCGAGTATAATTTATATATATATATATTTATTATATATATAGTTAAACCGCAGAAGTGATCGGATCAATAATCCTAATAGATACAAATCAAGACCTTTAGAATTTGGTTGGATCCAAAAGGTGCTGAAAAACTAAAAGGTGTAAAAGTGAGCATGCTCTAAAAGCGTTATAGTTTAAGTTGGCATGCCAGCTATTACAAACCCTCTCTTTGCATTAAAGGGGATCAAGGAGTGATTATTAAAGCAAATGTCTCTGTGTACATCGACAGCCGCCCCAGTCAGCCTTCCTGTAGGATTTCTCGGTGAGCGGCATGAACACTTTTAATGGTCTTTCATGCAGCACCGTAAAACTCCTTATGTTCAAAACTTAAAACCAGGAGCAGACAGTTTGCACTCAAATGGCCTGCAGGGGAAACGGCTTGTAAGGGGTCACGAACATCCATCTGTGACCCGGTTTGGAGAAGAGGAAAAAAACCAACGGAGCCCCTTAAGAGCGAAACATGCGGTCATAGCCGTCCGCTCTGATCCACCTCAAACCTACAAGTTTCCTGACCCGTTATTATTATTATTATAATTCCAACTCATGCTGAAGCACCACTGCACGCAAATCTGACCAACATCCTTGGTGTTTTTGTCAATGCATTCATGTGGCGACCATCATCATCGGTCTTAGAGCACCTTCACACCAGCTTGGTTTAGGAGCATTTGGTCCTTGGTGTGATCAGACTCTGGTGCCGGCCGGAAAAACGCACTTTGGTCTTCAAGGGTCGAGTGAGCTCTGCAGCCAAGCACAGGAATCTTTTCCTCCCGAGATAAAGCGATCTATTGGTCTGACACGGACTCAAACAGCTGGATGTGGTATTGGTGAAAATAGGCCAATCATAAACCCTATTTGAATAATAAAAGCGTCCATGTGTTGGTATTTCTGCATTCACTTTACACGTTTTCTTTTTACAAAGTTCAAAGAATGAACCCCGTCTTCCTGCTTGTTGAGAAAACACTGGGCCCTACTGGCTTGTTCTGGATGATATCTAGAGGCCAGGTAGCTGCAAACCGGACACGTTGTGAAATGTTAACAATGTACGGGTTCCGAGCAGGACCTGGACCTTCGGGTGTGGCGCGGTAGTCATGGTAACGAGTTGTCATGTAGTCTTACCGCCCAGGTTTTGCTGAGTCTGAAGATGGGAGCGCTCTGCAGAGCAGACACCACTGACACCAGGGAATGAAGGTTGTTCAACTCCAACAGTTTCTGGGAACAAACACAGATACTCACTCACCCAACCAGCTTCTCCCAGTGCGCTCATGGCCAGTTAGTCCAGTGAAAAGGGTGAGAGTCACTTCAGCATCCGCTGTGGATTCATCCGCTGCTGAAAATAGTCCCTAACAAATGCACCAAAAACTACGCTGAGCGGCATTTGAAGTTAATCACTAAACATAAAAATAAGGTACGTGTGTGTGTGAGGTAATAGAAAACAAAATGGGCCTGAAGCATGTGTCTGTATTACTTCTATTCAGCCATGTCAGCATATTCAGTTTCTCAGAAATTTACTTTCAATTGTAAAAAAAGAAAATGGTTATTCTTGTTTCCATTGAGATTACACTAATATATATACATACACACACACACATACACACATATATATATGAACATAATGATCCAATACATGCCTGTTTTAGTCAGTTTAAAGTAATTAGTTACAGACATCATATACAAGGTACTGGTCAAAAGTTTGGACAAATTTTCTCATTAAATTCAATGAGAAAGTGTCTCAACCTTCGACGTGTTTATTGGCGTCTGGGACATTCCCCATCACGTGTGCATTCTTGTCTTCGGCATAAAACGTTAACATGCGAACACTACATACATGAAGGAACAACTCAAGCTGCCCAATTTTCTCTCTGGCACACGTGTGAGAGCGTTGACTGCGGTTCACAACCTCTAACTCACCCGCCCTGATCCCTGGCGGACCTGTGGCCTATCGCTCTGACCTCTGACCTCTGCGAGCCTTTCCAAATCCCATCTATGTTTCATGGGTTTGGGATATTTCAAGGGGTTGACCGTTGACCGACACACGGGTGTTCAGAGGCGATCTAGCCCAACATTCCTCCCCAGCAGCACTACGATCAGCTGTCCTGGGGCGGGATTTGCTGATACTTCGTTGGTCTGTGAGCAGCCAGGTGCGGTTTCACTAGTCTCGCCTCGCTCGTCAATATTTTTGCAAATTGTCAAGAACATTACGTCATAGCATAGTTTTTCTTTTTTTTTCCATCCTGCACTCTGACCTCAGGGAGGAAAATAAGCTCCCTTTGCTATTATTTCCAGCTCAGTTTGTTTCTGCTTTCCCCATCAATCCTTTTTTAGTGTAATAAAGTACCTGGCCAGCTCCTTCATGCTGCAGCTTCACAGGATGTTATTGATTCTTTGCTTCACAAGCAACAGACAGTGGCCCATGATAAATAAAAAGCTACACTTAAACCACGTCACCAGCTGTTCATTACTACAAACGTATCCACGTCGGATAACCAAACATCTCAGTGACACAAATCCCACTGGAACAGTAACAGACATAACAACTGAGTCCTCTGGTTCTGAAGCTATAAATAACCTATTAACCTATAAGTAACCTATGTGTTACTGTGAAATGTGTTTCGACTCACCTTGGCTATTTTGACAAAATGGCTCAGTATTTCGGCTCGGATTTTCAGCGTTTGGGCCGTTAAGATTTCTCTTACCAGCCAAAAGCTCACCTGAAACACAACAAGGTACACGTTGAAAGTGGAATCACAGCCGCACAGATGTAGAACGTCCATGTCGGACATTTCATTTCTGTGAATTTATCAGAACTGGCATATCAACTCTTGAGATGTGTTTTGAAAACACAGCAGACGCGGACTTGTTGGAAGAGGACGACACATGACAACGTCTAGTCCCTCGTCCTGGGTCACGCTGGGTTCCATCAACGTGGCCCGGGGCGGACGGACGGTGGCGGTCTGATGCAACGCGTCACCATTTTCCACCAACGTACTGTCAATGTGATTCATAGCGCCGTAGTTGAAGCTAACAGCAATGGAATCCATCCACGAGCTTCCTTGGGTCAAGTAGGGAAAGAACTTGACTGTAGCGTCGCCACCTTCTGCTCATATAACAGCAAATGATGATGTTGGCTCACTGCAACAGCCTGAAGATCCTTGGGCCCAACATGCTTCACGCTATCAGATTTAATGACTGGATTTCACACTATAGTCATGGAGGTTTGACGTACCTGGTTGAACCTGCGCGTGAATGCCACCACATTAGGGGACAAACGGTGTTTCTCCTTCCCGATCCATCCGCAGCTGGCCAGCTCCTGCCAAGCAGACCAGCACATTAACGCCCGTCTAAAGGAACCTGTACCCATGAGCAGTACCATTGACTTGCATTGGGAATGAGAGGCGTCTGACATTTGAAGAGCCCTTATGTGCTCATTCGTTCTCATTAACGCTCAACATAACTCGGCTGTAGTACCGGGACGCACCACAGAGAGAATACAAAACAAGTTTTAATTTGACAAAACTGACCAGCATGTCTCCTAAAGACGCTTTTCATTCTTGACATATTTGCCAAGCGACACCAAGTGTTCATTTCCTGGCTCAACGTGGAGGATGCATCATTAGAAAGGGTCAGACGGGGTCATAGAGTCTTAACCCTGGTCTTGGATCCCGTGTACCACTGGAAACTCGCTCGCCTCGTGGAGGACGGAGCGGAGTCCTCTTCTTACACATAAAGGACCACGATGGAGAGGAGGAGGAACTTGAATAGACGGCATGTGTTCATTTCTAATCCCCGGTCCCTAATGTCTCAGTGCATTCTGTGGCAGGAAGGAAACCCTTCAGGGGGGAGCAGTGCCTGGAAAGTCACTGACTGACCGAGGCGAACCGGTCCGGGTTCAGCCCAGTGCCAACAGCTGTGAAGGTATTACAAGTATTTGAACAGGAGGACTGGAATCATTCTGTGAGGAGGGAAAAAGACTCTTGGGGACTTGTAGAATCTGAGGGAAATTACTTTTAAATTGTGGTACAATAATCCATAAAAGTCCCGGTTCAGATCGGATCAGAGTCACAGATCAAATAAGATTACAAGATTAGATTTTCATTGATTCAAAATAAGCTGCTTAGTTAGTGTAAACTTCTCATAATACATCGCTAATATCTACTCATGTTGAGTGTCTCCTTTAAGTTTCTCACCAACACACATTTTACGAGATCACATGATGATCACTTCATAATTAACCTTCGCCCGATGAAACAGACCCTGAACGCATCATAATGTGACTGCTGTGGATTTACATCTGGACTGTTTACACAAAGGATTCAGCTGAAATGTAAAGAGGTCGAGTTAGAGAAACTATTTTTTTATTAAAGATTATCATGTAACTATTTAGTGTGATTGAGTTTTATCGGGGCGGCACGGTGGCGTGGTGGTCAGCGCCGTCGCCTCACAGCAAGAAGGTCCTGGTTCCACTCCGCCCAGCAGCCTTTCTGTGTGCAGACTGCATGTTCTCCCCGTGTCTGTGTGGGTTCTCTCTGGTTCTCTGGCTTCCTCCCACAGTCCAGAGACATGCTCTGGGGATCAGGGTGATTGGTGACTCTAAATTGCCCGTATATGTGTGAATGTGAGTGTGAATGGTTGTTTGTCTCTGCGTAGCCCTGCGATTGGCTGGTGACCGGTCCAGGATGAACCCTGACTATAACTAAGTTGGCTGGGATGGACTCCAGCCCCCCGCGACCCTGTGTGCAGGGTAAGCCGTTTGACGATGGATGGATTGAGTTTTATCAACGTTTGCATTTAAATCAATACACGCCGATGGCGGCAAACGCTAAACACACAGCCAGAGCTACAATGGAACGGTTTACATCAAAGCACCTCAATCCAATGGAAATCTATGGCTAGATTTGAAATGTGCCGTTTACAGACCGTCTCCATCCAATCGGACTGAGCTTCAGAAGAACGGACAAACATTTCCATCTCTAGATGTGCAGAGCTGGTGGAGACAGACCCCTAAAGACAGCAGCTGTGACGGCAGTGAAAGGGGTTCCACCAGGTGTCGACTCAGGGGGGCTTATGCACCATTGTTTATGTCACAGTGCCTTCACTACGCATGTTGTGTTGATTTAGAAAGTCGCCAACACTGATTTAGAGTGAAAGGATAAAAGGTTGGAGGGGAAGTGAAGACGCTGCAGAGGTCTCATCGCTGATTGCCCCCCTGCTCTCAATAAAAACACACAAAAAGCAACAAGCTTGCAGGTATGCATCAACTCCAGTCTGGCTGTTCATGTCGGTGATCAGACTGTACGAACAGGAACTTGGTTTCCTACGTGGTGAAAGGAGAGCAGCCAGCTGACGACACGGGTCTCTTACCTCTGGATGGATCGCCTTGAAGACCGGTGCGTCCATCAGGGTGATTTGGCTCTGACAGAAGAAAAAGAAATCGCAGAATATGGGATCAACGATGAAGGACGATGATCGACTGTCTGAGAAGATGGAATGAAGTTTCTCCTTTAGTCCGTCAAGCGGCCGCAGACATCTGGAAGAGTCATCAACGGCCTTGGATTGAAGTCTTTGTGGAACCTTCTTCTCCTCGGATTGCCGATAGCCCAAACCTCCTACCAAACTACCCTTTAGCCCCTTGTTACATCTTTGCTTTCAATGTCCACATCTTTCTCTTTAGCATTTCAAAGAGCGGTGAGCAAACTGATGATGCGTCATGTTGTACGTTTACTTACGGCAAACTCCTCGGGAGTCACCTTCAGCACATCGAAGACCACGGCGTCGTAGCTCTTGGCAAAGTCCACGCACGGCGCATCCAGAGAGTCAGAGCTGCTGCTGGCCTGACACACACACACACACACACACACACACACTTAAACTGTACTCTGAGGCTTCAAGGGCAATAAAGTCAAAAATGGAGTCTAGTTCTTTGGTTTGCACATTAATGATTTTAGAAGAAGTGCTGTTTTATGAGTGGGAGTGCCTGAATGAGAATGACGCAAGAGAGATTTTGGCAATTTTTGTTGTCTTTGGCGAGCAGATAAAGGAAAGCAGCTGCTACCCTACCTAGCAGGTAACTAGAAACCTGCCAGCCCCCCTGATGCCCCGGGTCCACCAATAAAGAGCACATTATTATTTATTGCTGTTAAAATTTTTGTTTAAAAATCAGTCTGGACGGTAACCTTTGAACACATTATTCCAGTCAGACGGCTCTGAAAATGCGTTAAGAATAAAGATTTCCACACACACACTTTATTCGCTCATGAAGGAGTCCACAAAGTCAAAGCAGATGCTTGGTCCCTGGCATAGTATCAATTTATTTTTTTTTAAATATGATAATATGGCATGTATGCCTCTGAGGTTTCCATGAGCCAGTTCAGCCTTGATTTGATGTGCTTTCAATACCTCTTATCCCTCCTGGGCTAATAAGACTCCGCTCTGGCACTTTAATCAAGAAGAACCAAATGCACAGGAACTTTTATAATGGAAAAAGAAAACTTTTATATTTGGAATGAGACGGACCTGGAAGTGGTCTGCATGTGGAAACTACAGCTTGTCCTCTTGTTCCGATACGGACACTTCTACCATGTAAATCATAGGTGTCCAACTCAGGGCCCGCCGGGGGGTCCAGTGCTTTTACTATCGACTTTGCTACTTTGCCAAGACATCGATTGCATTTCTATAAGAGGGTTGACAAGTTGAGGCGTAAAAGCGTGGGCGCCCAGCCTGGAAACCTTTTCGACCGCGGCGTCACTCCGGGCGGCAGCGCCCGCTTGACGATGACGGCGTCCCCCCCCCGTCGGCCGGACCATCCACGCGCCCCGCCCCCCCTCTTACCGGAGATCAAAGTGGGCAGCATCGGGCCTAAACCTGAAATGGGTTTGACACCCTGACACACGCACAGGGTCTCCCTTACCTCCGAGGTGACTGAGTGGATGCTGGTGCCATCGGAGAGGCCGTTCCGGCGATACATGGCGGGGTGCGCGGGTGGGCGGGACAGGAGCCTCTAGCTGGCGGGAACACATAACCGCTCATCCATGCCTGCAGACGGAGGACACAAGACGCCAACCTCGTTTTCAGCGTTCAGAGCTGCTGGTAGAAACCATCCCAATGTCTAAATATTCACAAGAATAAAACATTATTTATTCTTTGAAACTCATGGGAGAAATGACAACGAGACAAAGACAGTAAGACGGATGCGTGTATATGATTGTTTATATTAGGCCTGTTGATCTGCAGCGCTTTGTTGTTGTTGATTCTACCACATTCCTACAAGGCTGGAAGCTACATAGTTATGTGGGTGTGAAAGAGCAGTTTATATAATCACAAAAAGAAAGCAGAATCCTAATTGAATTACTTTTCTTATGTCCTTTGTCGGTCGGCGGTGATTCAATCTGTTCCAAACAAACACCTCCACCCTTAGTTGATCCTCCATGTATAGAAAGGCGTTTGCTCCACAGGGAAGAAGTTACACTTTCATCTGAAGTGAGGACGATATTCGCTTAAACTCAGAAGTGGAGAACAGCGTCGGAGCGTCTTTAGTGCTACGACGCCCCCCAACGTGCATCTGAAGTACTGCACGGGCGAAGAACCACTACAACCACACACGCACTCACCCTTACACCATCACGCATGACAAGACCCAGCACGTGCATGAGACCGGCCCGTTTACCAACTCGCAGCAATGACAATCCCTCATTCAGAAACTGGATTATAATCCAGGATTAAAGGGTTTTAGTCGGTGACAACCAGATGGCGGTGGCCCCTTTCACCGCTACAGCAACGTACCCCTGTACTCTGTGAGGAGCTGGGGGGTTCACTGGGTTCACTGGGGGGTTCACTGGGTTCACTGGGGGGTTCAGGACGACCACGCAGCCCGTTTGAGTGCCAGGTTTCCCATCAGGAGTCATGTGAGAAGAATCGTCCGGCACAGTGTTGATGGAGTTGGGCTAATTTTAAGGTAAAAGCGTGCCTCAAGTTTGACTTTTGAATCTGTCTTTAGAGTCCATCATTTTGAAAGTGAAATACAAGTCGAAAAAAAAAAAATTAACCTTTAGAGATGTTTGTTATCCAAGTTGCCAAACAAAGAAAGTAAACCACAATTTACTTACATACATTCGCACTCATTCTAAACGGATTGTTGGTGCATTGTGCTGAAAAGAATATCTGTGTGTCCATGCACTGCAAGAGGGCATTTTGGGTGGTGCAACACGTACGTGCGGAGATAAGCACTCGTATCAGAAAGGCCTCATAGCATAAACCAGTACCTGTGCACTGATCTGTAATATACCAGTGTTCCCTCAATGGAACAATGCTGCCCTCCGCCTGCCTGCTGCTCCATCCTCAAGGCTCGGATCAGGGGGTCGGTGCTACATTAGCAGGGTCATCACATCTTGAGGAGCCATCCTGCAGCAGGGGGAATGGAATCCAGCAGCTAGACATTACCCTCCATCTAAAGGCCCTCTGCTGTGTGATTCATGGAGAACAAGGGAAGGTTCTCTCTTTTGAAACACATAATAGAGCAATTCAGCTCGGCTTTTTCCTTTCATGAAGGTCAGTTAACACGTCACAAGACACTATTTGCAAGAAGACCACAAATGGATGAAAAGAGGACCGTGACGTCACCAACGGTTTGTCGACGACCATTTTAAGCCTCAAGTCCGGCGAGTATCTTGGATTCCAGCCGGCACCATGTTGTGGTTTTCTTCAACTCATGAATGGAAGTTATAGATCTGGAATGTGGACGTGGACAGGCCAGATACAAAGGAAAGACACGTCTTTGCAGAACCGGAGGTTGTCGCCATGTTAAGAAGATGCATTCTGGGAAATGCATGAACCAGGGGCTGCAGTATGGTGTGGTCAGCCAACAAAGGACATCTCCACTAACAACCTTCTGCTAGGCGAGGCACCACCCTCTACCACAGCCAGCCTGTCTACGGTCCATCACTCAGGTATGATGCTCTCTCCGAATGGAGTTCCACCACAATGGCCGGCCGCCAACTGGTTCTCGTGAGGCGAGTTACCTCTGCTGAGTTCATCAGCCCCCGAAACTAACAGCACCTCAGAATAAACGCAGGGGTCAACACATCAACATCAACTGTCCAGAGGAGACGGCGTCAATCAGGCCTTCGTGGTCCAATTGTTCCAAAGAAGCAACAAAGGGAAGAAGAAGAAGAGACGAGCTCGGGTCAGGAGACACAAGCAATGGACACTGAACCAGCGGAGATGCACTTTGGTCTGATGAGCCCGATCGTTGGTGTCTTTGTAAGAGAAGGTGAGCGGATGGTTTCCACACGTGTGGTTCCCACCGTGAAGCAATGACCCCAAACACGCCTCCAGGCTCTGAGGGGGCCGTTTGCCCACGGAGGAGAGCGGCGGCGGAGTGCTGCGTCACATGACTTGCCATCCATAAACCCAATGGAGAGGGTCTGGGATGAGTTGTACCTCGTGCTGCACGGTGTAGCGGCTCAAACGGTATCAGACTTCCGTAGGGTATGAATTCCTCACGTGCCGCTCATACCGGTGTGACGTCACAACAACTGACGTTGCTCTTCGGCAGGCGGCAGATTTTATTTCTACACGTCATAGAGGAGCTTCTTGTCTTTCGTGTGTAAAGTTTGAGTCATGGTTATAACTTACTAACGACAATGAATAACGCTCAACTGGGTAAAAACACCACGACAGCTTGTGACACACAAACAATTTCTACATTGAGATACTGTCAGAATCTTGAACCGCAAAGTGGCAAAGCAGCAAACATCTACAAACATCTACTCAGCACCTCGGGGAAATCCTTCGAGTGTTGGAGAACCATCTCAGGCGAATACCTCATGAAGAGTGTGCAGAGCGGTCAAAGCAAAAGGGGGCAACTTTGAAGAATCTAAAATCTACGTAAACCCCCAAAAATATCAACAAACTAGTTTTGATGTCTTGAATATTAAAAAAAACATTGAATGAGAAGGTGTGTGCCTACATTTACAGGTGTAAATAAATAAAAATAAATAAATAAAAAGTCCACACACACCAGATAAAAGGGAATGAAAGTTCCATCTCTCTTCTTCAAATTTCCTCCCACTGGCTTTTCTTGTTCTCAATCAATTTGACCTCACAACGCTCAGACTTCATGGAACCCATAACGCAAACTGGAGATCTAACGCCGCGATACTATTTTAGCCCGTTAGCGGCCTGCTGATGTGTTCCTCCTGCTCCCCCCTTGGCTGTAGACTGTGTGAGGACAACTGGATACCCAGCGATCTGCCGTGCAAGGGGCCTCGAGCAGGCATTCCTCCAAGGCCGCCTGCAGGCCTCATACCTGCCTCGGGGACCACCCAACCCACCGGGTTATGCCACAGCACGCACTGGATGCGATATGGCAGCCCGGCGCTCCTCTTGGGGGCTTGTTGTGGAGAGCCGGACATTCGGAGGACATCGATGATAATTGTACAATTTCTGCTGAATCAAATTGAATCAGAATCCTGCGGATTAGTGATCCCATATGTAGAGGCAGAATGAATCGGTATGCAACAAAATAAAAAAAGAACAGCATTCAAATGTTGATTAAATATCTGTGTGTTATGAGAGAAGCTCTGGGACATTTGATATTAGATATGCGTTTAGTCCTTTGGATCACCAGCTGATCATAAATCTCTCCTAATATAACATTTAATGCTACTGTGCAGGGTTTTGTTGGGAGATGTTAATGCATTTACACTGGGTCAAATCCGCAGTCATTGATGACCGAGTGAAACTGAGCGTTGTCTCTCTCTCGTGTGTGTGTGTGTGTGGGGGGGGGGGGGGGGGGGGGAATATACCGCCTACGGCCCGACAAACAGCTGGAGGCGCCACTGATCCAAACACAAACACGTTGTGACGGCCGAGCCGAGATTCGTGTCAAGTGTCGCAGTGACACACACCATGAATCAGGGCGCATCGGTCCGCACGGTGTCCCGTCACGACGCCACGCAGCCCCCACGAACCCCCTCGCCCGCCCGCCCGCCCGCCCGCCGCCTGCCGCCGCCGGAGGGAGCTACAGCGAGCTAGCGCCCCGCGGTACCTACCGTCCCCCGGAGTCCCGCGCCGCCGCTGCTGCTGCTCCGTTAAAAACACGCCGCGAGGAGTCCGCGTGAGGAGTCCGGTCCCCGGGGTCGATAGAGCGCGAGCGGCGTCCTCCCCGGCAGGTTCCCCGGCGGGGCTACTCCTCCTCCTCCTTGAGTCGAACGTGAAGCCAAGGTCGTAACGTGTGGTCCGCAGGGTCCACGAGCCGTGCGGGATACATTAGCCGAAATCATACAAACATGGCTGTGACGCGCCTAGTTATCCGTAGTCGTGGGGGGGGGGGGGGTACGTGAAATGAATAAATACCGACAGCAGGAAGTGACAGGTGCGGCGCGCTTATCTTGACGGGCAGGTGTTCTGCCTAACCGTCCGCTGGGCTCCCCGCACAGCTCCCGCCCCTCGTGACAGCAGCCAATCGGAGCGCGCCTCTGGGCGCCAATCAGAGCGCAGCTGTGAGCTGGCGTCCTTCAGGCGCAGGTGCATCTGTGACGCCTTCACGTGCCGTCCTCCGGCTCGTACATCACGGCTTCTCCTCGCTCGGCTCCCAGCGAGACGACGGCGCATGTAAACGTTTCGCTCTTTGGCGGCACATTCATTTGATGCGGTTGCAGCAATTCGTTTTTTTTCAATCTAAAATTATACCCAATTAATGTTGTGTTCGTTTTGTTACTGTAATATTGATATATACATTTTTAAAGAGACTCACATTGTCAAACACAAAAAAAGAGTTATTCACGTAAAGATAGACTATAGGAATAGTAAATGAACTAAAGGAAATAACTATGAAAAAGTTATTATATATATTTAAAGAGTTGCTATGGCAGCGCGGGTAAGCAAGACAGAAGGCAGGCTGTCACCGTGACAACGGGTACACAAGGAAGTGCAAGGCAGAGAGAAAATGAAAGAAAGAGCGAGCAGACAAAGCAACTAAGGAGTTTTTTTTCAGAGGAGGAGGAGAGGATGAGTGTTGAGGAGGAATGTGAAGAGGAGATGAGGGAGGCTGCCCTCTCCGCGGTTCCCATAAGGACACCCACCCCGTCCAAACAACAGATCGTCCCCAAAACCCCGGAGGCAGTGGACGACTTCCTGAGGAACTTCCTGCGGAGGGCCGGACTGAACCGAACTCTGAATGTCTTCGAGCCTGAGTGGTACGGATCGGCTCAGAAGCTCCTGAGCGAAACTCTAAGGACGGCATGGACGGGCGTCTTCATTCCTGATGCTCTCACACACAGGCAGCTCCTCCAGAGGGAGCTGGAGACGGTCCGCGTGGAGACAGACCGCCTCAGACAGGACGTGCTGGTTGCAGGAGAGCGCCTGGTGAGGACGCAGAGGGAGAGGCACTTCCACCGGCTACAGCACCGGCGAGTCGCTGAGGAGAAAAACAGGCTCATCCAGCACTCGCAACAGCTGAAGAAACACCTGGAGTCCTACGAGCCGGTGCTCAGGCAGCTGGAGGATAAATATCAAGCAGCCCTGAGGCAGAAAACGCTCATCACTTTGGAAAAGGACCGAGTTCAAAACCCCACCGACGCAAGACTGAATGAAGAGAAATCCCCAAACCTGAAAAAGAGCAGCATCAAAAGGAGCGGCAATGGTAACAAATCACCAACCAAACGCAGCGTAGCCAGACATCCAAAGGACACGGAGTTTCCCGTCTGCAGCAGGCGGAACCCTCCTCTGGCTCAGGGGGCATTTCAAAAATGGGAAAACACCATTTCCTTCAGAGCCCACGAGCTTCCCATCAGCTGCATTGACCTTCATCCACAAAAACTGATCCTCGCCACCGCCAGTGATGACCGCAGCTTGAGGCTGTGGGAGCTGCTGCCCAACGGAGAGAAGGTGAGATAACATGAGATAACATGAGGTTAAATATAAGATGAGGTGACATATGAGATAAGATGTGAATGTCAGATGAAAATGAAATATGAGATCAAATAAATCAAGATGCGACATGAGATGAAATGTCACTCGAGATGAGATAACATGAAAGGAGATGACACATGAGATTACTTAGATAAATTAGATCAAGTAGAAGATTATATATGATATGAGATGAAGTCATGTGATGAGATCCAATCAAATGAGACAAGACAACTACTTTCATATCATTTGTTCTACTTAATTGCCTGTTTGAATGATCTAAAATGTACAATAATTTGAGATACAACGAGACAAGTTCTAAGACTAGTAGATGAGAGAAAACAAGTAAAAGGAATAGGAAGATGAATGTGATGATAAACTGAAACGTAGTGTGTGTGTTGTCAGCTTGGCCAGACGCTGCTGACGGGTGAGGGTCACTCCGATTGGCTGTCTGGCTGCAGCTTCCACCCCGACGGAGCAAAACTGGCAACGACCGGTGGAGACTGTACGGTGAGCTCCTCTTCATGCACGGGGCGGGGGGGGACACGTTAAAGGACAACCCCAACGCGGTCTCCGTTGCGCCTGCAGGTGCGGCTCTGGGATTTGTCCCGCGGCCGCTGCGTGCTGTCGCTGCCCGGCCACGGCCGGCCCACCTGGGGCTGCTCGTTCCACTGCCGCGGCCACCTCCTGGCCTCCTGCTCCGCCGACCGCACCGCCAAGGTGTGGGACCTGAACAGCCAGCGCTGCAGGCTCACGCTGCGTCGCCACGCCGCCTCCGTCAGCAGCGTCTGCTTCCTGCCCCTCTCCGACCTGCTCCTCACGGCCTCGGCTGACAAGACCCTCGCCGAGTGGGACGCCAGACTGGGCGCGTGCACCGCCAGCTTCCATGGGCACCGGCACCCATGCAGCCACGCCGCCTTCAGCCCAGCGGGCGACGCCACGTTGGCCTCCTGCGACACACGTGGCATCGTCCACCTGTGGGACGCCAGGAAGCCTGCGTTGCCGACAGCGACGGTTGATGCCGGGCCACTGGCTGCCAACCAGGTGGCGTTCAGCCCGTCGGGGAAGGCGCTGGCCGTCGCCAGCTCTGACGGCGTGCTCAGGGTGGTGCAGGTGGATTCCGGCGTGACGAGTAGCCTGTCGGGATCCGGCGATGGAGTGCAGAGCGTGACGTTCGACCACGAAGGAGAGAGTGTGACGTGCGCGGGGAGAGACGGGGTGATCAGCGTTTGGGCGGGACAGTGAGACCAGCGGTTGCCGTGCTTTCAGTTTCCCGTGCAAAGAAAAACCTATTTGAGAGCATTACTTATATGGATACATGAATATTTTCGAAAGAATGTGTGACATTAAAACCTTATGAAATAGAAGACCAGATTCCTGAATTTTAAAGGCCATCTTCGCATCAGCAGCTGTATGAGACATCTGACTTTATTATAATTTAAAATAGGAAGCAAAAATAAACCCGATTAAGAAGGAGCCTAGTAGGAACTTAAGTGGTACCCTGTAGTCTTGAGGCTTGGTGCCCAGCTCCTGTCGTCATAACCGCCTTTTAAAGGAATTTTCTAATAATCACTTACTTTACTTCTGAGGAAACACACAGGCTCTATTCTGTGTTTTTACAAACAGAATCACGCTTCCACAATGTACTGTACACTCACGTAATTTAGCAAACAACTCGAGGTTGTGCTGTAATTCTGTTACATAACATTTTAAATTTGTAATATTGTTAAAGGAGGTTCTAAAAAAAGTAAAAGGGGGTTATCTGCAGAACAACCACCATCAGACGTGACCACTATCAGATGTGACCACCATCAGATATAAACACCATCAGACGTGACCACCATCAGACGTGACCACCATCAGATATAAACACCATCAGACGTGACCACCATCAGACGTGACCACCATCAGATATAAACACCATCAGATGTGACCACAATCAGATATAAACACCATCAGACGTGACCACCATCAGACGTGACCACCATCAGATATAAACACCATCAGACGTGACCACCATCAGATATAAACACCATCAGACGTGACCACCATCAGACGTGACCACCATCAGATATAAACACCATCAGATGTGACCACAATCAGACGCGACCACCATCAGACGCGACCACCATCAGATATAAACCCATCAGACGTGACCACCATCAGATGTGACCACCATCAGATGTGACCACCATCAGACGTGACCACCATCAGATGTGACCACCATCAGATATAAACCCATCAGACGTGACCACCATCAGATGTGACCACCATCAGATATAAACCCATCAGACGTGACCACCATCAGACGTGACCACCATCAGATGTGACCACCATCAGACGTGACCACCATCAGATATAAACCCATCAGACGTGACCACCATCAGATATAAACCCATCAGACGTGACCACCATCAGATATAAACCCATCAGACGTGACCACCATCAGGCTTAAGAGTATAGGAGTACTTATAAGAGCAGCCTGATAATAGAAGAAGAATTGCAGTAATCTAGTCTAGAATCAACACTATATTACTTGGTGAAATAAGGCAGTCCTTTAAGTCTGCACTTCATCTGAGGGTTCAAGGACACTTTTACAGCTTTGAAAAATGAGAAACCAATGTGAAATCAGTATTATTTGTATTGTACATGGTGGACTCTTAATCGTTACACTTGGTCAACATTCATCAGATTAAGACTGGAACAAAGGCTCTGCTCTGCCCCATCTTTTGTAAATAACAAATATGATGCAAATTCGTAGAACTATTTTTACAAAATCCCCACTTGTGAATTTCAATCTGATGTTTGTTTCAAAATATAAATAATGAAACATTTTTTGAATTTAACTAAACATGCCGAATACATCAATTATGTATCAAGAAACTTTGCCTAAATAAATAATGGTGCATCTTTACAGAGGAAACCTTTCATCATCTCATTTAGATCACAACATCCTTATTGTAGAGGTTTAGCTTCTGACGTTTAGCATGAGACACTTAGGAATATTATACCTTTAACAGGTAACGCATAGCATTCTAACATGGCACTGTGAGAAGCATTACAGTGTTTATTAATAAGGCTCTATTCACAGTTGACGTTTTGAAGTTTATCAAGCTGGTTTAACATTCTGCATGCTAACACTTTATATACCTCCAGCCAGCATTGTGAAAACGTCTTCTGCGTTCTACTGCTAGCCCAGCTGTGAATAGATAGATTTACCATTTACATTAAAACATCAGCGCAATAACAAACAACATAATATCCCTCATTCGTATTGGCACTTGTACAAATACAGTTGACACTTCTCAGCAGCTGAGCAGATGCTTCCAGGGGCTAAAAAGATGGATGTGTTTGTCTGTCTCGTAATTCCTCAGCGTCAACGTCCTCGCCATCGCAGAGCTTCATACTCCTCATACAATTTAAAGCGCGGAAGATTAATCGGAAGATTAAGAAAATCCTCTTGTTTGGTGAGAAGGATGAAGCACACAGACAGTTCAGAGAAACTGGACAAGTAGCATACGTGTAAAAAGAGTCGGCTTTTAGCAACTTAGCCCCTGAAAGCATCCTTTCATCTTCTCAAAGACCAGACGGCTTTAATGGGACTCTTCAAAACACTGTCATGGATTTCCTCCTGCATTGTGTAACTGTCCAAATAAATTGCACCTTTTTCATTTCTTAAGTCAAACCACATCCAGCATCATCTAATGTTTCTGTTGCTGCTGAATATCACAAGACGCGGTGACAGGAGGACGCAGCGACAGGAGGACGCGGCGACAGGAGGACGCGGCGACAGGAGGACGCGGTAACAAGAGGACGCGGTAACAAGAGGACGCGGTGACAAGAGGACGCGGTGACACGGTAACAAGGGGACGCGGTAACAGGAGGACGCGGTAACAGGAGGACGCGGTGACACGGTAACAAGGGGACGCGGTAACAGGAGGACGCGGTAACAGGAGGACATTGTAACAGGAGGACGCGGTAACAGGAGGACATTGTAACAGGAGGCCGCGGTAACAGGAGGACATGGTGAGAAGAGGACAGGACGTGGAAACAACAGGACACAGAGAACCCTGGTTGACGGGGACAGGATGTCCCTTGCTCTGGTCAACAGTCCGTTGGCTTCAGGAGGGTTTCTGTTGAGCGGTGAGTCTGTCAACAGAAGAAGAAGAGTAGCGTCCTTCATCTTCGTCCCTCTCCTCCTCCGCGTGTTTCTCTCGGGGTTCCTCCACCAGCACCTTCAGGCGGCTCAGGTGATGCATTGCTCTGAGGAGGGAAATCTGCTTTAAGAAGATTGCTCCCCACTCATGGTCGCGTTTGGTTCCACACCACATCTTCTACATGTCAGGCACAGCAAGTCGGTGTCGGTTACCTCTGCAGTGACGGGCCGCCAGCAAAACTCTCCAGCTGCGCTTCATCTTCAAGCCTCTGGAACACAAACCATGTGACACGTTAACGTCGACACTGGGACGGTACAAGGTCCACGGTCCGATGACACATGCTGGACTAGGAAATAAGAGCTGCAGGCCCTTCGGAGGTACACAAGACAAAACAACAAGAAAATAAACAACAGTCTGGGTTTTCTATGATGAAGTAGAGGAGGAGTGGAGGAGTCTGGAGATCAGCTGATCCTTCAGCGTCTCTGAACAGCTTGTGTCATTAAGGTCTTCTCAGGCTCCTCATCTGACCAATGTGATTGGTGCTCAGCGATGTTTAATCACCAGCTGTAGAGCGCTGCTGTCCTGTACACCCCATGTAAAAATGTTCTCAACACAGCTGTTGATGGTCTTTGTTCACCGGGATGCAGACGTGTGAGGACCATGTCAGGTTGTTGATTCTCAGGAACGTCATGGCGGGCGACTGTGGGTGAGTGGGGAGTTCGTTGGATCCCAGGCTCCGCTAACCCGCATGTCCATGTGTCCTTGGGCAAGACACGAACCCAACACGGCTCCTGTAGCAGCGACTACAGTGTGTGGATGTTAGTGATTGATGGACAGGTGTCACTGTGTGTGGTAGCTCCTGTCATCAGGGTGTGAATGGGTGAATGGTGTCATGTTACAGCGCTTTGAGTGGTTGGAAGACTAGAAAAGAGCTAAACAAGTACAGTGCATTCACCATTTAAAGGTGTGAACTGGCTCTGTTGATGTAGACGGGGGGGGCTCTTGTTACCCAAGGTCAACGATCAGCTCCTTGGTTTGCTCTGTGAGCCCAGCTGTGTCTTTGAAGGATGATCAAATATTGAAATGTCTGTTGGCTCCGTATGAGTGAGGTTTGTTGTCGGGGTGCTTTGATCGATCGGCGTTTGAAGGAATAATGTGCGATCGGGGAGAAGCCGGCTCATGGACAGGCTGCTATTGGTGGGAAAGAAGGATCGGGGGCGTCGCTCCTCAGGAACACAGCGGCGTGTCCTGAGGTGTCCTCAATGACTGCGGCCGACGAACGGATGACAAGAACCCTATTTAGCTTTTCTTTACGCTACAACACAAGCTACACATTGTCATCAACACTTCTAAACGGGGGGTCAGAGGGCTCCCACCTGCTTAACTGGAGCCTCCTCCGTCTGCAGGCCGACGGGCGGCGGGGGCGGGACCTGTTGTCGCTGAAGCTCCGCCTCCACCGCCTGCAGTCTGAACAGCATCTGTTTCAGAGCCTCCACTGGACCAGGCTGCTTGAAGATGACGTCACTATGGAGACCGGAGATGCCTCCCTGAAGAGGGGGGGCAGAAGGGGGGGGGGGGGGGGTCATTTGGACTTGGAGCAGAGGGAGTGTGACTGGTCGTGCAGTTAAATGGAAGGTAACGGTGAAGTGGCTACCTGAGCCTGAGCTGAGAACCGGACGTCTTCAGCACATTCTGTAGGTCCAACTACAACAACAACAACAACAACGAGTGTCGTTCAATAAGGAAAAAGCATCACCGTGTGGACAACACATGCGATCAACCTCTTTGATGCAGTGATCAGGTTAAACTTGTAAAGAACGAACAAAAACTAAACCGTCACACTGTTCTGAGCAACAACCCGTTAACGTTGTCGGAGCGCTGTGAATCAGAGCAGAACCTCACCTGGTTCCGCTCCTCTAGATCTGTGGGAGAGACGGGTCAACACCTGGTCGGCCTTCTGGATCAGAGACTCCATCCTGTTGTCTGACAGGAAGGACACAAACAGCAGCATTGGTTTGGAACAAGGTTTGTGAAAAAGGTGTACTAGTACCACTAGGTGTACTTTGGAGTACTGCAAGGGGTCAGAGATCATCTGTGTGATAAACCCATGTCATGTCAAATCACTTTGTGTTTGTTTCTTCATTAAACAATCCTCACTGGTGACACTCGGCTGAAGAAATACTTGATTACAAAAGGTTGCACATTGTTGAAATAAAGATTGAGAAACTCGGTTGAGAATTTGTCTGATTACCTCTGAGGAGCGTTTCCGTGGCGTCGGGGCCGCGTCTCCCCGCAGCCAGAAGAGAAATCTCTTCAGCAAAATGAAGCCTGAGATCTCGGAGAGCCTGCTGGTTGTCAACCTGGTAACACACACACACACACTCCGTCAGTAACATCACATGCTACGGACCATTCTGACATCCCTTTTTTCTGGTCATGTACATGTATAAAAAGAGCGTGTTTTGTCCAAAGTGAAATATTTCCATAAATTGTGAATTATCAGCAATATAATATATATATATATATATATTAGTAGGACTGCCTGTGTGAGAAGTAGCAGTGACCCCCCCCCCCGGCATCGTGCTCAGCCGAGGCCACAATGAAAAGGGTGTAGAAGAAAAGTTATTTGTTTCAATGCAGCATAGTGCAACACAAAGACAAATACACTTCTCATCCTGTTTTTATTTCAATTCATTGTCTTAAATAATAAGTGTCCCACTTTAATCTAATCTTATAACGGTTTCTGGGTGTGTTTACTATTTCCTATCTATCTGATTCAAATAGTAGACGGGCGACGCACGCGTCAGACATTGTAATGACGTGTTTGATCATCTCACCTGAGCAGGCGTCTGGTCGTGCTCTTCTTCCTCCACGTCTGCTACCCAAGACGGAGCTCTGTTTCTGGGAGCTCCGGGCAGAAGAACACCTGAAGAGCCCGACCAAAAAGAAATACGATTTTGTTTTTTTAACAACAAATGTTCTCAGATAATCATCTTGTTGATATATTTCAAACCAAAGTCAAAGGAATTCTTCTCAGTAGACACTCAAACAGCTCCATGATTTGGCTAAAGACACAGCTGACTTTACCAGCAGCTGCTGTTACCAGTTGACTCGAATATGAAAGGATCTTAAATGTGCACGTACCTAAAGATCTACGAGGTAATAGCACAAAGGATCATGATACAAGGCTGGTAGTTATTGAAACATAAAATGAACATAGAGGAAATACAGCAGTGCTGTGTGTGTTATCAGAGTTGTGTTGTGCTCCTGCCATCTGCTGGACACAGATAAAACACACACCCACACTTTTATTATTTTATTATTACCTATCTTATTTTTTAATCTTCCTTTTTTTTAGTTTGTTTTGTTTTTATATTTTGCACCTGACAGCAAATCCAGTTTCTCATATGGGATTATAAAAACAACATTTTTTACCGGGCTCATCCCACAGCTGTGCCTCGGAGGCCGGGGGCGTCTCACTCAGGTCACAGCGGTGGACCCAGGCCGGGTACGTAAGATCCGGGACGCTGGTGATCCCGGAGCAGTCCAGGTCAGTCTTGTTTGTGGTGAGCCAGCGGGGGAAGTGGAGGGACGAAGAAGGCTCCGCCCACTCTGACCTCGCTGCTCTGCGTGCGGACTGCAGACAGAAACAGGGACCAGAGTCATTCACGAGTCGTACTCAGAATTACATCCAAAAGCAGGAATAAACATGTGACTGGTGGTCACCGCGGGGCAGCTGACTGAGGAAACGTCAACACGTGGATTCAACATGGCCGCCGCCGGCCTCTCTCTGCACCTGGAAGAGAGGAAGTTATGAAAGGTCAAATGTGAGGTCGACCTTTTACAGGTCAGAACCGATATCTTTCAGAACACTAGAAGGATTAGTGGCAGCAGCTTGAACCTGGAGCTCCTGGTTGGATGAAGGTGGTGGTGTTGGTGGTGCTTCATCTGGGGGGCACCCTGGCTGCAAAGGAGTCTGTCAGGGGTTCTCTGTGCCGGTCTGGAGGAGGAGAAGAGAGGCTCTGAGGATCCAGACTGGGACAGGAGACCTGGATCAGCAGACGGGACGCGTCAGAAGAACCGAGACACACTGACAGCGCATTTGAAGCCATTTGATGGAGGCAGGGCGGAGGTGATGCGTTCGGAGACCTTGGATGAAGGCGGAGGTGTGAGTGACGGGCATCGAGCCGTCGTACGGGATGGACAGCAGCTCGTCCGTCGTCATGGAAAGTCTGTCTCGGTTGCCACGGTGATGGAGAGAGCTGACGGGGAGGTTGAGGAAGTCGAGCTCCCTGTCGGTCAAGCGCTCCCTGAGAACTATAACACACAAAATCACACGGAGACAACAACAGACAAACGCTCCCAAAACAACAGTGGTTCCCACGACGAGTGTGGTGACCCACCATCTCTGTTTCGGAGCGCGCTCACTCCGGCTCGGCTGCATGTGGGGGGAAGAGGCCTCCTGGGCCACGCCACGCCGCCCGGCCGACTCCTCTCGTAGTCTGTGATGTAGGCGTCCAGCGCTGCCGAGGCCGAGATGTAGTTCTGCAAATAGTCATTAGGCCTCAGTCATGTATTTTAGAAAGCCGGGCCACATGAGAAAGACCACTAGCAGGTCTTCACTGCAAAACACCCGGAGGGCTTTAATCCCTCAGAGGTTACCACACGTTTAATCGGAACACTGCCTTTGAGCTGTAAAATGACCATTTCCTGTGCAGAACTTGCATCTACAGTGTCCGGCTGGAGCCGTGAGGCATTAACCATTTGGCTCCTCGTGGTCAGTGTGGGGCGACCAGGAGGAGCTCGGCCCACCTGCTCTCTGTAGGCGAAGGTGGCGTCGTGTTCGCGGGCCAGCAGGCCGCTCCTCAGGTGACCCGAGCTGGACAGCAGGGAGGTCACCGTGGACTCGGGGGACACGCAGTCTGCGACCGAGCCGCCGGCCTCCATTGCTGACCAAAACAAGCCCAAAGCACAGAGGAGGAAGAGGAGGAGCAGCTGTGACATCACATCACGTTACATTACGTTACATTACATTTTTAACCCGTGGCTTTTTTTAAACATTTTTGCCGGGGAGCAGAGGAGCATCTGTTGTCAAGTAGCCTGAAACAAGTTACAAGTCAACAAACACACCTTCATCAAACAGTAACTAACGTTTTGTGTTCACAATGTGTGTAAGAAACTTAAAATAATACTACATCAAAAGTTTACGTCGGTAAGCTGTTAGTTCACTTTCACCAACTAACTGACGTTATTAGGGCACTAGAGAAATAAACTGACAACGAAAATAAACTTTAGTTAGCAGTACGGGGTAATTACATGAATCCAAACGGTCAACGCGGCTTCTGCATCGGAGGCGGTGACGCGCAGTGAGGCGCGTCCCCGCCGCGCCGCGGGAGACTCGCGGTTCAAGCTAGCAGCTAGCAGCTAGCTTAGCCGCGTCAGTTGGCCCCGGAGACGTTGGGCCGCGATGTGGCGGCTGTGAGCGGACTTCGGCTCGTGGTCACCGGGCGGAGACCCGCACGGCTCGGCGGTCAGCGGGCCGGCGCTCTGCGTGCGACGGACTTCGGGCTTCTTCGGGAACTTTTGGAAGCATCTCGAGCTCAACCGGACCAAACCTCCTGCTGAGGGACGCTTCCGCCCCCTGCCGGCCGCGCGAGTCTCACGCATCGCGTCCTCAGGAGAGACACCCGGAACAAAACTATCAGGGCAGACAAATGAATGAATGCCGAGTCCAGATGTTTTAAGGGGCATCGGCCTGAATCCTTTGATCTATATGTAATATATTCCTTTGGCTTATGCAAGAAAACGCTTCCCTCTGCACTCTGAATCAAAACACAGGACCAGATTTGGAACTGAACATTGTAAACGCAGAAAGTATTCAAGTATATAACCGTGTAAGTAATAATGTGCACATTTCTTCAGTAAATAATATACATAAGTACAAATAACAATACTAAAGTGCAAATTTTAAAGTGCAAATAACCATACATAAGTACAAACTGCACAGTAGAATTTACTTTACCATCTCTATAAAAGAGACCATTCTGCCATCCGATAGAACTATATTACAAACATTTTCACTACCATCAGTTGTCAAAGGCCCTACAGAGGCACACGCCCAACTCTTGATGCCTTTTCGAAGCCATTTCAAAGCTGTCTGCCACATTTGAGATTTGAGGCATAATCCAACAGACCACTGGGAGGTGGGAGGTGGGGGCACAGGAGCTTCCCCTTTTTCTCCACTAAGTTGGTCTAGGACTATTACTTTTGTATTGCTTTTGCATATTAACATGCTTTAGACATATTTTATGTGTTATTTATACTAGTAGCCTACTGTGATGATTTTTCACGTCCCAGATATTTTGATGCCCCCCCAGACGCTTGGTGCCCACGTGCAGTGCGTGATGTGCGTGTGCGGAGCGCCGGCGCTGCACAGGACATAACCTCCGTTAGTTATAGTCCGAGTTATTTCCCACAACCCAAGAAACACTATGGATGTTTGTTCCTTCTTCTTGTCTGTGTTGGCATCAGCAACGTTGCATCGCCTCCTCCTACTTGTATTCTTCTTAAAGACGTCCTCTGTGTAAGTGGTGCAACACGTCCAGCGGCCTCGCTCACTGCTTTCTGCCGCCCGTGTTTCTTCATGCTGATGACCTGCAGGACGTGGACATTTCGGTAGCTCGACTAAGCGTTTGGTTCTACGTCGCTCCATCCCGTCATGTTACTCCCGGGGTCATGGGCTCCTGCTGTGCGGGGGGAGGGGGCCCCGGGCATGCAGGGTTGGTGGACGGGGTCGTGGGGGATGGTGTCACCACTGCCCCATTGTCTGTTGTTCAAAGCAACCAAAAACCCGTCCAGCTCGTTTGCCAGGCGGAGGTCACTCTTGGAGTGGGGGGAGGTGGGGTGGGGGGCTCTAGTGTCGGGGATCTATCTGAGGCCTCTCATGACGGAGCAGAATCACTTGCTGACAGCTGGAATGAGAGTTTCTCCGCTCGCTGTGATCCTTGTGCCTGTTCTTTGTGGAACCGTGGCTGTCTGAGTTCTGCTGTGAACCAGGTCCCCGTTGTTAGAACTCACCCTGGTGCTTGTTCTTCAAAGGAGCGGATGTATGACGTCCCTGCACCTCGTACTCATCCTAACTGTTGGTAGTAGAGCTGAGAACATCCCTACATATATATATATACATTCATGTACTAAAAGTATTTTGTAAAACTAAACTGCAAGTAAATGTAAACCAAATACTGCATGAACATGGATGTAGTCTTTCATCATCCACACGGGTGACTTAAGGGCACTTGTGAAGCTGGGTGTCCGTCCAGGCCACACAGACCAACTCCTGGCTGTATCCCAAAATGGATTTGAAGCCTTGTGTTCTTATTGTACTATCGACATCTTGGATTGCTGCCGTCGCTATGTTATTTTCTTTTAATACAGCGAATGAAAGTAAGTTTCCCTATTTGGACTGCGGAGGAGTGAGGTAGAGACACTGTATACAGCCATGGAAGCAGCATCCCAGCGAGCTCGCCCTGCCCTGCTTCATGGTCTATTTCGCTCTAAATAGACGATAATTCACCAAATGAACATCATGCTGCATTGATGAAGACTTGGAACTAGAGACCGAGACCATAGATTCATCTTTACAACGTTTACTGAGAGAATAAATCAAGAGAAAAGTGGTTTTCTCGTAGACTATTCTATTCAATCAGAAGAGCCCCCCTGCTGGGCAGAGGACAGAATGGAGGTTTAAGACACGTAATGTAATTACACAATACTTCTGTACAGGATAAGAACAACATATTATCTTGTTGTAAGAAAGTAAAAACATGTCATCTTTGTAGTATACCCTGATTTGTAGATCACACTGAATCATTAAAACGTCTTTCTTCGCAACCGGCTGATTAGTGACCGGGAGACGAACGGGGGCGACGCACTGGCCCTTTAACGGGCGTTCGGTTTCCCCGCCGGGTCGCCCGTTTGTCTCAACAGACGATCTCTGTGTACGTGCGCGTGTGCGCGTGCGGCAGCGCCGACGTCACAGCCCGCCGCCGTTTGGTCCTGTTCAGTTCCGATCGCCGCTCGGCTCCCTCCGGAGGCTCGTCACGTTCGCGGCTCTGCTCAGCCGAACTCAACCCGGAGCCGGATGCAGTTTACCCCCCGGGGGAGCCCAGCTCGCGCGCTGAACCGGGGCACTTTTTTGATTCGTACTTAACGCGAAATAAGCGGCACAGACCGGCGGGGCGGAGGGAGGGAGGGAGGGAGGGAGAGCCGCCGTTACCGTAACGTCCGTGACGTCAGTGCGCCCGGGCCGCTGTGGCGCGAGGGGCTCGCCGCCACGCTGCTCGTCCGCCGGGGTCCCTCCGCCGGGGCGAACCGATCCACCGGCCCGGCGAGAGCGCCGCCGCGGGGCGACGCATAAGCGCGCGGTGATGGAGAAGAAGAGGTCGGACTGCCCCGCGCTCCCTCCCGGCTGGAGGAAAGAGAAGGTGATCAGGAAGTCCGGATTGAGCGCTGGAAAGAGCGACGTCTACTACTACAGGTATCCCCCCCCCCCGACCCCCCCCCATCGATCAGCCAGCGACCCCCCGCGGGGGACGCGCTCCTCACTCTTGTGAACGTGCACTTACACGTTGATCGGGAGGTGCTGGATGACTCAGTGGCTGTCAGGCATGTCGTCATAACACGTTTATTCACAACTGTAACATTCTTTAGATGTTCCAGCCCCGTGGATCTGACGATCAACACACACTATTGTTGTTTGTTTTAGCGTCTATTGGCGCACGTGGCGCTCCGCTGTTCGCACGTCAGGGATCAGAAGTTCTCCCATCAGAAGTCACGCTGATCCAGTGGGCTAGTTAGCTACACCCGGTGCCGGGGGGGTGAAGCTCGCACGGCGAGGCCCTCTCGTCACAAAGCGCTGGCGTCCGTTGTTTCACCGTGATGTGCTGAATGAAGACATGGAAGATCGATTGAATCGACACATTTAATGGTGGTAATTCACGCCGTTTGGTTAAAGGAGTCATTGGTTGAGATTGCAGGTGGCGGACTCCGCCATCCAGGCTAACTACTCTATAAGGAGCTCATTACAGAGTACCAATGCATGTTATTCACCACATCAAACTGTCATTGTAAGCATTATAGCTTTAATCGAGTTGCATTCAGTATTAACTTAAAGTAAGTCACTTTCCTTGGTATAATTCAGGGATGCTTTTGGCACATTTAGCCAGCGGCCCTGTAAAGGGGAAAGTTTGGCTGATAAAGTGACACCATCGGTCGGTCGAGTGTCTGGAGCTTCCCCATCGGCTGTTCCTCTTTCAGAAGGGAAAGGCAGGCAGGCCCTTAAAGATGTCCTCAATTACTGAGACGAGTGCGCGTAACCCATCACGGGGGCCCTTGGGGTAAAAACGTATTGGAAAGGAGGCAGTGTCGACGCAGGCTGGAGGTGGAGGAGAAGGAGCCGCTTGGTAGGCGCCACACATGGTCCAGCCATGTATCAGGTTCCAGCGTATCATCATATTATTGATATTTACACATTCAGCCAGGTGTTGATTCAGATGTACGGCCGTTTTGGTGGCTGTAGTTTGTTGTGGTATTTTGAATTCATGTATATAACTAGTGTGCTGCCATACTGAATTGATATGTTCATTATTGATTTGTCCGCCCCTTTTGTAGCATTCTTATAGCATATGTGACGTATGAAAGATTGCAGTAGGCCGTATAAGGAATCCTTAATATTACAAAAAGGAGTGAAGTCGGGATGCCTCAGCCCGTCCTGCTTAAAGTCTGACCTTTTCTCTTTTTATTTTAATCAATCTCTCTCTCACAAGTCCCCCAACTCTATGGAAGCGCAATCCAAAAAAAGAAAAGAAAATCAGTAATGAGTAAGTTTCAGCGTCAGCTCTGTTTCATCCTTCATGCACTTTTCATGCACATTACAACACCAACAAGGAGGGGATTGGAACGACGAGGAGCTCCTCTCTGTCCCCGTGCTCCTGAATCCCCCTCACGTCTCTGAGGCAGATCCCAGTTCCCTCCGAGGCTTTTTTATGTGGCTCCTCCAGCTGCAGCTGCACAAAATGGCAGCGGAAACGATGTCGCGCATGCAGTGGTTAGGCCGTGACGCCCGCGGAGCCGCGGCGGCTCACTTCCTGTTTATCGGCGGGCTCCGTCACACCCTGAGGCCTCCGCAGCTGTGGCTCGCCTTTGCTTTCAGTTTGCGACGTGACTCATGGGTTCCAGTCAGGGAACCAGTCAGCAGGCCGCCTGACTGGAAGAGCAGTAAACAGGCCGCCGGGGCCTCTGAGGGCTCCGTCGCTACAAACCCTCGCTGCTCCACAGGAAGCCGTTTCACATTCAGTCCCTCGGCTTCAGAATACAGCGGAACCTCAGCTGTTTTCACCGCTTCCCTCCGTTATGGCGGCGTGGAGCTTCAATACGAAGCTGCAGTGAGATAAAGAACAAACAATATCTATGATACCGTCAGACATGTGCACACGCCTGCAAACACGCGCACACACACACACCCACACACACACACACACACGCACACAGCCTCTGATCTCTGCTTTGTTGCCGCTGACCTACATGTCAGACGCAGCTGAGTGACTGTTCTCTGGCTCTTCAGTCTCTGTGAGGACGAACTGCCCTTTAGGACCTTTAGGGACATTCTGTCTGGTGCCCACTTATTTATTGAAGGGTTTGAACATGAAGGTTCACGGGGGGGTTGTGCAAATAATCCGCACATAAATATATTTATGAAAACCTTTTATTTTTGTCATGAATAGATGCAAAACTTAGGTGGTAAAACCTGACGTGTTTTATATAGTATCCAACAATTTCCTGACCGTTTACATTGTGAATAAAGGCATCAAGTTGAGTGGCGTATATATATATATATATAATATATATATATATGTATAATATATATATTATATATATATAGAGAGCAGCCCAGACCATGTTTGTGGGTCATCTGTGATAACTTGGTTTGCTTCGTCACTTCTTGCAGGTGTCAGATTTAATGTCAGTATATATCAATATAAACTTATACAACCTATGTATGTATTTAATACATAGATATTATATTACTGCTACTGAACATTGATGGATGTTTATGCTGGTTCAGAAAAAAAGAAAACAAATCAACTGAAGTTAATTTGCCTGTTATGGTCATGGAGGGTAATCATATATATACAGATATATATATGTATATGTATATATATATGTGTGTGTGTGTGCATGTGTACGTATTATTAGAGGTGCTAGTGAACAAACCTTATGGTTGTATAGACACGCTAGCTGGTGGAGACACAACCTCTGGGTGGATCGTCCTCAACTAAATGTGACACGAGGCGTTTCCAGTGATCGCACCATCAGACAAGTAAAGATGGCAGCTGCCGGCGGTGATAATGAGGAGCAGGAGTTGCGTGTGCGCCCATAACCTGTGTGATCATGGTTCTATCTCTCAGTACCTTCTGACTAGGATTGATTCTGACTTTGGCCCTCCAAGTGTTTCAGGAGCCGATCTTAAAAGTTTACTTTGGTCTGCCTGAAATGTGAATTCAAGATACCTCTATCACTGATAATACTACAACTCCTTTTCAAGCTATCACCACTTGTGTTCTAACTAGGATAACTGTACTTCCTGACAATTAAAAGAATACAAATTATACTTTTTTGAAATGCAACACTAAGATATTGTTCTCTTTATCCGTCTTACTCCCTCCTCCTTCTCTCTTCTTTCTTCCATCAGTCCTTCAGGAAAGAAGTTCCGGAGTAAGCCTCAGTTGTCCCGTTACCTCGGAAACGAAGTGGATCTGGGATGTTTCGACTTCCGGACGGGAAAGATGTTGCCCGGAAAAATGCAGAAGAACAAACAAAGACTTCGACACGACCTGCTCGGCCTGGCCAAGGTAACACTGATGAATCGCTGTGGGGGGGCTGGGCACCAAGTTGACACCCATTCACCACGGAGGACGAGTGAGGCTGGTCTGTCATCTGCCCCCATCATTGGTACCAGGGCTGTAAGTGCTCAGGTCCAGTCAATGATCTCAGACGTGTCTCGGTCTCACAGGTCTCCAGGCACTTCTCATTCTTCTAAGTGCTCCAACATCAGATGTTGCAGTATTAACTCTGAATTGTCTTAAGTCTCATAGGCCTGTTGACTCTCACTTCTTAGCCATGTGGGTACTTGACCCTTTGGTCAGCTGACCCACTCACTAGAAGGTAATTTGTCCTCTAATACCACCCGAAACTAGAAAAACACCCTAAAACATCAGTAGCCCCAACTTTCCAATGCCTGTGGTTTTGGCTACGCTAGCAGCCATTCTAGCAGCTACTCTAGCAGCTACGCTAGCAGCGACTCTAGCAGCTACGCTAGCAGCCATTCTAGCAGCTACGCTAGCAGCGACTCTAGCAGCTACGATAGCAGCCATTCTAGCAGCTACGCTAGCAGCGACTCTAGCAGCTACGCTAGCAGCCATTCTAGCAGCTACGCTAGCAGCGACTCTAGCAGCTACGCTAGCAGCCATTCTAGCAGCTACGCTAGCAGCGACTCTAGCAGCTACGCTAGCAGCCATTATAGCAGCTACGCTGCAGAGACAAAAACTGTTGCTCTGTGTAGAAAAATGAAACTTGACACACACAGTGACAAAATCAGGAAGACCTAGTCGGGAGCAGTAGGTAGAGGGCAGATGTTCTCCAGGTGTGTTTGATCAGCAGTGCGGCCAATGCAATCAGCAGTGTGTTTAGCTCTGTCCGTTAGCTATGAAGATGCACTCTGTGGTTTCATGTATTTATTTTAGCTGATACCCAAACACACCATCCACAACAATAAAAGTGAGTGTAAAAGTAAAATACATCCACTGAGAGATGTCAGTCAGACAGGCAGAGATCCGAGTGAGGGAAGGAGAGAATTAGTTGGGTGTCATCGGCATAGCTGTGGTAGGAGAAGCCATGTGGGCGAATGGCCTGAGAGAGTTGGTGTAGAGCGAGAAGAGGAGGGGACCCAGGACGGAACCCTGAGGAACTCCAGTAGTAAGAGGACAAGGTTCCGACACAGATCCTCTCCAGGTTACCCGGTAGGTGCGGCCGTCGAGGTAGGACGAGAGAAGGGAGAGAGCAGAGCCTGAGACACCAAGTTCCTGAAGGGAGGACACACGGATCTGGTGGTTGACTGTGTCAAATGCAGCAGAGAGGTCCAGAAGGACGAGGACAGAGGAGAGAGAGGAGCTCTAGCATGTCTGTCTGTCTGTCTGTATCTCTCTTCATTAAACATGACAAACCAGATGCGACGTAATGTCTTCAGCGGTGCTAATGTTGTGGTTAATTTATCACCAAACAACGTCGGGGGGGTGAAAACACCGTCATCACGTGTTTGTCCGTTTGATGCTCAGCTCAGAGGAGGAAGAGGAGGAAGGAAGAAGGAGGAGGAAGGGGGAGGAGGAGGAAGTGGGAGGAAGAAGAAGGAGGAGGAGGAAGGAAGAAGGAGGAGGAAGGGGGAGGAGGAAGGAAGAAGGAGGAAGAAGGGGGAGGAGGAAGAGGGAGGAGGAAGGAAGAAGGAGGAAGGAGGAAGAAGGGGGAGGAGGAAGAGGGAGGAGGAAGGAAGAAGGGGGAGGAGGAAGAGGGAGGGGCGCGGCGAAAAGAATAAATGAGAACTTTTTATTCTTAAATTTTGATGAATGAAGAAAAAGTTTGGCTCCAGCAGAAGGGGCACTTTTCTTATCCAGGGCAAAAGGGCAGGTGGGCATCAGAGCTGGTTTGACTTCTGTTTAAAGGCAATTGTTTGGGACAATTTGGAGAGTGTGAGAGTGAATGTGAGAAGATCGGTAGCAGAAGGCGTTTAACACAGCAGACATTTTTGACTTGCATGTGGTAATGAAACCAACCACCACTCAGGTGATCATTCACGCACCTTTTCTTCTGTCACACGTATGTTGTTTTCAATACAAGCAACCAACGTGAACTTACTGAAAGGGTGTGTGTCTGTGTGAGACTTTTGTGTGTGAGCTGCATCGACACAGTTTGTAACTTTCGGATGCTGCTCTACTCATCACTCATCCCTTGGGAATACAGACACACACACACACACACACACACACACACACACACACACACACACACACACTTCCTGTCGTTTGTTAACCCTTTAACACGCAAACATAACAGAGCCCAAACACACAGATTATAGGTCCATTATCAGTCCCAAAGGGAGGAAAGAGAGAGAAAGGAAGGTGAGAAGGTAAAAGTGAGAAAAGGCCGGGAATGAGGGATGGTGGGAATGAAAAAAAGGAATGATAAAGAAGGTAAAAGAAACATGACACCAACACACAGACTCTGTCTCCGTCTCATCCAGGGAGGAAAACCTGACCTGAACACAGCGCTGCCAATCAGACAGACGGCATCCATCTTTAAACAGCCCGTTACCAAGGTTACGAGCCACCCCAGCAACAAGGTGAAGGCAGACCTGCAGAGAGCTAGTGAGCAGCCCAGACAGGTGAGAGGCTGACGCACACACACTTCCACACACGTTCTGGTGTCGCCATGGCAACGCCCAGGGGCGGAGTCAGGCTGCTACACAAGGGGAGCAGGGGGTACAGCAGGTGGTCATGGGGACTGGGGCCTCTAGAGGGTGCTGAGGTGTCATGGGGAAAAAAGGCTCTCACACGGTGTGTTCGGCAGGAGGAAAGAAGGATGCTGATGACGAAAAGGAGAGAAAGAAGCGTGGTGGGAGATCTCATCTCATCTTCCTATTAGTAAAGGTATAAAACTAAAATCAACCGTCCGACCCAACCCCCACTTCAGACGCGCCGATGGACGGGCTCACCGTCAAAGTTCTACGGCTGTATTATGAAGACAAAATAGAACCAAAAAGAGAGGAACCCATTGCCTAAATTAATTCTGAAATTAATAATGATAAATAAATAAAAAACACAGTAGGATATTTTCTTTCTTAAATATGTATTTTCGTTAACCAACTAACTCAAATTATGAAATTGAATAAATAAATGAATAACGGGCCAAAACAGACAAAACAAGGCCATATTGTATAACCAAATGTTCAATAATCCAAAAATATTCTAATATTCTCAAAACTCTGGTCTGAATGAATTAAAGTATCTTCACAGGAGCATCACTTCACTGTGATTTATTTCAATGGCCAGCGGGAGAAGGCCGGGGAGTCTTCCCCACAGAGACTCCTGAGCCGGTTCTTTATTCTCCTCAGGTTTGAAAAGGATCTTTCCACTGAAGCTGTTGGCAGTGGCAGTGTTGCATAGATCTTTAGCATCTTCACAAATGGGAAAGATGTGCTGGCCAGTGTTCTCCTCTACAATGCAAGGATTTCTTGCAGGTTCTTTGAGGGAAAGCGGGAGGACGCCTGTAGCTCTGTCTTCAGCTGGTCTTCGTTTTCCTCATGGAGGTCCCAGAGAACACGGACGGCTTCCTCTGCGTTAGGGGTGCTTGTCCAGTTGGGACACACTGTTGGAGAGTGGAAGGACCAGATGATTGATGATTGTACATAAAGCTGAGAAACACAGACCACACACTGTTTTCTGAAGCTTAAGCAGCATTACACTAATAACATACCACCATATACCTCACCGACCGTCATGTAGCTCAACTTAACGCCTACCTTTCATTTCAATACTTGCAATTTTAAATTAAACAAAACTGTGAACTTTTTTTGTTTGTAGAGCAGTAAAACATGCCTTTAAATTCACCGCCTGTCTGTCTGTCTGTCTGTCTGCCTGCCTGTCTGTCTCTCTCTCTTCATTAAACATGACAAACCAGATGCGACGTAATCTTTTCAGAGGTGCTAATGTTGTCGGGGGGAGAAAACACGTCATCACGTGTTTGTCCGTTTGGCGCTCAGCGCGGAGGAGGAGGAAGGAGGAGGAGGAAGAGGAAGGAAGAGGAGGAGGGGAGGAGGAGGAGGAAGGAAGAGGGGGAGGAGGAAGGAGGAAGAGGGGGAGCAGGGAGGAAGAGGGTGAAGGAAGGAGGAGGAGAAGAGGGGGAGGGGAGGAGGAGGAGGAAAAAGGAGGAGGAAGGAGGAGGAGGAAGAAGAAGGAGAAGGAAGGAGGAGGAGGAAGAGGGGTGAGGAGGAGGAGGAAAAAGGAGGAGAAGGAGGAGGAAGGAAGAAGGAGAAGGAAGGAGGAGGAGAAGAGGGGGGAGGAGGAGGAGGAAAAAGGAGGAGGAAGGAGGAGGAGGAAGGAAGAAGGAGAAGGAAGGAGGAGGAGGAAGAGGGGGAGGAGGAGGAGGAAAAGGAGGAGGAAGGAGGAGGAGCGAAGAAGGAGAAGGAAGGAGGAGGAAGAGGGGTGAGGAGGAGGAGGAGGAGGAAGGAAGAAGGAGGAGGAGGATGAAGGAAGAAGGAGAAGGAAGGAGGAGGAAGAGGAGGAGGAGGAGGGAAGAAGGAGGAGGAAGAAGGAGGAAGAGGAGGAGGAGGAGGAAGAAGGAGGAGGAAGAAGGAGGAGGAGGAGGGAAGTTGGAGGAGGAGGATGGAATATGCTGGTGGACCGAGGAGGATCTCTGGAGGATTAGGAGGTAAGAAGGAGGAGGAGGAGGGAAGAAGGAGGAGGAAGGAGGAGGAGGAGGAGGAAGGAAGAAGGAGAAGGAAGGAGGAGGTAGAGGAGGAGGAAGGAGGAGGAGGAGGAAGAGGGCGGAGACTTGTGTGCAGCATGTCGGGGCAGAATTCTCACAAGAATAAATGTGTTTTGACATCGTAACACATTTGGGGGGAATCGATGAATCAATATTTTTAAATATTTTTATATTCAATATTTTTAAATATTCAATATTTTTAAATATTGATTGAATGAAGAACAAGCTCGGCTCCAGCAGAAGGGGCACTTTTCTTACACAGGGCAAAAGGGCAGGTGCCTGAGCCCCACTAGGGGTCCAGCTGTGCACGTGCCTGCTGTCGGGTAACGTCCGAGTAGTTCTAACGTGGTATTCAGTATTGGTGGGTGGACTCACCTGTGCATGCTTCACATTGAGGAAGCTCTTGGTGAGAGGCAGCGGCAGCGGCAGGAAGTGTTTGCTTGGCGTAACACAGTCTTAACAGGGCAGCAGACTCGGGGCAGGGAGCCAATCAGAAAACTATGAAGGGAACTGAAACGCATTCTCAACTGTGTCTGCCGGCAGCTGTTCTGGGAGAGGCGGTTGAAAGGCCTGCAGTCATCAGACGTGTCAGAAGAAGTCCTGCGGACCATGAGCCTGCCCAAAGGCCTGCAGGGTAAGTCTCCAGCAGGTCAGAACACGCGCCATGACGCAGCCGCAACCTCTGACCTGCGAGGTCTCTCCCTCTCTGCAGGCGTCGGGCCGGACTCCAGCGATGACACTCTGCTGTCGGCCATCGCCAGCGCCCTGCACATGAGCTCCGCCCCCATAACGGGACAGACGACCGTGGCCGCCGAAAAGAACCCGGCCATCTGGCTCAACACGTCCCAGCCGCTCTGCAAGTCCTTCACCGTCACCGACGAACAGATCCGGTGAGCGACGTGGCCGCCGCCTGGTCCCACACCGCCGTCTTTTTTCACTGTTCTGCAGGTTGACAGATAAGGAGAAGAAGAATGGGTTCATGCGTGCTGCAAGCTGCACACAACAGCAAATGAGTCTCTGTAATTGTTCCCAAACATCAGCTCATGGAGGCGATGAAGATACTTTGTATCTGTTTGTGTCCGATTGCCCCAACTGGAGTCGCAAACACGATGTACATACTATAGATCCAGGCTCTGAGGATATTTCTGCACAAATATACACTTATTTTAATAAACAGTACCATGTTTTACTCTTCAGCATCAACGTCATGCAGTGATAGTTGTGTGTGCATCCGTGATACACTGCAAACTGCAGCTGATTCGACATGCTTTGCAATGGTGCCAATCTGATGATGGTGAAACAGGATGTGCTCTCACGCTCTCTCTGGACATCCTGCCTCTCTGGCCAGAAACCCCGTTTACTGCTTTCTTTTTTGTATGTGAAAGACTTTCTTTTGTTGTTCCTTCATAGATGATTCATACGGCAGTAACTATGTTTCCGATAAGACATTCTCACTTTGACCGCGGCAACGTGTGTTATGATCTGGGGAAATGTTCACTGATAAGATGCGTTTCATCACATTGCATCAGGTGTCTGTGGAGCTCATAGTTTCCTGAACGTTTAACCTTTGAAAGAAGAAGGAACCCTCTCCTTCAATTAGATTCAATTCTCTCAGGTTTGGCTGTAACTGCTGATAAATCTTGCAGCGTTTCACAGTCGTAACTGAGTCAATGCTTCTGCTGCGCGATGCTTTAGCATTTAGAGATCCTGTTTTCGGTTTGGTTTTGGCAAAGCAGATTATAACTTCCCGTCTTTCCTTTTCACGGCTCAACGTCAGCTAATTAGACCAATAAAAACCTAAATCATCATCCTCCTGCTCTCTGCAGAAAGAGATTCAACCAAAGTCTGCTTTACATTTAATAAAAATGACATTTTCTCATTTAATTCAATGAGGAAATGTGTCCAAACGTTTGGCTGTTATTGTATTTTACTACCAATATTTTAGTCCATAACTATTCTAGATAGTTGCTATAGTTTGGCAGTATTTTTGAGCACGTCGTAATGTGTTTTTACCGTATTATCTGTAACGTTGCGGCTCTGAAGCCCCCAAACATCCTTATTCACTGTCATTATTTTTCATATGGACTTTTATCTTCCTCAACAAATCTTCTTTTAGTTTAGTATACATGCGTGAGGAGAGCAATGCTTAAAATGTGTAAAAAACAAATGTTTCTCTGTCAAGTCAGCCATGTAAGAAACCCTGAAGAGGGAGAAGCAGCAGCTGGAGGCCGATGAGAAGTGCAGATAGCTGATGCATGCTGGGTAGTGGGAGTAATAAGTAGTAGAGTGAGCGATGGGCGATATGAGATGAGGAGCAACACGGTATGAATGAAGATGAAGAGGTGCACAGCCTCTCTGCAGGCGTTAGCCCCGGGTCACATGGACCTCCAGCATCCAATCAGCTTTCAGAAGGATTGTGGCCTGATGGAAAGAGAAAGAAGAGACACATTGTAGCAAGTTTAAGGCTTCATTTATTCTCCCCATGCACAAGAATGGACGACGCTGAAAGAGGGCGACCGTTTCTCTGTGGGAATACGTGTGGTTTGCTAACGAGTTCACAACACTGAGTAGGTGGTGGTCGGTCCGTGTTGGGACGTAGTTTACGGGTGTAGAAATGTTTCCACGGCTCGCTGTTTGGTGTGGCTGATCATTTTTCTGGTGTTGGTATTCAGAGACAATTCAACCTGAGCTTTTAGATTTACTGAAATGTCGTATGTAAGTTGTTTTACCGCAAGATTGAATTCAACTAAAAGCAACAAGTGCATAATGGAAGTAAGTGTGAATGAGTGATGGGAGAAAAAGGAAAATAGTCAGCTGGGTGAATCAAACTGTCAAGCTCCATCCCGTCCTTTGTTCAACTACATTCTTTGGCAGAAGCACAAATTCTATACGTATATTTAATCACCCTGTTGTGACAATTATATAATCCAATAAAATAAAGCAACGCTTACATCCATTTTAAAAGGAAAGGGGATGCGAATAAGAAGCTCCGTCCTTTAGTGGCTGTAAACCCCGTAGATCGCTACTGCGCCCTGACAGGAGGGGGCGCTGTGGACACACACACACACACACAGGCTGTGTGAGTCTGTGTGTGTGTGTGTGTTTGGGTGAAAACGTGGCAGAGAACAGCTGGCCGAAGCCATTACAGCAGAAATATATCACGTCGGTGTCCCTGTCCTCGTCGCTCCCTTCTCGTATCTCCTTATCTCCTTCTCTACTCTGGCTCTCTTCTACCTCCTTCCGTCCTTCCCTTAGATTTTCTTCTTCCTCACCTTTTCATGTTGAAGATTTCACTGATTTCCTGCATTTTTCTCAGCACACTTTACATTTTCTGACCTTCCGTATTTATCCTGCTCCTGCTTTTACTTTGCTCTCTTTCCTTTTCCTTATTTCCTTCCTTTATCGTGCAAGGCGGTGTCCTTCCATAGCCGTCACATCTCCTCCGTGAAATCATGTGTTTCAGTGTTTCCTCCTCCGCTACCGCCATGGTGTTTTTCTTTTATGTACTTATTACATCCCCATCTGCCTCTAACAATACATTATTGTCTTTCTCCTCTATTTCTCTTTCCCATTTCATCCCCCTCCTCCTCTGCTCTTATTTCCCCCTCCTGCCTCCCTTCTCCTTCCCTTCCTCCCACTCCCCCCCGCCTAATCTTATCTCTCCCCTCCATTAATTTCCAATTCTCTGCCTCTTCCCCCTCTCTGCTCAATGGAAAATGCTTGTCATCCTAAATCGCTCTCATTCCTCTCCTCCCTCCTCCCTCCTCTTACATCCTCTGCTTTATCAAACTGGTTTTATTCTTTTCTTTGTTTATTTTTGTTATCTCTCAGCCTTCCATCAAGCTTTCTAATTTTTAATTTTTCTTTAATACCGATATTGAACTGCATCATTTTCCCGGTGATTTATCACCTTTAACAGAAGCAGATCGCATTGTGTTGCGCGGCCGTGTCTCATTCTTCTCTCCTTGCTGGACATCTTCTCCTCTTCTCAGTGAAGAAACACGCCTGGCGACATTCACGTATAAACGCAGGTTTTATTCACAGGACAGCTCGCTTCCTTGTCCCCTTTCTGTTTTTCTCATTAGAGGTGGACTCTCAGGATGGAGACACCAACCGTTCACTCCTCAGCAGAACAGCCAATGCTTCCCACTTTCACCTCAGACTACGGCTTTTTACAGTAAACACTCAAAAGCTCAACGTCATTTACTGTTCAGCCATCGTTCCATCACAGCATTCAAGCCGCCTTGCTGACCGCCGCTTCCTTCAAGCACACTGCGTGGTTCCTTTGCTGCTGCTCTGCACTCTCCTGGTTTTAGGCCGGATGTTGAAAGTGGTCTTTTGTCGTTCGTGTGTTGTAATTGCAGTGCACGGGCTGCTTGTGTGGTTTGTGGGACGTCTGTTGCACGGTGTGGTGCTTGCATAGGGGCCTCAGTAAGACATGCTCCTCTGTGAATGTGTCCTCAGGGAGCAGGAGCTGAAGGTCCACCAGGCCAGGAGGAGTCTGGAGGACGCGCTGATGGCTGACGGTTTGGCGCGGGCCGCCGAAAACACCCGAGAGCTCCTGGAGGGCAAGACGGCCTGAAGACGGCCTGAAGACGGACAGGTGAGACGGACAGGTGAGACGGAGCGAGGAATTCATCATCCCTGTCCCATAAAGGGCATAATCTACAAATACATATTCATGTGGCCAATTCCATATATGCTGTCTCACAAGGGGATATATATATATACATATATATATATATATATATATATATATATATACATATATATATATATATATATATACATCCATCTAATGTACAACTTCTAACCACCAAAGTCCTGCTGAACTACAAAACCACCAAACTACTGAACCAAAACACTAGTTTGTGTATTTACTGAACTATTAACTACTGAAGAACAGCTAATCCACCACAGTACTTAAAATACTACCAACAGGAATACTGCAGGAAGTAACTGCTCATCCACAGAACTACATATTAGTAACTCGGTGATACTAACGCAGTTCACTATTATACTATTATGATACTATTCACTCAGAGCTGCAGCTTAAAGAAAGTTCCAAACTATGCAGACGCACATCTGCTCTGTCAGAAACCCTGTGTGTGTGTCTGTGTGTGTCTGTGTGTGTGTGTGTGTGTCTGTCTGTGTGTCTGTGTGTGTGTGTGTGTGTCTGTGTGTGTGTCTGTCTTGTGTGTGTCTGTGTGTGTGTCTGTGGGGTCTGTCTGTGTGTGTGTGTGTCTGTGTGTGTGTGTCTGTGTGTGTGTGAGTCTGTGTGTCTGTGTGTGTGTGTGTGTGTGTGTGTGTGTGTGTGTGTGTGTGTGTGTGTGTCTGTGTGTGTGTGTGTGTGTGTGTGTGTGTGTGTGTGTCTGTCTGTGTGTCTGTGTGTCTCTGTATGTGTGTGTGTGTGTGTGTGTGTCATGTGTGTGTGTGTGTGTGTCTGTGTGTGTATGTCTGTGTGTGTGTCTGTGTGTGTGTGTGTGTGTGTGTGTGTGTGTGTGTGTGTGTGTGTGTGTGTGTGTGTGTGTGTGTGTGTGTGTGTGTGTGTGTGTATGTGTGTATGTGTGTGTGTCTGTGTATGTGTGTGTGTGTGTGTGTCTGTGTGTGTGTGTGTGTGTCTGTGTGTGTGTGTGTGTGTCTGTGTGTCTGTCTGTGTGTGTGTGTCTCTGTGTGTGTGTGTGTGTGTGTGTGTGTGTGTCTGTGTGTGTGTGTCTGTGTGTGTGTGTGTCTGTGCGTGCATGTGTGTGCGATTGTGATTGATGGGCCCGTGGGGCTGTTGGATTGTGTGTTAATGGTTATTGTGTTACCTCTGTGTGTGCGCGTGTTGTGTTACTGGTTGTTGGTTATATTTCACTCTGCAGAGCCTGTAAACAAAACCAAATTAAAGAACATTTACTTTATGAAGTTCACGCGTTCATCCATCATCCCGCTTCCAGCTGCGTATCCGGGTCAGGGTCGCCGTGGCAACAGAGAGCGCTTTTGGCATAAACCGGTTTTGCATCTGGAAGCTTTTCTCCTGGTTCTCCCAGAGAAAGCAGAAAAGCCTCATCATTTGACACCATTTAACGCGGGAGTGCGTTTGGTGCTGACGGTGGAATGAAGGCGAGGTCACAGAGGATCATCCTCTGGGGAGCCTTTCAATGCAAATCTCCACTGTGCCCCAAAACACAGAAAAATACCCTCAAAGGATTTGATGGAGCTGGAGAAGCTTTAGCTGCAGTTACTCGTGTTCTGCTCTAAAGGCAATTGGAGGACTGATTTGTTGGCGTTCCATGAACACACAATAGCATTAATATTCTACAACGAAGAAGCCTCATTTTAGCTCAGTAGTCGATCTAACTTTGTGTTTCTGTCCGGAATGAACTCTTAGTTGGTTGATTGGTCGGCGGCAGGCGACGCTCACGCTGGTCACGGGGCGTAAATACCGTAGCATCCGTGTTGTTTTGTACGCTATCGATACGCGTTGATTCATTCGTGTGTCCTTCGGTGTCTTTGCGTTGACTTTTCATCTGATGTCATCGTGCGGTTCAGAATAGTCAGAATAGTTAAAACACTTTAGCCGATTCACCTCTCGCGTTGTGTTTCCCCCGTGAGTGCTGTTGATGCGCCGTGCGCTGTCAGCTGTTAATAGCTGGTGTGCGTTGTGAGATGGATGGTGTGTGTTTCCTCTGAAAGCTCACAGATAAGGAGCGTTTTTTTTCTTTAAAGCACATTTGTTTTCTGCGGAGGGAAAAATCGGCCATTAATGCAGATTTATGCAGATTGGCTGGATGGAAGTCGTTTGGGCAAAAAGCGCCGCTGAGGGTCGAGCAGTGATTACTAATGGGGTTCATAGCTGCACAGAGAAAGGGCTGCGGCCAGCCAGTGAGTGTGTGTGTGTGAGTGTGTGTGTGTGTGTGTCTCTCGGGCTGCTTTCCAGCTGTTGAAACAACCTTTTGTAAATCTTTGCAGGAGCCTCGGCCCGTTCGGCCCGTTCTGTTGGTTCCCTGCTGCTCATTTATTCATGTGGGTTTTATGGCTGAGCTCGTGTCTCCCGTTCTCTTCCTCCTCTGTGGCTTCTCGCTTCCTCTGTCAGGGAAACACGTCGGGAGTCAGACGCAATGCTGCTTCCTCCGCAGGAATGAAACCGGGAGGCACGGAGCTCCTTCGCTACACCCTTTCTCACCCTCGTAGGAGGCGCGGTGGCGGCGGTTCCACGGCTTCCTGCTTTCAAAAGGTCGCTTTAAGGTTAAAGTGCCAAAGTGCCGTCAGCTAAATGCGTACATTATCTATATATAACCAACTGTCCTCTCCACAGAGAGTTCAGTTAGCCTGAGTGAAAGAGCGCCGACCGACAATCAATGTCACAACCGAGGGTTCCTCGTGACGGGACGGCAAATGTCTCCGTTGGCTTTGTTTGGCTCACTCGTGCCGACCGTCGGAGACGCGTCAGTACGAGCCGGTGGACCAGTTGGAGGTGAAAAACGGCCGCGTCGTCACACAAAAATTCTGTTTCACCAGGACACCAAACGTCTGACGTTGATCAGACTCGGCTGCATGTCGACAGTGTCCGCATGCCACGCAGTAACCCTAATGCCTCCGTCCAACGGGGCAAAATGGACGACACACACACACGCGGTCAAACGTTTCTTTGAACGTGGACATTAGTGACGACTGATCTGATGACCATATGGATGTCAAACACTGTTCCTTTAAATGTGCAGAGCGGCTTTATCTGATCGAGACGCTTCACATTGCTGACTGGAAAGGACTGTAGCCGTTTGATGCAAACACACTGGCCCGTGTGTGTGTGTGTGTGTGTGTGTGTGTGATTATTAGCTGTGTATCTTGTAATTTCCAGAGGAACTGATTCAGACACCTGCAGCATTTTCAAGCCGCTGGTAATTAGTGGATGTTGAGACACAGAGAATTATCTGCTTCAAAGTCATTCACAAGGCTGATAACTGCTGAGTGTGTGTGTGTGTGTGTGTGTGTGTGTGTGTGTGTGTGTGTGTGTGTGTGTGTGTGTGCGTGTGTGCTGTCAGTCAGCTGAATTGGCTCGATTAAGCTGCAGATTATCAGGATTTTCTAATTATTAGAGAGTAATTAAGACTGAGCTGAGGATTATCACACTTAAACATGAACATTTTGAAACACTGAAGGAGCACTTTCAGATACGGACACATTAGTATGCTGAAATAGTAAAACAATGAATCAATACAGTGAAACAAAGAGTTCATCCCTGTTTGGTGAATTCTGAACACTGGCGGAGTCACAATGGGAAGGATGAGGTCACGGAAACGTTATAATGGTGGAGTTGATGGGATTCAAATTGAGAATTTGGAATATTTAAAAAAAGTATCTCTCCGTAGATGGAAAGAGAGGGAATAAAGAGGCACCATAAAGGACTAAAAGAGGAAACGAGGTGTTCAAAACATGCCAATGTTTTCAAAATGGCAACAAAAGGACGGACCAACATGAGATAACGAAATAAACAGAATTGAGGAAATGAATTATTCAGAAGGGCACGAGAGGAAATTAGAAATTCAAAAATGGCACAACATAGGATTCAAATTGCAACAAGCAGGGATTCAAACGGCACAATTATAGATTTAAAATGTGTTCATTTGTTCAAATGAGGGACTAAAGTAGTTGGCTGGTTGCTGACTTCAGACTCATGACATATTTCCCTTATGGAGGGAATCACTAAGCCTGGGATCCACAACGGACATCCGATCGTTGGGTATCAATCCGTCTGTGCTTCACGCTGGTGTTTCATGTATAATTGAAACGTTTCTGCGCAGGGAACCGGCCTCCGCAGGCCGGGGGTCACCGCCGCAGCCCCGCCCCCTCATTAATGCAGCCGACGGGAGGAGGTGTCGGGGGGGTAATGGGGAAGCGGATGATTAGCACGGAGGCTCTCCACACTAATTGGACTTTTTTTTGTCAGAGGCTGATGTTTATTGTTCAGCAGAGTGATGAAGTGCAGAGAGCGTTTCTCCGTTTTTATTAAGTAGTTTTAGACGAGCTTAACAAGTCAATTTGCTTCAGAGAGATGAAGCAGAGAAGAGGTGTGTTAGAGGCGTGAGATACTCTGTTAGAAAACGACTTGGTACACACCCGAGTGCCCACCAACACACGTGTTCTTCTTCACATGAGAGGGTCCTTTCTCAAATGAAACAGCTCACAAAATCCCCCCTTCTAATAAATGTCCTTTGAAACAGAACTGGTCGAACCGTTTGGAAAAAACGTCCCTCTTTAAATTTGCTCATTGGCAAAGATCACTCAGGAGCTTCTAATGACCCACATTCACAGCGTCCTGATGTATTCTTGTATATTCCTGCGATCACTGTGACTTCAAATGCTAAAGAAATGGTTGTGACAATAACTCTTCTCTCTCTCCAGGTTTCCTCTGTTCACCAGCCTCAGGTTTATAATCAGCTTCCTCTTAATCCAGATGACAAACCAAAACCAGACCACCCTCAGACTGAAACACATCTGCAGCGATCGCTTGTCTCCGTCATTCTGTCCGTTAAGGAAACCATTTTCAGGATTTATGGAAATCTCAGCAACCAAAGCAATAATGGCATCAGCAACAAGACAACAAGTAGCTGCAGCTTTAAAAGTTGCAACAACAGAAACGGCAACATAGAAAGGAGCAACAGCAGCAATAAGTGGAGCATCTAAAGCAACAACCGAAGCCTTTAATCCTCGCGGGGTTTTATCATCCGTACAACAAGTGCTTTCTTTGACTCACTTCTCAGATTCAGATATCACTTTTCTTGGATTGGGAGATGATGCTGGAAAATCTCTATTTTTTAAGGACACACTGAGCAGCCCTCAACAAACCCAAAGTCAGATTGCAAACTGCTGGACGGCTTTTGCTAACTCTACCAACTCTTCTTGCTGATGATTTTGGTTGTTTGTGGTGTTGAATTTGTTGTCAGTTTTCAAGGGTCTTTGATGAAATAATAATTTACATGAATATGAACTAGAAGATTGCTTATTTAAGACAAATTTTATACTTTGAGAGAAAATGTGTACATTTCCTGGACTGTAGTAAATAAATGATTATATTCACAATTGTCTGTCGGTGTGAGACCCGTGTTTCCTCTGATGTGGTTAATCAATACTGTGCAGTTAGCTCAACCTTTAGAGGAAGGCTGCACCAACTTGCCATCTTTCTGAGAGCGTGATGATTAAGAATGATAATGTCTAAGTGATTAGCCTAGCTTAGCATACAAGTCGGGGCAGACAGCTAGTGCGGCTCCGAAAAAGGTTTAAAACTATGCGTACCAATACCTCTAGTTCATTGTACGTCTCTCTGTACATATGATATATAAAAACAACATTTTGTGGTTTTATTGGGGCTTGAGCGCCGGTCTATGTGACAAGCCTGACTTTGTCTTCGTAACCGTCCGGCCTCACAGAGCCTTTCTGCGAAGTTAGTTTTAAGCAGCCGACTCCCAATAAAATGATAAATTATCACTTTGCCTAAAGGTGCAAGATCGAGTACGGGAGCGTTTGATTGCCTCTAAATGGCTCTCGACATGTCGACAGCACTAATGGTGATAACAGCTGTGCTCACAGTGCACACTAAGGCTAAACGCAGGCAGAGCTCACCTGGTTTACCTGAGGAGGACCCGGGACCAGGGCTGTAATCAGTGATAAGCGTAAGAGGCAGTGCAGAGCGGCGCATGTGAGCTAACCAGGGAGGCGCGCTCACATGCACTCACATTGCATCTGATAGAATTAACAAAGACACAAGTAAATATGATTAAATCTATGGTTTAAATGGACGTATTCTGCCACCTACTGGTAGAGACACATTCACTCTGTCTCTTTAAACTGTCTCTGCTCCGTTCACTGACGCAACAGCTCAACAGCTGGAAAAATAAACATCAGTGTCTGCGACCATAAACGTCCTTGATAAACTATAATATTAACTGTATTGCATCAAACAGTGCACCAATCAATGAGTATTGCAGCGTGTAGTAACTTCTGTTGCTGACCCTCTCATATTGGCCCGATCATTTTTTTAAATTTATGAATTAACTTCTCTTCTAATGTTACTGTACTATTTGCTTGCATCGCAGACACATTTATAGTCTACAAACTTTTCATTTTGAATCTTATTGTGAAAATGTACATACTTCCTGCTGCATTTTCGGTCGTGGAAAAACGTTTCCGTATCCGGTATCTGGTTTTTAGTTTAAAAGCCTGAGCCAGGCTTGCATGGTCGTGTTGTCAACGGCATTTAGGTTCCCCCACAAAAACTTCTGCAAAAAGGTCAAAATTCCCCAAGTTTACGGAAAGTTACCGTATATTTACTAGGAATTTTCCATCCCTTTGCAAGCCTATATATACACTATAGAAATATTAGTTTGTCTTTCTAAAAGTACACGTCACCTAAAATAAAACAGTATTAAATTTAACCTAAAATTGTGCAAACGACGTATTTTCGCACATTTAACAGCAAGATCATACTGATCAGACTGGTGTGGGCTTGCTTTGTTTCACAAATGTTGTCAAAGTATGGCGGCTGGTTAGAGCCCCACTTAGTGAATTTTCAATGTTCAATTTGGGTTTTGTCTTCATTGCCTTTTAACTTTGAATTGCCTTGTTGTTGAAATGTGCTACACAAATACGATTGCCTTGCCTTGCAATAAGTGCCATGAAGTACCAATCAATTTAGTGGGCTTCATACTGTCTGCGATCAATATTTGATGACACTGGGGTCTCTCTTTTTGGCCGAGCTTGTAAAGCCCAGGGACAGATATGTCCTGTTATATTGCCATGCTTTTACTTTTGTTTGTGTCGTTGTTGTGGTGGTCGAGTTGCCTGTTACAGCTAGATACAGACCATCATCTGATTTACACCTCACATCAGTCAGAAATCTGTCCACCATGGCACATTACAACCTTATCTATGTCTATCTTTTTCTCTCTCTCTCTCCCTTTGGGAGTGTAGTTGGAACACAGTGGCCAATGTCGCATCGGTTCTGCTTGATTTCTTTCTTTAATTTGTATTTATTAGGTGCAACCACATAATATTGTGCCCTATCCTTGCAATTTGTTATAATTTGATTGTATATTATTATACCGGTGTGTGTGTGTGTGGGTTGTTGTGGGAAGTTTCACCACCCTTGTAGTTCTACTGCGCCTCTTTTGATTGTGTGCCAGGGCGTTAAGTTGGCCTGTCGTCAATTTTCTGGCCGTCAAGGGGGAGCAAATTCACAACCGTTGCGTTCTAGTTCGGCTCCCCCTCGGTCCTCTGGGCATGTAGTGGGCCGGAAATCCTTTCGGTGAATGCAAGGATGGAGGCGGGAACAGGGTCCAGACAGGCCCGTGATCCATGGAAACCTGTGAGGTGAGAAAGCACAAATAATGATTGTGATATGCATTAATGTTGACAGTAATAGTGATGGACACATAACCATGCAAACTGTGAGGCAAGAAAGCACTAAAACTCTTGGAAAAAGCTATATGAGTGATGTGCAGTGAGATGTGAATTCTTAAAGAAGGAGGGGAGAAGAGGAGAGAGAGGAGCTCAGTCCTAAGAAGCGGCGTATCTAAGGGCTGGTCCTGGCTAACCTGAGCCAGCCCTTAGATACGCGTTATCAAAGAGGGAAGTCTTATGATGCGTTCACACCAAACGCAATGTGAATATTTTGCGTTGTCTCAAACGTTCTAAATGCCCTGCAGGACTCTCGGGGCATCATTTTTGTTCTGTTTGCATGCACCGCGTATTTGCGCTAGACACGAGGGAGACGGGCGTGGTTTATCACCGTGAAATCGGCATTGTTTTTCTTCCGCATCAACCATGGAACCATCTGTACCTGTTGCTGGACCACCAACGACGTTGTGTTTTTGTACTAAATAGCATCCGTAGGTGCAGACACCTCAGTAAATTTCACCAACTTCCACAGGAACTGTGTCTGGATGACTCCTGCTTCCAGCGGTACATGACACTAACCGTTAGCCCGTTTGATAGCTCGTTGGCTTGGACTTTACCGCCTTCACATTATACTTCTCTGGCAAGGGAACTGCCCCATAGCAAGAGACCGTGTGGTCAACACAACCAAACGGCTCTTTTAACAGCCACACACGTTATCATTGATGTCTGTTTGCAGGAAGTCAGTGACGACGGGGTGCATCTCAACGCTGACAAGCTATCGCTCCATAGCGTCACGCCCTCCCAAAGTTGCTCCAGTCTCGTCGCGTCGGTGCAAAGACTTAGCATGTAATCGCAGCTTCCCGTTTGGTGTGGATGCACCATTAAGCTTCATCCTAAATGAGGTGGCCGTGTCTGCCCGCCAGGCTGAACGTGGAAGCTGGTTCCACAAAAAGGGGAGCTTGATAACTCAAGTCTCTGGCTCTCATCCTACTTTTTAAGCCTCTGGGAAGCTCAACTAACCCAGCATCTATGGAGCGCTGCTCTCCAGTAGTGTAATATTGTGTTACAAGCGCCTTCATGTAATGCTATTATTGATTTAACAGGAGCCAGTGAAGAGAAGATAATACAGCGTACATGATCCCTTTTCTTAGTTCTTGTTAGTACACATGCCGTATCCAATAAGTACAACTTAAACAAGTTGAGTCCGTACCGGCAGCACCTTTATTCAGGTGCTGCTGGTACGCACTCAAAATTATATTTATTAATAATTTTACTCAAAAGGCGATGCCACTGGATGACTGCTGACATACTAAACCATAACCATGTGCATCTCCTCACTTCCCCTGTTCTTCTCTGCTCGGTTCTTGACTGATTCCTCTTCATGTGACAAATTGTAAAAGAAGTGATGGCACTTGGCGTGTACAAAATATTTAGCTGGGTTAAAAAACTCTGGGATTTGTTAAGATATAATAAAGTGGTTTTACTCAAAAAATAAGTTGAGATAGAGTAATATTCTCAGCCGATTGTGCTTGAGCTTCCGCAGTAGTACCACAAGTACCACAAACAAGTTGTGTATAAAAATTTGCTTTGGTGGAAAAATGTGACGGTAAACAGTATGTTTACAGTCACACTTGGCTTGAATATTTCATTGTGTACATTTCCTTTTTAAAAACCCCATGGCCTTTCTTCTGGCACAATGAACATTTTTAATTTGAGCTCAATTATTGGGTAGACTCTTAAAATATCTAAATCAACAATGTGGAGTTGCTTCTGTTTGATCCGTGGCACAAACTGTTCCCAGTCCAGATGTTGGACCTCCTATGTGTGACTACGCATTGTGTGTGGTGCTTCGGCTTTAGAGACGAGATGAAGCAGCCTGCCCGCTCTACCCTCATTTGCATCTGCTAATGCCTCTATGATGCCAGTTTCTGATCACTGCAACTACACATTTAAATGTCTGCTTCACTGCCAGATGCTTGTCTCTCTCTCTCTCTCTCTCTCTCTCTACCTCTCCGGTCCAGGGAATTCGGTTTCAATCCCGTAACAGCAGCTCTGATCGTGCTCTGCATCAGAAAACATTGCCAAAGTTAAACGGTAGTTGCAGCCGATAACGTCGCTTTATGATGATATTTATCATCATGATATATATTTACGCCCAATCGTTGAAGCCATGAATGGGTCTTTCTACCTTGCTGGGTTTTCCGGCTGTCCACCTGTATGAAATGCCTACGTCAAGGATCTGTTATATACATGTTATAGGAAAAAGTCTTAGTCATGTTGGGTTGAAAGGCTCACAGCAAAAACACCAAAGGCTCCATAGAAAAGAGGAGGTTTGTCACACTAGCAGCTGTGCTTGCATGAGGTAATAAGTGGCAGGTTGTACTGCGCATGGTATCATTGACTAGTGAGGGAAGGTCCTTCCTCAAAGCCTATATACTTTGATTCTTGTGACGATTGGGACAACATGTATCTACCAAACCGTGAGATTGAGTTGAAAGCTGTGGAATAGTTATTTTTTTCAAATAGCCCCAAGATAACGTCAAAAAGTTGCCAAGACTTTTCGTTTCTTAGAGTGATTTGGGACGGCAGATCATCTTTAGCTTCTGTAATCTGATACATTCCTGGATGAATGACAATGCTATACTGTAATTATTATGTGAGGGATTTAGTCAAATTATCACACTATTATATGCCTGCCAGAGACCGAAGTATGGTTCATATTTTGAACTACCTTTTGTGTTGACTTTTAAAAGAAAAGTGTTACTTTCATGACCTGAAAACACTCTGATTTAAGTTTTTAAGAAATAAATGCAGGCAACTCCCAGACCGGACAACATTGTCGAAGCAACCTGTTATTAACAATGTAGCCTCATATACCCTGCGTTAGGGTCTATTTGACTCTAAATGGACTATAACTTACAAACTTAACATCACGCTGTATTCAAGACTAGAGATTGAGACCATAAACCCAGGTACCCATCAAGTAATTTTCTCATAGACTTCTATTGTCACATCGAGGTAGCGGAAGCAGGACTCAATCGCAGATTTGCAAATAATAAAGACATTATTCAAAAAATTGAAGTGCCTGAGGGCAAAACGCAGACCAGGACTCACGACATACCCCTTTCCATCACATCTTCTACAATCTATCGCACCTGACCTTCTTCCTTTCCTCACCTGTCTCATTGACAATGCTCTGTTATCTGGCTGTTTTCACACTTCTCTGAAGGAGGCAAGAGTTAACCCCCTCCTGAAGAAACCTACCCTCAACCCTTCGGAAGAAAACAACTACAGACCAATCTCTCGTCTTCCCTTTTTGTCCAAAACCCTTGAACGTGTGATCTTTAACTAACTCTCCTCCTATCGCCACCATAACAACCTCCTTGACCCCCACCAGTCAGGCTTCAAGGCCATTCCACAGAGACTGCTCTCCTTGCTGTCTCAGAGCAACTCCACACTGCTAGAGCCGCCTCTCTCTCCTCTGTCCTCGTCCTTCTGGACCTCTCTGCTGCATTTGACACAGTCAACCACCAGATCCTGATCTCCTCCCTTCAGGAACTTGGTGTCTCAGGCTCTGCTCTCTCCCTTCTCTCGTCCTACCTCGACGGCCGCACCTGCCGGGTAGCCTGGCGAGGATCTGTGTCGGAACCTTGTCCTCTTACTACTGGAGTTCCTCAGGGTTCCGTCCTGGGTCCCCTCCTCTTCTCGCTCTACACCAACTCTCTCAGGCCATTTGCTTGCATGGCTTCTCCTACCACAGCAATGCCGATGACACACAACTAATTCTCTCCTTCCCTCACTTGGACAGTCAGGTGGCGGCACGGATCTCTGTCTGACTGACTGACATCTCTCAGCGGATGTCCGCTCACCCGACAAGACTAAACTAGTTCTCTTTCCCGGAAAAGATTCTCCGACCCAGGACCTGGCGGTTAACTTTGGCAACTCCGTGTTAACATCCACTTTGACTGCTAGGACCCTCGGCGTGACACTCGACAGCCAACTCTCCCGCCCTCTCTGCTCTGCATGTGATAAACTGCTTGTTCCTCCTCACGGAGAGCAAAACACTCGACTAGATCTCCACTCTTTGCTGTCCTGCTCCTGAATGGTGGAAGGAGGTCTCTGAAGACATCAGGACCACAGAGAGCCTTCACATCTTCAGACTAAAGACACACCTCTTCAGACTCTACTAACACACTAACTAACTGTAGCACTTACATTTTACTTTTAACGCCATTTATCTATAGCAAATTGTAAATTGGCTTATTTGAGGAAATTGCACTTTCTTGTTTCTCGTTCTTCTGAGTTTGTATCCTTATGGTTGAATGCACTTATTGTAAGTCTCTTTGGATAAAAGCGTCAGCTAAATGACATGTGATGTAATGTAACATACAAAACACATTCAACATAATGACTCAACAAGGGACAAGAGACACACATGGTTTAAATACAATGTGAAGGTGCAGGTGATTGGACACAGGTGGAAACAATCGGGACACAGCAGACAATCACAGGGGATGACCGGACAGGAAGTCACAAGAGGCAGGAAACTACAAAATAAAACAGGACACAAACCCACACTGTGACATCTATGCTACTAAAGGAGTCCCCCTAGTGGCCATGAAGAATAGAGTGCAGGTTCACGGCACCTCCGCATTTACTTTTCACAATTGGAGGAAGAGGAAGCTGTTTTTTTTGCTGATTATCTGCGTCACGTACTAGTTTATAATATGTCCCACTAAAACTTGAATCATTATTTACTGAATCTGTGATAAAAAGCATCCGGGAATAGTTTTGTGCTGTAATGACTGATGCCTTGAATTATGAAAAAATATATAAACTATAAGAAAACACCACGCTGTCCTCTAACCAATTATCTGCCAAGGTTTTTTTTGGATCTGTTACAGGTTCAGTAGTACACAAGTTGTATGCACCCATGCATTATCTGTTACTGTCGTTTTAAGGAATATGACAAGCCTTCTAGTGAGTATAGCAGCTAAACCCAGTTTGTATGGTTCCAAGTTTCCCTGACCTTGGATTTTTTTTCAAATAATACTAAATAGAGCACCAAGAAATATAGGAAATCTCAATGTGCAACCGTACAGAATATTATATTCAAAGGATGGTGTACTCCATCACACATGATCTCAGTCTACAGTCAATCAAAAAAAATGATAAAAGAAATGTTCATTCAGGTCTCCATTTACCTGATTGATTGGGCAGTCAAGCCTTTACAAAGCCAGTATAACAAATCCCAAAGTGAGTGGGGAGCACGGTCGTCCTCCAATCAGAGGGTTGTCGGTTCGACCCCAGGCTCTGCTATCCCGCATGTCCATGTGTCCTTGGGCAAAACACTTAACCCAACATGGCTCCTGTAGCTGCGACTACAGTGTGTGAATGGTAGTTACTGATGGCAGGTGTCACTGTGTGTGGTTCTCCTGTCATCAGTGTATGAATGGGTGTGAATGGGTGAATGATGTCATGTAGTGTTAAAGCGCTTTGAGTGGTCACAAGACAAGAAAAGCGCTATACAAGTACAGTCAATTTACCATTGAAAACTAATATTTGAAGATTTCTGTTTGCTTTAGTCTTTGGGACCTTTACAAATAAAAAGCTTGTCTGTGAGCAGAGCTTTATAAATACCAAGATCAAGGTTTGCTTTGCGTATAAAACACTAGGAACTTTGAGGATTCGAGGCCCTTGGTGGCTTTGCCCGGGATGTCAAAGGGGTTTCTTATAGAAACACACACATTTTCCCACAGAAAGGCAGAACATCTATACAACCCTCATACGAGTGGTATGCACTATAATTTCATCATTTGTTGGGTAGTTGTTTGAATGTTCATGTTTGAAATTCTTTTAATTATTAACACTTTCCATATATTAACGGATCTGTTTGTACGAGTTGTTCTTGCGTCAGGCCGCTTGAAAGAGCTTGTTAAAAAAATGATTGAATGATAAGAGAAGTTGATTCATTTGCACGCTTGTCATTTCAAAAATGAAAAACATGAAGAAATTACCTCAAAATCCCTTTATTGTTTTCACATTTTGATGAACAACCGGCATGAGCGGGAATTTGAAATGACAGATACATGCTGAAATAACCACAAGATTTCAGCTGTGGTGATGTGAATGTAATCATTTGACTTTCACGAAGCAACAACAGTATTCTGGTTCCATGCCGTCATTAAAGACGACATCCTGCCAGATAGGAGCTCACGTCACGGTGCTCGCAGTGATTGCGCCAGCCCACCCTGGAACCAGAGACAACAGTCATCTCTCCATATGCAAAGGTTTGTGCTGTATAAGCATGAAGGTTGGAGACTCGGATCCTACCAGGCTCTCATGCCGTTGGGATCCCTGACGACGCGTTTGGCACAATTGATTGCCACTCTGACATCATCAGAAACAAGTGCTGGGGTGAAGAAAAAACAGGCTTTTAATGGTTCTTCTAAAATTGGACAACAACTTAACTGTGAATACAGCACATGCTACGTAATGAGTGAAGCCTCTGGAAGAGTCATAACCCCCCAAAAAGGTAGAAATCCTAGCGGCAGAGGAGGATCTAGACGGATATATAGATGTCATGTGTACAGAATGAACCTAAACGATTTAGAATATGTTCAAAGCATATGACAGAGAGGATTCATATATCATGATATTGACAGTAGCACACAGAATCATGCTGAATAATTGGTAATAATGAAGAATGAATAATGATAAGTGTGGCTGTAGCGGATATAGTAGATTAACAATGACACCAAAAATAGTTACGTGTCATTAGTAGTAATTCGACGGCTAATGATAATGATGTCAGGAGGAAGGACCAGAGTCCAGATAGAGCCATGATACATGCAAACCTGTCAGGAGAGAAAGCACAAAGACTCCGGGGAAGAAGCTGAATTAGTGATGTGCATTAATGAGATGTGAATAGAAGGAGGGAGAAGAGAAGGTCAGCGTCTCCAAAAGGCAGTCTAGGCCTACAGCAGCCCAGCTAAGGGCTGGTCTAGGCCTAACTATGAATATTTTCAAAGAGGAAAGTGCAACTTAGTTTGTGGGGTTCATCAGTGGCGTCTCTGTGCTGTGACGCACTCTAAATAATTTTCAGGCAACTTAAATGTAGTTGAGATCAAAAAGCTTGAGTTGGGTGACTTATTAAAAACAAGAGTAATTACTGCAAATGAAATGCTGAGCAATGAAAACGTCATCATCTATATTTTAAAAATGCATGGAATGCAGCACATTCGGTGTGTTTTTTCACTCGATGTTGACGCAGAGACGTAGATTCAGGGAGAAACAACGTAATTCATTTTACATTTAGAAGTGGACGTGTTTGGGGGGGTGATCATAGGGAATACAGTGTTTTATTCAATGTTCATGTTTTTGTTGTTCAATGAAAAAATAAAGTTCTGCTAAAATGGATAGCTATTTTATCATTTTTATAAATACACTACATGTATTATTGCAGCTTGTTTTATCCATTCAGATTCAGCACTGACTGTGAAACTCTATTTATAGTTTGGTTATTAGTCTGAGATCCCTGGCTGGTTTCCCAATATTATTATTATTTGTGATTATAATAATGTATCAATTAGTTTCATTTCCATTGAGCTAATAACCAAACACGCTCCTAAACGGTACACAACATCCACATTCACATGATGGAGGACACCAAATTGTTCTCTCGGCTCTTTCAACACAGTGCAATTAATACGTACAATATTTATACAGCGCTTTTGAAAGACTAGCACAAAAAAGCTGCACAAAGGCATCATACTACACAAAGGCCATTAAAGGTGCAGAGCTGGTAAGACTGGACACAATTCCTTAATACAGAACCTTTACATTTACTGGTAATATTGGAAACATAACATCTCGCTGCAGTTTACATTTTGGGTGTTTTTCACTGACCGCTGCACGAGATGGAACATGCGTTCTTTGAGCGGGGGGTCCGCCCGTCTTCACACCACCAGCGGCTGTTGATCTGGAAGATGCCGTAATCAGTTGATCCGTCGGTGTTGAAGTTTGTGGCGGTGGTGCTGTAACCGGACTCCGAGTAGCTCAGACAGACCCCTGAAGAAGAAGCAGAGCAGGTGACCACACACACTCCTTGAGAACTTAACATTGGCGTGGAAACACACAGACGACACAAAAGCCTCCATGACATCATTATCAGAACGATTGGAAAACAACGGACGGCTGCTCTTTAACTGAGACAAATGTCTTTCTAATGTTACAGTACATTCTTTGGTACAAGTTTTTCAGATTTTAAGTACACGCATACACACACTAACAAATTGCTGTAAATTTACGGTGCATTTCTAATGGTATTTTACAGTATGTCATAACTGTAACATACAGTTAAATTTCCATCCCTTAGGTGTAAATTAACAGCCAATGGCATGAATAAACAGTTAAACCTGTCAATTTACAATAATAGCAGACTGATTAACATTCTCTTTCCTTACATCTTGTTGTCTTCTTCATCTTTGTAATTTTAATATTTTACCAATGACAGTGTTTCTAAATATTACATTTTGGTTTGTTTTACAGAGGCTCTGGATTAAGGACGCCAGCCGTTTGCTGCGGTCAATTGAAAGTGTTCCATAGCGTATTGTTGCAGTTAGTTTACTTTGTTCCTAATCATTTTTTGATTCATTTTTTTATTATTGTATACATGCGAAATATTTTATGTTTTGTTCTTGGTTACAAATGCCGAACATTTTTGTCTTAAAGGCATCTAATAAGCTCCAACCACTATGACCGAAACAAGTTGTCTTTCTTTAATTTGTGGGGAATTGAATGCAAAAGTATACGGTTATAAGTAAATGGTAACATTCTGGTATGTATAACACAAAAACAGTAATCTTATGGTAACTGCAATCCAATATACAACAACATACCGTAAATTACGGTAGGGCACTGTAAATAAAACAGTCAGTAAATTGCAGTTAATTCACAGTAAAATTGGTTAAGTTTACGGTAACATACAGTAATCCATTTTACGGTAACATAGTGTAAAACCGTTTACGTATTATACCGTAAAATAACGGTACATTCCTGGCGTCCTTGCTGCCTGTAAAATACCGTTAATTTACGGTAAAATTTCTTAGAGTGCAGAAGATACGCATACAGTTAAGTTGGTAGGCTTGTGTGGTTATCTTTCACAATAGCTAAAATGTTCAGCAAGTGAGTAATATATTTGTGTATTTTTGAAGCGTTAATACTCACAGTCGGCCAGGCCGTAGCCTCCGTATCCGTCCATCCCATTAGCCTTCAGCACGCGGGCCCATTCGCATCGCTCGTAGACCTTCGCACCGGCCGCGGCCACCAACAGCAGAAACACCACAGCCCTCATAATGGACGGGATATTTCAACAGCTGCTGCTAATCCTTTTTATAGTCAAGAAGCTCAGCTGGAATCACCGTGTCTGTTTGTTTTCTCTGAACCTTGTCCTGTAAAAGGGGGGAGCTTAGACTTTCCGTCGGTTTTGTGTTCCAGCTTTGATCTTTGATCTTGAACTTTGTTTTCATGCTTACTACGTTATTAGTGTGATGAGAAAGATGTGAAAGTATATATACAAAAACAGAAGGTCTGGACCAGATTTATTTGTCATGACTATGAAATTCATGTGGCAACGATACAAATTTATTTATAAATTAATTCATCTCGGTCAATTAAGTGTCCGACTGTGTTTAACAGGAGCAGGTGTGAAGAACAAAGTAATGCTCAATCAGTATTTGTCATCAAAAAGCTTTAAGTGTGTTCATATTTACTCTGTATTCATCCCTTGATGCCACATTAGTACTTTCTCTGTAAATCAGTGGCATGTGTGTCACTGACATCTGAGTATAATGTGTCACGTAAGAAGACAACAAATTCACAGGAATGTCACCCAATGTCTTTGGGGATTTGAAGGCCGTCATCTTGTTTCATTGGCGTGAGAAGAGACCATGTGATGTCAGCAGCAGACACTAGGTGGCGCTGGCCGGCGAGCTCGCTCAGTAGCGGGGATCCGTAATTACTGTTGACTATGTTAGTCGGAGTAAAAGTTTTTGCAAAAAGTTTTTTTGTCACCATCACTCAAAGCGATAACTCATAACACCGTCTCAATATAGTTCAGGTTATGAATATGGATATTAGCAATCGGTTTACTAGCAGCTTTCCAACACGGGTACGTCTACATTCAGGACTCTTTCACAGGTTCTAAGAGCAGCCCTTAATCCCAGGACTTGTGTCATTTGATGTGACGCCATGTTACTTCCTGTTTCTACCTGCTGGACTGGACGATCATCCGGCTTCTGCACACATGTGAGTTACTCTCCTCGAGCTCCTGGTGCGCAAAGATAGCTGCAATATTTATTTCTCCATTCCTGCTTCAACAACATCGGGACACAAATAAACGCTGTCAAGCTTCCCACTTAAACTCACCTTGTTCTATAACATTTTAGAGAAAACTACTTACATTGAGCTATGACCTACTCAAAAAAGTTTTGGCCTTTAGGGGATTTTCCCAAAGATAAAGAAAAAAAAAGAAAAGTTCACTTTTCGTAATGTTTGCTCAGACAGTCAGAACCAACAACATACTAAATAAATATGATAGAGACTTAAAGAGAGAAGGAGAGAATTAAAGGAGATGCAGCGGAGGCCGCTTACACCTCCCTGCAGTGTCCCTGAGCCGCTGCGTCCTCTCTGCAGCCGAACCACAGAGACCTTCTGGAGAGGGATGTTTATAAAGTCACATCACATTTATAGAATGAGGGTTCTGACCGCTCAGAGGGTGAAGCATTAGACTTTGCACCTGGTGTGTTTGTGTGCAAATACCGAACGTCAAACATTGTAAAAGGTGATATAAGTGTTTATTGAATCTACTTTGATGGAAGTGCAAAATAAAGTTGTGTTATTCAGGATTTGCTCGTTCTTCTGAGAACCCAATTTCATTTTTACAGAAAGTGAGAAAAGAAGAGAAGCTGCCAGTTGCTGCTGGTTCCATTCTGAGTTCAGAGTTCCTGAACTCCATTTGCGGCACAAGATTTCTCTGCTCTGGCCGCTCTGTGCTTTCTGACCGCTCTTCATCAAATCGCACTCGCTCGTTTTCTTTCTCTTGGTCTCGTCTCAAAACCAAAAAAAAACCGGCACAGAGTGCAATTAATCAGCCGGGCCGAGCACAGGCAGTTGGATCAATTAAGCTCAGCGAGCGGGGCAACGTGAATGGATTCGTCTGAGAGGGAAAGAGAGGGAGCCTGAGGAGATGTTTAAAACGGTGTAAACAATCACGGAGCCTGTCCAGATACAGCTGTGTAGTTCTAAAACGCTTCTGCAGCAAAGGACCAGCTGTTTATTCATTATCTTTCTCTGTAATTTAATGGAATTGATCTCATCTCATTTTGTCGAGTCAAGCACATTTCATTGCTACACATTTTAGCACACCATGCGACAGCCTTTATCCTTAGACCCTTTGTTTTCATCCCCCGCAGCATAGAACAAGGCCGAGCTCTGCAAAGCATTGCTGCTGCAGGACTTAAAACCCCCGTAAGGAATCTTTCCTCTCCTTCTCGCTGAAACAGACCTGAGATCTGATTGGTGAAGCCACAGACACCACAGGGCTTCCTCTGCTCTGGACTTTTCCTTTTCCTGCATTGATGTGAGGGTCCGTCCAAGTGTCCCCGAGCAAGACACCCGTCCCCTACCTGCTCCCGCTGCGTGGGACGGGTTGAATGCAGAGAACTATTCTCTGTGTGTGTAAAACAATGCTAAATGGCTTCCTCTTCTTCCTCAATGGGATGAAGGACTCATGCATGCTGCAGCCTGCTGTTGTTGCTCCAGTCTATTGTCGTGTTCTATTCTTTTAATGTGTATTGGTTTTGTTTATACGTACATTACATTTCCTTTTGAGATTTTCTTTATTTTATGCTGCTTTAAAAAACATCTGGCTAGCAGGTGAAAATTAGCCTCTCTGGTTCACTTACAACTGTTGATTGGTGTGCATTAAAATAAAGGAATAAATAAATCATTTAATGTTTTATCCGTTCTTTAGCTATTAGGATATAATAATTGTATTGATGTCAATGAATCGTTTCACACTATTGGCTATTAACCAAAACATCTTCAACTTCAGACATTTAGGAATTAATAACATGATAGAAGTTGTTGCCTTAGTTCTGCAATTTGCAGCAACATCTCATTCTGAAATTCCCAAACTCGTTCATAAGGGGCGACTCCAAAAACAAGTCTGTTTGCAGATAAATCTACAAGAAAAATACTTTCCTTACTTGATTCTTACCTGGGTAAACATTGTAAAGAATAGATTACTGTTTCAATAAAAAAGTATCTACCTCAGCGTCCAGATGTGGTTACTTCTGTCCAATTAATGTAAGTTTTCCTTAGTGTTTAATCCCCTGATAATAAGACCTGTTAACTTAATGAGCCCTTCACATCTCAATAAGGTGCGAGTCTGCTAACCCTAACCCGAACCCTAACCCTAACCCTAACCCTCAGCCACGCTCATTTGCAGCTGGACTATTTACTACTATTTAAAACAAAGCTTAAGCCATAATCAGTGGCCACTGGTGGAAAATGTTCTTGGCAATCAAATCAATTTCCACAAACTTCCCAGGTATCAACCTGGTACAGTTTCTCTCAGTGGCTTTGGTACATTTCTCAGATTTCTCAAAACTCAAAACCGGTTCAATCGTCACATCATTGTGTGACTTGTGCACATCAAGCAGTTTCTCATTTCTTTGAACAGGTTGCAAATGCTTTGGTTCGTCCATGCAAAGGATTATGTACAATTCTCTGCTGTTTCCCACATTATCAATTCCTTATGACGTGTTGATCAAAATGTCTTATAACATTTAGACATTAGTTCATCACACATCTACAGGCAAAATGGTTGAACGAGTTGTCATAATGTCAAACATATTTCCATTAGACTTTTTTTTGCTGGCAGGTGAATCTTGACTTTCTACAACAAAGGTGCATCTCATGAACCATCAAATACAAAGTATATAAATATCACAACACAATGTTACAGTGGAAGGACAAAGAGTTCAAGGGAGTCAACAAGTATTCAGAGAGAAGAAGAAGAGGAAGAGGAGTTGGGAGGCAAAACAGAGGAAGAGGCCGAGGACATGTGAGTTGATGAGCCAGCTGTGCACACATTATTGGGCCACACAATCCAGATGCTTTTTACATTCTGCAGGGATCTCATCCCCGAACAAGAGGCTCACACTGGAGATGAGTTGCCAAAGTTCAATTCAATTCATTTCATTTTGTGTAACCCAAAATCGCAAATTACTCCTTTGCGTGAGAGGTCTTTACAGTCTGTACACATGCGACATCCTCTGTCCCGAAAGCCTCACATCGACCCAAAGTACGTGAGAGTTTGGAACAATGTCAGTTTCCATGTCTCCAACATTGACATCAGGCAGGAAACAGCAGAGAATTGTACATAATAATTTGCACGGATGAACCAAAGCATTTACAACTTGTTCAAAGAAATGAGAAACTGCCTTTTTAATGTGCACGATGAAACAATGATGTGAAGAACAGGTAGTTTTGAGAATTTCAAATCTGATCTAAGAAATGTACCAAAGTGACTGAGAAAAAGGGTAATAATCCTGAATAAGGCCTTAAATGCTGCGGCATGTGGTGGTTTGTCACAGTTAACACTAAATGAAAAGAGAACTTGTGTTTATTTACAAGAACCTAATGAAGGCGCTGGAACATAAATCAATGAGGAGTAAAGAGGAGGACAGTGAGACAACAAACAGGAAACCTGGAAACCTGCGACTCACTTATTGAGTGAATTATGTTTGTGTTCACATCTGGACTGAATGAAAGACTCGCAGACACCTCGGCTTGAATTAAGACCCAGAGATGTTTTATTTATATTCACTGTGAGTTAGAATAATGACTCCAGTATTCAATAGAGACACACGATGACCCCTCTCTCTGTGTCACTGATTGGTTTGAGGAGGAGGATGAAGAGGGAGCGAGCGCGAGGATGAAGAGGAATGATGCAGAGGATGATGAGTTTGGTTGCGGCGGAATGAACTGGAAAATGCAATTCAACTCCCATTGCTCATCTGTGTGTGTGTGTGTGTGTGTGAACACAGCTCTTCAGTTATTGGCGGTCTCATTAGCGAGCGAGCGATGGCGACGTTTTGTCACGGGCCTTTGGTGTCTGATACCGAGGCGCAGAGAAGCCTTTTGCATCTCAATTAGACACAGCAGGAGGTCACAGAACTGAACGTACCCTCATGCAGCGGTTTGATGAGGTGCCTTTAAATGCTGCGGCCAGTATCTCACATGTCCCATTTTCATTTGTTTGTCTTTATTTCATGTTCAGCACTTGACAGAATACATTCGTCAACACCTGAAACGTGGT